CGTGGGCCCCAGGCACATCTGCATGGCTTCGGCCGTGCCTGTTACATCGCCTGTCGCAACGTTCTTGTCACAATAGCACTGGTTTTGGGGGAAGAATGTCTCCTCGCGGAGCCCGAGTGGCAGGCCCTTAATGAGGAGATCGCTGCCGATAATGCCAAGCAACCGGATTCATCGGTGTACACCGACATCACGGAGCGAGCTTTTCGGGAGGTGGTCAAACTGCCGGGTTTCGTGAAGCGAACGCGCGACCTCTCAGGCTCCACCCCCAATGTACAGAAGCGCGAGCGCCCTGTGTTGCTGCGCGAGATCCTAGCCACGCGTGCCTCGCTGCGTGGCATCCACACTGAGTTCGGTGTGTCCGTCTCGGCCCTTCGCGCGGGCTACGAATCGAAATCAGAAGTCTTCATTGGGCCAATGCCACACCACTTCTTCGACGGATTCTCCACCTTGTCCATCCGGGGCATTCACTCCGGTATCTTGTTGCTTAATTATCTGATCATCCTGCTGGACCCGTCCCAGCGGGTTGCTGCGGAGGCAGAGAACCGGATTATTACCTCTCGAATGCAGGACTCCGAAAGCTCCCATTCTCGCGGCAGTCTTGACCAGGCTTCCCGTCCACTCACACCTCCCGGGTCACCGGGCCGTCCCCGCCTGTTAATTCAGTCACGGATCACACCCGAGACACGCGAGGCGCCCACCTCCGACTGGATGGACCGCATAGCGACGACGATGGGCATGGATGGGGTCCGAGTGACGCTAGTGGAGGAGAAGTACGAAGGAAAGGAAACGGAAAAACAAGAGTTTGATTGACATCGCATGTTTGGGGTTTCGGCGGAGTTCTGATGCAGATATTTCGAGTCAGGCCACTTTTATTATTTCCGTTGCTTTTTTGCAAAGCGTGGGTTGTCCGCTGTGTACATTTCTGCTCATATGACTTAATGATCTCATGGAGACTACCCTCCAAATGATGTACGAATGACACCGCAGGTCATATCGTATAATAGTGTATCAATATCACATCGGAAAACACATTATTCCTCTGATGCAGACGGGCCTCCCCGCTTCTGCATTCTATCCAGACTTTGATGTATACAGGTATCAGTGAAGATCCAGGAATCTGCCGTCTCTGGCAACGCAGGACGCGATCTAATGTACGGGAAGTGAAAATAACAAAGGAAAGGAAAAAGAAAACCGGGTGACCACCAGATATCGGGAGCGGTATCAGCAAAAAAAAAAAAATGTTCAGAAGATAAGAAACACAGAGGAAAAGAAGAGACTCGTGGGACGGCATAAGAGAAGAATCCAAGATCAGCCAAAAGCGAGGGACATCAGCACAAACTGTACAATATCTGGCGTCCAGGGTAGATAGCTGTCGACTTTGAGGAGCGCCATGGCCAGGTCCGCAGCTGCAGGACGATCATCGGCGTTGAGGGAACCAGCTCGTGCGCTTGCCCGTCTCCTGTGATTGTAGGCCCGCGACCGTCGCGTTCGCCGGTGCCTCCGAGCTGCCGCCGCCCCGAAGCGGTTTCGCAATGCGGGAGCCCCCGAAGCTAAAACTCGCATTGTCCATGTTGGGTAGGCCGCGTGTTGAGCCCTGTTTGGCGGCCTCGAGGCGCTCTTTGACAGCAGTAAGCTGGGCCTCGAATCTAATAGGAAAGATTTGGGTTAGCAAGACATTTCACAGGTGCGAATTGCTTGAGAACATACCGATGATTGGCCTGTGTCAGCTTCTCCTGGCTGTCTTGGAGCAGGCTCTCTAGGCTGGCGATGCGCTCGTTCCGCGCAATCAGTTTCCGCTCCGCAATGGCCACCTCCTTCTTGAGGCCGCTATTCTGCTCAACCAGTTGCCGCTGGACATGGGTCAGCTGTTCCAGGTTGCGCTCGAGGAAGGCCATCTTTTTCTGCTGGGCGCGGTTGTTTGATGACCGCAGAACGTTGTTGTACTGCTCGCGAGCATCGTCCAGCGAGATCTCCAGCTCGACAACCCGTTCACAGCGATTCTGCAGGTCGCGCATCAGAGACTTCTTCATGGCGTCGAATTCGGCGATCTGCTGCTGCAATGTCTTGCTAGCGGCCCCATTCGTCGACGTGCGAGACTGGGTGTCGACCAGCGACTGGCGCAGCTTCGTTAATTCCTCGTCCTTGTTCTTGATCTCCGTACGAAGCTCATCAGCGGCGGCAGTCTCAGCGTCCTTGCGGCTAATATAAGTCTTCTCCAACCGCTCTCGAATCTCGTCTACGTCGCCTTCGCCGAGGGTGCGGGCCAAGAGGCCTTCATACTCCTGCTGCAGTTCATCCAGCTTCTTCTCCAGTTCCACGCGGCGGCTGTCCTGCAGCTCACTGAACTCGCCTCGGTCGTTGACGGTTAGCTCGGCTTGCCGGATGAAGCCCTGGGCTTCTACCAGGCTCGTTCGGAGCTCGAGAATGTCGTCGGGTGCGATCGTTTCACCTTCGGCGCTGACCTTGTGTAAGGCATCGACGCGTTGGATGAGATCCTGCAACTTGTGTTCGTTGGCGGAGAACACTTCGCCGCCCAGGTCAAAGCCGGCCATCATCTTCGCCATCTTCTCCGCCTTCTTCTTCTCTTTCTCGTCCAGTGCTGCAGTGGTTTCTTTCGCCTTCATGCGCACATCCAGAAGCTGCTGCTTGACCTCGTCCAGTTCGCCCGTGAGCTCGGTGTTGGCTTCCCGCAGTCCGTCCATGGTGATGGCCGCTTCCTTGCTTTCATATGAGACCTTCTCCAGTTGCATGCGCAGTTCGTTGACCTCGGTGTTCAGCTTCTCGTTATCCTTGCCGGTCCGCCCGGCGTTCTCCTTCATGGCCTTCAGTTCCTCGCGGGCGTCTTGAAGGCTGCGCTCGACATTGGCAATGTGCGATTCCTTCTCCGCAAGTTGGTCCTGCAGCTCATTCTCACGGCGCAAGAACTCTTCGCGCTCGTCCTTCTCCAGCACTAGACTGGGCGTACTGGAGCGATCTCCCATCCGGGAATCACCACGCGGGGTCTCCGCACGCGCAGTTTCCGTGAGTCGAGACGGTGTGCCTGGCCGTGGAGCGCGAGCCTCAGCTTTAGCAGTGCTCACTCCGTCGCTGGCTGGAGCCGGGGTCCATTGATCCTTGGGAACGCTGTCACCGCTTCGCCACAGGTTGACCTCGCCTTCCAGAGCCGCAATATACGATTCGAAATTTGTGACCTGGCTCTGGGCTTTGCGCAACAGCTGCTTCAATTCGGTTGGACTCAATTCGGCATTGACCTTGGCCTTGTTCTTGATGGCCTTGGCTCGTACACCAAAACGCAACGTGGAGATGGTTTCCGCATCGTTGTAGCTGCTGGGCGAGCAATTGATAATCAGTGTCGTCCGCGAGTTACCACCCAGGGACTCCTGCAAGATACGTGTGAGTTTCGAGTCACGGTAGGGGATGTGGGACGATTTGCCGTCCGTCAGAGCGTTGATGACCATGCCCAGGGCGCTCAGACTCTTGTTGATTTTCTTGGCTTCTTCCAGGGTCTGGCCGCTGGCGCCCGTCTTGCCGACCTTCTCACTACCGGCCAAATCCACCAGGAAGAGCTGGCCACTCTTGGCCGAACCGGTCTCGACGTTCTTCTGGGTGACGGTGATGACGAAGATGGAGTGCGAACGAGAAGATTCCTGGTTCATGTTGGTGGCAGCGACGGCACGGGCTGTTCCTCCACGGCGCATCACTTCGTAGACTTCCTGCACGCTGGACACGTATACCTCCAACAAGCCCTTCACGTAGACACCCCGCGACTTCTCCTCGTGGACGGGCAAATTGTCGTTCTGTGGCACCAGAAGATCGCGAATGCGCTCCATGTAAATTTCCATGTAGCTGACTCGCACGGTGTACTCGATGTTGCTCGGGCTCGTCAGGATGCTGGCGAAGATCTGCTCCACAATCCGGGGAATGACACCCTTCCCAATCTCGTCGTCGATATCTGAGCCCATCATGGTGTACGACTTTCCGGCACCAGTCTGGCCGTAGGCAAAGACGGTACCGTTGTATCCGTTGAGAATATCATCGACAGTTGGGCGGATGGAGAAGTCGAAGATGTCGTTTTGTGCGGTGTCCATGGGGAAAACGCGGTCGAAGGTAAAGGCACCCGTGCCTTCTTTGGACTGATCCGACATTAGTGCTATTCGTAGAGACTTGCCGTAGGGTGGCTCACGTTGATGGTACATGACTCCTCGTTCTCGAACTCGACGACCGGCTCACCCCCAGAAGATAACTCGACCTTGTTTTGCGGCCGAAACCTGGCAACCACTGCAGGGCAGGTTAGCTTTAATGTTGCAGCGGTCTTCGGAACTCCAGCATACCCTTGATGGTGTTCGACCCGGCGGATCTGGTTAGGCGGCACTTGTGTTAGTAGGCGTCAACGCGGGTGGGTACAAGGGAACTCACGCCATGGTTGCGGTGTAGAAGTCGAGCCGAACACAAAGGAAACGAGAGCAAGCCCCCGATCAGGCGTCGGGGGGAGTGGAAGGAGTCGAGGGAGACCGTTGAGATTGGGGCGGAAGGAGAAGCGGAGGGAAGGCAGAGAAGAAGGGTAGAAGGGGGGCAGTTTCAGGGTCAGAGGCGGGACCACGTGCACACGACGAGGGACACACGACAGCAACACTCGTACCTCCGGTAGGAATATGAATATGCGTGGAGTGGAGGGGAAGAACGGAGGAAAGTGGGTTTGTTGACACTTTACTCCTTGGGCCGACCGCCTGATCGACACCCACTACAGGTACATACAATTATAGCCGGACAAGGATATTTTTAACAATCAGGCTGATGCATGGACAGGGTCAAATGCGCAATGGAGAAAAACCAAAGAACCAAAAAGAAAAGAAGAAGAAGAAAAAAAAAGTCAAAATCAAAAACCCAGGCGCCAGAACCCCACGCTGTGCAGATCAATCGGTCAGGCCCAAGGCGGCAGACAGCTCCTCCAGATCGGAAAAGGGACATGAAACAAGTGCGGTGCCATACATCCACCTCCTTTAGTCCTCCCAGCTCTTTTCCACCGTCTCCCGCACTCGCTTGACATACTCCTTGCGGTTGTCCTTGTAGAGGTTCGACGCTTCCACATTAGCGGGCGACGAAGTGTTGGGATCGTTCAGCAGACTAGAATGCAATCGTGAGTTCCTGGATTGGGGCCCCATCATTCTGCACAAGGCAAGTCCATACCTCTGGATACTGGTCAGGATAGCCGCCACGTCATACGTCGGGCTCCAGCGGTTCTGCAGGATGTCCAGGCAAAGCTCGCCGGTCCCGTAGACGTTGGGGTGGAACATCTGGCTGATGAATTTCACACCGGGGGGCTTGTTCGGGTACTGCTCCTCAAAGTTCATCACGAGGCGAAACGTGCCATCCTCGAAGGGTGTGTCGGCGGGTCCGATGATGACGGCATTCCTGGTCGCCAGTTAACAAGCTGCGTCATTGCATATAGACCGAGTGTAGTTACCAGGTCATGACATTGTCGGCTACCGGGGACGCAGAGACACCGGCCGGGGGATCGGTTTGCATGCGCTGAAGAATCAAGAGTGTTAGCAGAAGAACACCGGAGAACCCCGAAAGTCGAGAGAGAAAAAAGAAATCCAGAACCCAAGAGGGACATGACAGCATTGAGATACACTCCAGGGCAACACAGGAATCCTGCAATAATCGCAAGATACCCGAGTGGAAGTGGGATGCGTACCTTGAAGTCCCGCATGAGACGCCGGCGGGCAGAGGTAGACATGGGGGCAAGAGGGAGCGGTGGAGAACTGAGAAAATATGGGACCCGACGTTAGTGAGAACGAGGCCTGCGAAGATAGATGAGAGGCCTGCAGGTGGCAGATACAGGGGACGAAGATGCAACGAGAGAACGATGATGGACTGGAGGGGCGGAGCGGGACAAATGCCGGGATGGAGCCACAGGCGCTGATTCAGCATATTATGTCATGGCGGTTGCTGCCGAGGCCGGAGCGGACTATATATTTCATGGAAAGCACAGTTGGAGGTCACTACTGGTTACTCGGCAGAGATTTGCCATTGACTCTTATCCGGTGAAAATGAACAGAAATATCATGACACAGTAATTCCAAGAGCAACGGTAATGGTGTGGACTATCAAGACGATTGCTGTCGGCGCCAGGCTGTGTGGTAGTCACAGTTCAGGCACGGGAAGCGTTGCATAGTATGCCATGGCCTTCTCGTTGGCCTCCATGGTCAGCGGTCCTCCTTCGACCATCTCGCCAAGCAGCTTAAAGTAGTTGATGTAGAACGCTGGGGTGAAGGTGTTGAAAAAAACGGACTCCTCATCGGTTGGGTTCGAAAAGGTATGGGGGCTCCTTGTCGGGACCACGACATAGTCGCCGGCTTTGGCATCGACATCGGGTTTCCCGGGGAGATGAAATCGAACGGTGCCCTTCGTAACCAGGAAGGTTTCGTCATGCATCTCGTGCCAGTGCGGAGGAGGACCTTTCGTCCTCGGGGGGATCGTGAGCTCCACACTGCTCAAGCGCATATCTAATGACGGTAAGAGCCGGTGGTCACTGGGGAGAGGACAAGCTTACCAGTATTCGATCCATCCTCCATAACCCTCAGCTTCATACTTCCGAGGACAATGATCTGGCCAGCTTTTGCTGGTACAAGGTTCACCGGACGGTCTGGAACTTGCATTTTCGCTGTTTTGATCTGCCGGACACCCGCTGGTTGGTCTGGGGCATAATGCGCTCCAGTTATATATCGGTCCTACTCCCCGACCAACCCAAGTCTCGGCTTTCGGGTCGGACTGGATGAGAGAACTTGGATGTTTTGGCACGCCTGATTCGGTTGATTGGTCACGGCATGGAGTCGAGATTACTGACAGATGCGTCATGACTGTCAATCAGGATGTAGAGACAGCGGTGGTTCCAATCAGTTATCCTCGAACCGGAGATAGGAATGAGTGGCCGATATCTCCGGAGAGGCTATATTTCGTGAAACCACCAGGAGGGCAACCATCATTAGCGATGACGATGGTATAGTTTCTTCCTCGTCACGGGTATCGACCAAGCACGGGCCACCCGCTCTGGAATGGCGCTAGGCCCGAAGGAGTGCAGCAAACAACATCTTCTTCCTTCCTCAACATGGCTCTTTGGATCTACGCGACATGTTGAGCCCCGTGGAGCTGTCGCTCGCGCCCTCCTGCGAGGACTGTCTGGCCTGGTCTCCCGATGGCGAGCTGGCCATCGCAGCCGGAGACTCGGTTCAGATCTTGGTCCGTATTCGGCAACCTGGAGAAACTGATAGCAACGACTAACGCGGATCTAGACACCCAGATTTGCCGAGCACGGCAAGCAAGAGAGTGGTTCATCGTCTGGGTGGCATATCACTCGATTCCGGACCAATCTGTTCACCCATCAGGAATGGCCAAGCTGTTGGCCGCAGAACCGCGATGATTTTTCCATCGCCGCGGAGCAATCCCCCAGTACCGTGCGCGCCCTCGCCTGGTCCCCGCCGGGCCTGGGCCGATTCCGCCGTAGCGTGCTGGCCGTACTGACGTCGAATCTTGTCCTGAGCCTTTATGAGCCACTAGGTCCAAGACGGCAGTGGACGAAGGTGGGTATTGTAAACCATTCACTCCGGAATCATTTTTCGCCCTCAGAAGATCCCAACGGCCTCGCGCTTCGCAAGTGTCTCATCCGATCTTTTATATGGTGCCCATCCCTTAAAATACCGGCTTCGGACACAGACTCAATGCTGGACTCTGAAAGTCGCTGGGGGGTTCAGATGCTAGCTGTGTCGAATGACCACAATGATGTGATTATTCTACAAGTGCACCGGTCTGCACCTGTCAGCTCCTACAGCATCGAGCTCTTGGGCCTTCGCTCCCCAGATGCTCCTGGATCCCAGTATTCCACCTACTGTCCAGGATCCATCCTCGAAAATGCTCTTCAAACAAAACAGCGGGTTATCTCCGTTTCTTGTGGCCCATGGATTGCCTCACCAGAAACGAACACGGACAACGCCTATGCTGCTACGTCCTTGGTCGTTATGGTATATGGGTCGCAGCTACGAATGATGAAGGTTACCGCGGCTCTCAAAGCCTCGGATACAGCAGAACCACCGATTTATAATATGGCGGTGGATGTGACAGCCCACCCGTTGTCGTCGCTGGCTCAAACATGGCATGAGCATCACTTTACGGGCCTGCTCCACTGGGTGCCAATGGTATGATTGGATTCCAATATCTTAATATTTCGGGCTAATTCGACCCATTGCCGGATCAGAAAGCAGATTTTGCTCTCGCTGCAAGTGTCAATGCTGGATACTTCACCATTCACATACCTCACTCCGTGTATGGTGGCAATGAGAAGAAGCTCAATCAGACAAAAGCCCGTGGCCACCCCCTTTACGAGTCGACAACCTCTGAGGGAGTTGAAACTCAATCAAGGCACCTGGAGCCTATTTCTGGTAAGTTTTGACTCTAGCCATGGTCGACATTGCTAATTATGCGCAGCCATGACCAGCTTGTCGAACGAGCGGACGCACACCTCCACCCTTCATCTTGGAACCCTCGGCGGGCTTTGTTTCAAAACAACCATTGAGAAATCCAACGAAAAGGTATCGGCGCAGTTTCCGCAATGGAGGAAGACCGTTGAAGACCTGCGGGAACGGTTTGATTTGAACCACGACCTCAGTGGTTGGTCGGTGGCAAGGATCTGGGGATTGACATCCCGTCGAAATGTCATCGCAGCCTTATTTACGCGACATGGGACGGACATGGTGGAATATAAAGTCTCGGCAGATGACCGAGCAATGCTCATTTTCTCTACAGAGGATGGTGAGCACGAGGAAGACTCCCAGGCGCTCTTCGCACCAACCATTCCGCAACAAGAAACAGTGTGCGCTCGTGAGAAACGCGAAAGCGCTACCCAGTTCGTCCTGAGGAACTACGACGACGACCAACCCCACGGCCAACGACTCGTTTATGCCGCCGCATGTTCCGCAATTATAGACCAACAGAGTGATCCGACCCGAGCTCAAGCACGGCAGGCTTTGGAGCATTTGACACTGGTAACCGGGGCAGACCTGAGCGATGAGATCTCCAAATCCACCAGCCCTGGTGCACAAACAATCTCGGCCAAGTCACCCGATCAGCTCGACGGGCCAGGCGCACATTTGTTTGAGAGATGCGAGGTGTGCGATGCAGGAGTAGCGTGGTACTCTTCCCAGGAGGCTCAATGCGCAAATGGTCATCTTTTTGGTGAGTGATCTCATGGGATTTGCAATCGCCAGAGCTGACTCTCACTGGCTAGTTCGCTGCGGATTAACTTCGCTGGCTATACAAGAGCCGGGAATATCCAAGTACTGCTCCTGGTGTCATACTGAATATTTCGACGAGGAGGTCCTGGCTTGCACACGCGCTGATGATCTAGGACAAATGCACAGACGCATGTTCGCCGCATTTGATACGTGCCTGTACTGCGGAGGCAAGTTCCAGGCGAGCATCTAGGTTCGATAAGGAAAGCGCGGTGAGCAATACACAATTGAGCGTCGAAACATCAATTCATCAGCTAGTTCAGACCCAGAAGTGAGCCGGCGATAGGATCCCATTCGTCATCCCATCGCCGCGCACTTTCTTTTTGCGCGCCCACACGCAGCGACTCCAACCGGCTGTCATCGCCAAACAGGAGAACCAACCGGTCTGCGAGCTCTGCAGAGCTGCCGAAGCCCATCCCGTTGCGTCCCTCCGTCACTAGCTCTGGCCACGCCTCAAAATGACTCCAGCCCACCACCGGCAGGCCTGCACCGAACATGTCTACCACTTTCATCGGCAGGTCCACGCCACTACTGCTGGTATGCAGGCTGACTCCCAGCGCCGCCGACGCCAACAACTGCGCGTAATCCGGTACGCTCAACCATGCCGTCCGAATAGTGACCCTTTGGAGCCTTCCGGCTTGTTCATGTGCCTTGATCTGCTTCATATACATCTCCTTCTGGGGGCCCTTGCCAGTAATGATGGCCAACACTTCAGGGAGCTGGGGGTGAGTCGTGGTGGCCAGTTCCGAATATTGAAGAAGGGCATCAATGAGAATGGAGAAGTCCTCATCCGCCGTCCACGAAGTTGAGCTCACCAGAACCCGGAGAGTGCCTGCAGCCAGCGAAGAGCGCATTGATTTTGTTTCCGGCAGAGAGGCGAGAAACTCCCGCCGCACGCTAGGCTCTACGATGGGGTGAAAGTGAGCGGCGGGCCGGTCATGCAACGGCAAGACAGGGGCTCGAAGTGCAAAGTCCCTTTTCAGGACCGTGGCCATGGCATTGGTCACGCAAAAGTGCGCAGTGGCTGACTTGCAAAAGAATTTCTCGTACCATATCGAAAACTTTACGAGGGGGTGGCCGTTACCTAGCTTCAAGGCCAGGATTGAATAGCCGAGATTGTGCCAGTCAATGACAAGTTTCGTCTGCCGAAGAAAGCAGACGATCGACGCAATGGCCAAACTGGGGATTGACGGTGGATTCTACCGCGATAGGCGAGTCAGTATGTTCTAGGACTGGGTCGACCATATTTCCCTACCTGGACCAGCAGCCAGCGTGCTGGCTTTGTGTTGTATGCAAGACACTTCCATAGACAAGCGATTTGAAACAACACCTTCAAAGGCCCGTAAATCGTGAACAGGAGCTTGTTGCTGGTCTGGAGGATGGCCGGATGAGGGTGTATCGGGACAATGGATATGTTGGGATGCGAGGTAATGTCGGGGTGAGGGTCGGATTCTATAACCAAACGGTCAGTAGGACTCATAGCGTCAATCAAGCGAGAGACCGTACCTTTATACCCAATGATCACCACCTGCCCGCCTCGGTTCGCAATGCTCAAGGCATGGTACTGCATGCGCGGACTGCGGCCAATATCTCCCAGAACGAGGATCTGCACGCTGGTCTTGGTCTTTTGCGATCCATGTTGCGCGTCCGTTGGGGAAGAGCTGTGTGGCTGATACTGGGATGGAAGGCACAAAATAAATAGGGTAATCGCGGTGAATAGGAAGAAGGCGACGTTGAGGATTGAGTCAATCATGGTATTGAGGGCACGGTGTATGGTAGAACGGTAGGTTACCTGGCGTGTTCGTTGTATCGCGCAGCGATAAGGGCCCTGGACCTTACATCAGCACACCCGATAAGACGCATCACGTGCAGCCCCTAATAGCGCGCCCAGCTTGTCCTGTCTGGGACTCTTCTGTGTTGGCCTTTTTGCTTCCCCAATTGTCTGCGGCCGAGCTAGCCGGGTGTTACCAGCTGAAGATCCCTGACGCGCGACGCGATGCTGTGTGCCTCGGCCACTGCCCACCCTGTTTCCCTAAGCTCCTGAAGCTCCGCACCAATCCCCGATCATCTTGATCTTTCTCCGCGCCCGCCTCAACTTGAGACCATGTCGGCGGGGCCGACCTCGTTGAACGTGGATCTCTCTCCGCCATCCCATGCACACACTCCTAGTCACAGCCGAAGTCGCGGTCATGCTCGCTCCCCACGATGGGTGCCGCCACCCCTCTCACTGGCCCCCGAAAGCCAACCGCAACCGTTGAGTAATGGGAATGCAGGATACCCGAATAACGAGACCTCACAGGAGCCATGGTCTCAACATCAGCATGCTTCTGGGCACCATCACCACCATCATACCCACCGCATATCATCGGTTCACGGCGAGCATAGCGACGCGCTACCAGGTCATGACCCCAAGGGTGTTAATGGCGGCATGATGTCTCCGGAAACGCCGACGCATACGTCTGACTCCACCCAAAATCTCGTGTGAGTACTGTTAGAGCTGGCGCGAAATATATATATATATATAAAAGAAACTAACATCAGAACTAGCCATGAAACAGTCACTGGAGCTCTCATCGCGTTGCCGTGGATCGCGCACTCTTGGTACTCCAGAGAGTACGCGCGCACGTTTGAGGTACTCGGAGAAGAGCTTTCGGCTACAGACAATGTGCCTTCTGTCAGCATGATTGGCCAAGTCGGCCAGAAGACCTGCGCAATGACCGCCATCACCCTGCTCGTCTTCGGTTGCGGCCAACTACTACGAATGATCCGGGAGGACGGCGGCTCTCACGGCCTTTCTTCTGTCCGACTACCAGCGATCAATGTGAAAACTGCGCAGGCGTCATTTCTCATGATGTGCTCGGTTGGACTGCCAGTCTATGCCGCTCTCAAGATTGGAGGGTTCCTCGTTGCATTCTCCCTGCTTCTCGCAACGGCAACTGGTATACCGAACTTTCTTCGTGGTAACTCGCCCAACACGTCGCAGGAGCGCTTCAATCGAAAGAGGTTGACCCTCGCATTGATGGTGGGGGCTATGCTACTGAGTTATTTTGGATTGAACCAGCCGTGGGGCTCGTACCCAATTATGGGCTATGCGGCGCTGTTGGTTTCAACTTTGGTCATCTCACCTCCATTCCCGTCTCTGCAACACCATGGGCCTATTTCGGAGCCCGGTCTCGTTGCTCAATCTCTCACTGCACAGGCCAAACCACCCGGCTCAAGCTCCTCGGCACTCGTTGTCACGGCTGATGCCCCATTAGCCGCTATTTCTGGAGCCATTTTGGCGTTCCTGATGGCACTATTCTCCCAAATCTTTTCATTTGAGATGACGCCTTTCGTCGGTCTTTTGATCCCTGCCAGTCTCTTCGCCGCTTCGTTGGCGTTTTCTCTTCCAACACGTCTTCGGTCTCCCAGCAAAGTTGGCCTGGCCATCTGCACCGGAGCCGCTGCTTTTGCTTGTTCTCCCCACTTCAGAGATGATTATTTTATTGTTTATGTCGCGCGCATCATTCTATGTACCGTATCCTTCTTCGCCTCGAGGATGGATGACAGCCACTTGCGTGTAGATGCACATTCCCACAGCCATACGCACCATCGCCATCTCAGTCAGTCTCATGGGACCGCGGAGTCATGGCGATTGACGAAATGGATCGTCAATCGAAGCGAGCCATACCCCTTACTATACAGTATCCTTAAGGAAAAGGATTCTCGCAGCATCTTCTTTTTTATGTGGTGAGTTATTCATTTGAAACGACTTATCATGAGCTTTCTGACGGAGATATAGTTTAAACTTTGCTTTTATGCTTGTGCAATTGGCGTACGGCATCATAACCGGATCTCTGGGGTTGCTGAGTGACAGTATCCACATGTTCTTTGATTGTTTGGCGCTTGTCGTTGGACTCTGCGCCGCGGTGATGAGCAAATGGCCTCCCAATGCTCGATTCCCCTACGGATATGGCAAGGTCGATACTCTGTCTGGATTTGCCAACGGCATTTTCCTCATGTGCGTATTGACTTTCTCCTTGTTATTGAGCATCTCTAACAATCTGCAGGATCATCAGCCTGGAGATTATCTACGAGGCAGTGGAGCGGCTGTCGACGGGTAGCCAAATGCATCGCATCAGCGAACTCTTGGCTGTCAGTATTGCGGGGCTGGCTGTGAACCTGGTCGGTATCTTCAGTTTCGAGCACGGACATGCCCACCATGGACATGACCACGGCCACGATCACGCGCATGGCAACGAAAACATGCATGGTATTTTCCTGCATATTCTAGCAGACACTCTTGGTTCCGTAGCAGTGGTGATCTCGACCGTTCTCGTGCACTACTCTGGCTGGTCCGGATACGATCCATTGGCCTCATGCTTCATTGCGATATTGATATTTGCCTCGGCTGTGCCTTTGGTCAGCAGCACAGCTCAAACTTTGCTGCTTACGCTGCCGGCGGATACCGAGTACAATGTTCGTGAAACCCTAGCTGGGGTGAGCACCCTGCGAGGAGTTGTCGGCTATACCGTGCCGAAGTTCTGGCTCGATGATACTACCACGGTGCCGTCCGACCACAGCCACGATAGCGGTCATGGAAGCTGTGACCATTCGCATTCGCACTCGCATTCCCATACTCATGACCATGGCCACCATCATCACCATGATCATAGTCATGGTGGGCACGATCATGATCATGATCACGTACACGAACGCAAGAACCAAAAAGTGCTTGGTGTGATCCATGTCATTGCTTCGCGCGGTGCGGATCTGGAAGATGTACGCCAACGAACTACCAATTTCCTTCAAGAAAAGAATATGGACATCGTGGTACAAGTGGAGCGTGACGGAGATGGACGCTGCTGGTGTGGTGGAGGCAACAAAGGCATTTGATTTGGGTAGTCTATCGTTGCATTGGAAATCAATCCGCCCCGGCAATGGAAACGCCGATCAAATGATCCCCTCAAAGCCCGGCCTATTCCTGGGTCTGCCAATCCTCCGGACCAACTGTAACATATTGTACAGAAACGCGGGGGGGGGTATGCACACGACTATTTGAAAGTTCCTCTGGCGTTTGGAAAGTAAACAGGAAATAGATATACCCCCCGTCCAGAGAGAAATGTATGTTTTCCAAATACTGTCCTGTTGCTCTATTTCCCGTATCAACATTGTAGGCGAGTTTATAATGACCGGTCCTAATAGAATTGTCCCTTGTACCAACCAATGCCACCCGTTTCTAAGGCCCGTTTTCAGACCCTGCAAAAAGGCGTGCAGATCTGCTAGGGACCGAGCTTCACGGGCATAAGCCGAGACAGATCTGGACACAAAAGAACGCTCGTTGAAGTCGTACAAACCTCGGCTGCACATAACCCAACATATCTCAGAGACAGGTTCTCGGCGAATGCCTGTAAGGTGGAGTGAGACTGGACGCCAGAGGTCCAAGCCCATTGCTGCATTTCTCTCTTTCGAGGCATGAGCAAGGCTAGCGAAAGCTAGGACTGGTTTTATTTTTGGGCTGGGAGCAAGAGTCACATTCGACGATAGTCGTCCCACCACCCTTTTCCAGCGGGTGATACTGTCCGACTCGGACGCCCGAGAGGTGCCTGGGAACCAATTGATATATCCCCAGGATGCTAATATCGCGCATCACGATGCGCATCTACTCTTTCCCATGCCACCACGCATCTGAGCATAGCGCAGCTCGACTTGAAAAGACGCGCCACCAATGTCGTGGTCCCCGGCCCCAGCTTCGTCTCATGCAGACGAGGTCCTGCAACGAGGATATGCGAGAATCTTTGAGTCTCACACGGTCTTCCTGACCGGATGCACAGGGTCGCTGGGAGGGTGTCTCTTATACAAGCTCGCGCTCCGACTTCCAACACGCAAGATATTTGCATTGATCCCGGGGCAAGCCCCAAACGGCAATTGACAAATGGCGGAAATCCATGCCCCACCAAACAGAGGCGATTCTAGCCTCGAAGAAAGTCGAATTCGTGACCGGAGACATCAAATCCGTCAATTTCGGTCTCGAGCCCGCTGTCCTCGAGCAACTCCAGAGCCAAGTGACCCTCGTCATTCACACGGCAGCCAAGATCGCCCTCGAGGCGCCTCTTCGGGACTCGTTTGAGAACAATTGTCTTCCATCACTGGAGCTCGCGCGGATCGCATCGAGGTTCCGAAAACTGAAATTACTCATTCAAATTTCCACCGCGTACGTAAATAGCTTCCTTCCCGATGGTCCCGTCCTGGAACGACCGTATACCCTAGCAGAGGAGGATCCGGAGGATGAGCTGGCATCCATCCTGACGCATAATGCTTCACCGCACGCCGCCCAGTTCGCCTCCTCGTACGGCCTGGCCAAGTACATGATGGAACGTCTGCTCGTGAAAAGATATCCGCAGCTGCCGGTCTTGCTTGTGCGGCCAACAATCTTCGCTCCTGCGCTGCGAGAGCCGTATCCCATGTACGGCCCGGAAGACTCGACGCCACTGACCAAGTTTGGACGGTTCATAATCGCAGATCGGGGAGGCACACAAGTTTGGCATTCGACAGCTGGCTACAAGACTGGGGTTAACGTGATCGACGAGATACCCGTTGACTTCGTGGCCAATGCATGCTTGCTGCACGCGGCTGCGCGCACGACCGGGATCGTCCAGGTCGGCTCCGAGTTATACGAGCCGCATACTTTCGACCAATTCATCGAGCTTGTCCTCGCTAATGCACCGCCTGGTATTCGAAGGGAGCTGCCGAGGTTTGTCTTCACGGAAGATCAGAGCGCACCGCAGTGCTTCGTGGCTGAGCTGGTGGCGGTCGCCTCGCGCAATTGGTTATTCGATTGTGGTCGGTCATATTGGCTAAAGCAGGTTGGGGGACCATTGAGTCTACGGTCGTGCACACACCAGGCAGAAAGCATGAATGTAGCGCGGATCCGCCATATCTACGACACGATTGCGGAGCAGGAGAGGGCACGTCTTTGAATAAGTGCGCTGTATGGACGAATGTGCCGGAGTAACGGCGTCATGTAGTTATCGTTACCAATGAATTGATGGGGATCACTGTTGGGCACGCTCTTGGAATAACGGGTAGTTATAGCTATATGGTCATGTCACAGTCCCATCTTGTGCTGTGGCCATGTCAATGCATCCTGCCACTGCGAATTTATAGGGCTCACGACCTTCAGCAGCTCGGAAACTAACGCGCGCCCCGAGTTCCGAGCCCACCACCGTTGCCCATCCAGTTCACCCAACAGCACGCCCCAATGCATGAGAATGAGCAGGGGTAGGGGTTGCCGCCTCCGGACATTGTCTAGAAAGTCTTTATTGACTGCAGCAAGCCAGGCGAGGACATGCGCAGGGCTTGCGGTATCGTTAAACATGGAAACAGAGTAACGGAGGGAGTCGATGACTTTTTTGTTGATCTGATGTTGTTCGGGGTCGGTGTTCTCGAGGGTCTCATCATTCAGAGACGCCAGTCTCTCAAAGGCTACCTGTGCAGCACTCTCTAGCTCGATTGGGTCGCCGTTCCAGTTACCCGTGCCGCGCGTGAATAGATTCAGTTTGATCCATGGTTTTCCGATAGTAAAAATGTTCTTCACGCCCTGCAGAAGCTCGAAGACTACGACAATATTCTCGGTCATGCCCTGACTCTCATTACGATCGGCCGTGAGTTGCGGCAAGGCGATGCCGATGACGATAGTGATGACTGCCTGCGCGAGCACGGCCTCACAGTTCAGCGGCGTGATATTGGTGACGGCAGCCCGGAACGGTGCGAATGTGAGATTATGGTACTCGAGAGCTGTATCGATGTAGGCCAGAGATCCCGGGGGTGGGGTCGTCGAAGCGATGTGCAACGCGGCGAGGGCCAGGATGCCATTCATCAAAAAGTCATACTGGAGCGCCTGGCGGGGGACATCAATTTTCCAGACGCGATCTTCATTGTCGGTCGTGCAGAGACTCTCATACGTCTCTGTGGAGAACTTGTGCATCAGCTCCAGGTCCCGAACGCTGGATGTGGCCGGCAGGGAGACCGACGGACGGGGGACCGCGGGCTGTAAGGTGGTGACGGGTTGGACGCTGGGCGAGGGGCCGACATGATGGGCTGGATGAGATCCAGCGCGCTGTGGGGGAGCTCTCAGGTATGTGCAATCAATCTCGCGAGCAGTACAATTAGAACAGGGCGGTCCACGTTCGTCACACTGCAGCTGTCAGAACCGGTGGAACATGCGGGGGGTCTCCCGGAGGGGGGGCCGGGCTGACCTTCACGCGGCGGCGTTTGCACTGGTCGCAGCCCTTGCGGGACTTGGTGTGAGCACGGCGAGGAGGCATTCCGGAAGCCGGATCTGCGGCCCCTGCGTTGGTCCATTTACTGATTGGGGGAGGGGGGAAGAAGGAAGGAAAGAGACGCGAGAGCGAGAACGAGGGCGGGTGAGGGTCATGTGACTTCTCGGAATAGGGCGGATGGATGATTATTATTATTATTATTATTATTATTATTATTATTATTATGCTGTTGGTTGGATTATCGAGAGATCTAGACCATTCGGTGGCAGACCTAGAAGATCGATTGCAGTGCAGGGGATGTCTATCTTGAACCAAGAGTATGTCGATTGATGGATTCGTGCACACACACACGGTCAGGGGTAGTTCTGACGGAGGAATCCGGGGCTAGGGATTGCTCAGTACGGATCCGTTTTATTATGGGGACATCCAGATCTTGATGTTTCTTATGTAACCATGTCTCTGCTGAGTCCATGATGTATAGATCCCCGACCACGCAACCGATCTCGCGTGGAAATCCAGTGGAGCCTCAGTGGGTAAGCGAGAACGAAAACGAACCCGACCACCAATGGATCACAGCCTCGCTTCTGCCGTTCGGCTCTTGGCAGCCCCGGTCGGAGACATTAACCCGTCTGACAGCAAGGGAAAATGTCTGCGTGTATATGTTTGCGCTGATCCGCCGTTGCGGGTGTGGTCATTAATTGGCTTTCTTTCGTTTTGGACGACGAGCAACTCCCCTGTTCTATTGGGACTCGTTTCCGTTTCCACCCAATAAGATGCCCGGCTACGCGGACTGCTACCAGGTCAGCCCTGAATGCCCGGTCGAGGCGACGACCTACGGCTACTACCCAAATCTGGGCGCCAATATCTTCTTCACCGTGTTCTTTGGTCTGCTGGGCGTGTGCCAGGTCGGTCTGGGTCTTTATTTCCGAACATGGACATTCTCGACCGCACTGTGCATCGGCGCGTTGATGGAGATGGCCGGGTATGTTGGCCGGATCTTGATGAATGGGAATCCATGGTGGGAGAGCGCGTTTGAACTGCAGATTGTGTGTCTGGTGCTGGCACCAACCTTTATCGCCGCCGGTATCTATTTGACGCTGAAGCATCTCATTCTCCGCTTGGGACCAGAGCACTCCTCGCTCAAGCCGCAGCTGTTCACCTGGATTTTCATCGGCTGCGACATCGGCTCGCTGATCCTGCAGGCGGCGGGCGGTGGTGTCGCGGCGTCGGCGGGAAAAACGAACCAGCACCTGCTGCAAGCCGGAGACGATATCATCATCACGGGTATTGCCTTCCAGGTCGTCACGATGTCGGTGTGTGGGTTGCTCGCGCTGCATTTCTTCTGGAATGTCTTCCGCCGTGGTGATGGATTAGCCGGTGAGAAGAATCTGGAGAGCAGCGCCGTGTCGACATCGCAGAGAAGACTGCCCTTTGTCATCGGCGCGATGATTTTGGCCTACTTCACTGTGTTGATTCGGTGCATCTATCGGTAAGCAAAAGATCTTTTAGTGGCTGGGCAACTGGCTGACCATATTTGAAGTATTCCGGAGATGGCGGGCGGTTGGGGCAACCCGCTGATGCAAAAGGAGAACGAGTTCCTCGTCCTGGACGGAATGTAAGTGATATCTGGATTTTATGAGACCGGATACTTGTCTAACATCGCCATATCAGGATGATCGCCATCGCTACCCTCTCCTTTACCCTCTTCCACCCCGGATTCTACCTCCCTTCAATGCGGACGGGATACAAAAACCGCAGTTGATCATTCCCCTCTCTTTTTCTGCATACTTGGAGTTTTCTGGTTCAGCCATTTCGAGCTGAGGTGTTTGCACATAGCCGCATACAGAGTGCATGTCTTTTGAGCTGGACTGGCCAAATCCAAGACAAATAGAACATGGTTATAGATGCAATTAGTTGGAAAGAAATAAATATCCATATGAAGTAGAACCGAACGCGAACCAGTACATCACATATGTAGTCAGACGCAACTCCAACAACCAAATCAACATAGACCCCAGATCATGAGAGAAAAAATTGCCCAGAAATGCCGTACAAACAGAAGGAGGAAAACACCCGCTCAGAGCGTGGCCATTCACTGACCGGACCCGTCCGCATCGCTCGCTCTATGATGCAACAAGGAGAGTGACCCCCCCATCCTCAGGCTGTAGCCGTGCTAATAGCCTGTTCACTCCTCGCCCAGACTCTCCCGGACACATCGACGAACGCGCTTCTTGAACTCGGCAGGATCCTCACGCCATAATCGGGCCGCTTCGACGTTGGCGGGACTCTCGTCGTTGGGGCTGGACAGCATGGAAATAACGGACAGAAGGATGGTCTCGGGGGTTTGCACGGGGGACCAGCGCTCGGCGGCAGACTCGTAGCCATACTTGTCCTCCTCGGGCGGGTGCAGGATGGAGATGCAGACTTCGCCGTTGGGGTAGACTACATCCGATAGTTAGTATGCATGTCAATGCCTCCGGTGCTGCTTGTAGCTCAAACTTCCGGTGGCTAGGCACATACTGTTTGGGTGGAAGAGCGGTGTCTCAAACTTCATCTTGGGTGGCAGGTGCGGGTACTCTGAAGGGAAGGACAGACGAGCACGGAAGAAACCCCCTATAGTAGGACTGTCAGTTTGGGTCTATGCCAAGCGGAGGGAGGGTGTTCAGAATGATCTGCAGAGGGGCTGTTCCCGCCGAACAGAGGGTTGAACAGAGGGTTGGACAGAGGGTTGGACAGAGGGTTGGACAGCGGGTTCAACGAGGTGGTTCTTCTCCCAGAACGCGACCACTCACCTCCGTACAACTTGACATCGTCCGAGATCATCAGCATCACCTCCCACTCGAAGACGTTGTTATCGGCCAGCCCACAACTGATCCCCGGAATGTCCTTATCGGATTGCATCTGTTGCAGCTGGCGAGACAGCATACGGCCGGCGGGTGAGGTCGCCATGACGGAAGGTCAAGGAGAAAGAAAGAGTCTGGTCACTACTGAGAGCAGAAAGGAATACAACAAGTTATCGCATGGAGGATGATCTAGTGCCGGGGAAGAAGGAACAGATGAAAAGAATGAGGGGGGGAAAAGCAGCAAGGCGGTGAGCGGGGTCAGGCGGCCTAATGGGCTGGTTAGGGCTTTGGTTGATACAGTGACACGAGGGTATTCATTGCTAGGAGTAACTGAAGTGCTAGATTGGATCAAAGAATGGACAGATCACGATATAGTATTCCTGGCGAGTGACAAGGGGCGATACGAGATATAATCAGGGGGAAGGTTAGGTCCAATTGTACTCTCCACTCTCTTTCCTTCCAGGGCCATTTATCCACGGACCAGAGGGAACATCGAATGCCTACACGCTCACACCCTTGGGGTCCGAAGGCCCTCCAATAGCCAGGACACCAGGACCCATCAGCATCACCTCCCCGACCAGGATAGCCACAGCCGCAACTCCCAGTGCCATCTCGATCAAAATCGTCTTCCCAATGACCTTGCCGAAACGGACGCGAGCCGGCCAGTCAAAGGTAGCCCATGCATCCTTGACACTGAGACAGCCACTGCCGCCGGTGATGGCGGGGTTCACCTTCCCACCGAAGGACCGGTCAAAGGGCACGATCGACTCATCCTCTTCCGGAAGCATCGACGCAGCAACACGGATAAAAATGCCCCGGGCGGGGATAGAGATCAAGAAAGCAAATAGGGCCGGGATAAGATAGATGGCCATGGTGCTGCACACGTATTTCATCGTAATCTCGTCCCTGGGGGTCTCAAAGTCGATCAGACCAAGAGCTTCGAGAACAGCCAGCGGGAGGAAGAAGCCGGCTGCAGTGAGGATATCCTGCAGAGCCACCGCGGGGGCAATCTTCGGCCAGGTTCGGTAGCTGGGAATGCGCTGGTAGAAGGGCTTGGGCGAGGGCTCGGAGATGACGATGTGCACCCAGGCCATCTGCCAGGTAGCCAGGAGCATGCTGATGCAAGACTGGGCGAGGAACGAACCGAGGAACGAGCCACGGGTGGGGAGCAGGCCGGAGATAAAGCCGCGAGCGAGGGAGTAAACGAGGAAGATGCTGAGACCGCGGAACGGCGACCAGAACCCGCTTCGGGCGCGCAGATGCCGCATGGTGGTGCGCAGCTTGCTGGTGATGGGCTGGAGTGGGGTGGAAGTGGCCATTTCGGGCTCGTTCGGGTTAACGGGCTTATTGGGGTCGTCTTCGTTACTGTCGATGCGGACGTAGATGTCCGGGTTGGTATCCTCAACCGCAGCCAAGGTGGCGACCACGTTGCCAAGGGTATATTGGACCTGCCAGCGAGATTAGCTGAGTCGGATCAAAGGCACCAACACTACATACCGCCCACATGGTCAGACTGATCGCGAGGATGGTCAGCCCGAAGATGCCGAACATCCATGGCGATGCCCGGGGCTGATTGTCAGACGGCTCTCTCTTCAGATGAACAGCGGCGAGCTCGGCGCCTCGACGGAAGACGGTTCCGCTGATAGTCGACATGATGGATAGCGGAAAGTGAGGATGATGGAGAGGGAAGAAAAGAGATGGGGGGCGGGGGAACATAAGTATTTACCTGATGCGCTGACGAGGCTGAGACAAAGTAGGCAGCACCGCCCGGTACTTGCAGGATACTTGGCGCACGCAGATGATCCACGCTGCAAACAAAGTACCTAAGAAGTACCAGATTAGCAATCACGCCTTAGTTGGTCCTCTCCCATTTGTCAATAACAGTAACGAACAGCAATCTCTTAATCAATAATCAACTTGAATACCTAACCATATCCAGAGTTGAAACCAAAACACCGTGTCCATGCCAAGACCGCCCCCAAAAGGCAAACAGTTCAGAACAAACGGTGGCGACGGAGCCGGCATCGTGTTGCCAATGAACGTCCGTCGATTGTCCCGACAACTTTGGCCCGCATCTCACAGAAGTAGTGGAGTAAGATGTAAAACTACAGAGCAAGGAAATAATGCATGGCTACCAATTCTCAGCCCTGTACAGTATGTAGTCTATCCTTCTATACAAAACCCACCGGAGATCGAAGGATCCGACACATCTCTAGAATAACACAAAGGACCAATCAGCCGGAAAGAGAACGCTGCAAAGAAACAAACGAAATGACGGATATATACACAACAACACGAAGAAATCATCTAGTCGTCAAAAAGCTTCTTCATGAACTTGTGCGCCAGCTCGACACCGAGGCTATTCCGCATGGTCAGCAGCATTCCCAGAATATGGTTGCAGGAAACTTACAAAGTAGCTGCGTTGGCCGGCACAGCACGCGCCAGAGCTGGGCCAAAGCCGGGGAAGAAGGCCTTGAAGCCTCCACTGGCATACACGGCGCGGATGGTGCCGCCGATCGTCGGCTTGCCGGGGGCACTTTGCAGACGGGACTTGATCGTGTCGACGGGGAAGACCGGAATCCACATGGCAATACCGGCCGCACCACCGGCCGTCAGGACCGCGGGCAGGGACAGTTGACCAGTCACGTTGCCATTCTCGTCCTTGGGGGTCAGCGACCGCTTGATGTACTCGTAGGCCGCGAAGTAAGCAGCGGATCCCGGTCCATCACGCGCCAGGGTCATGGCGCTGCCACGGAAGACACTGCGAACACCACCCTCCTTGTACAACTGACGGACCACGTCCATGCCGCCAGAATACTTGGGCTTCTGGCCCGGGGGCGGCGGGTTCTGGCCCTGGATCTGGAGGAGCACCTTGACGCGCTCAAAGGGAGCGGTAATCAAAGTCATAGGGATAGCGGAGAAGAAGCCGGCGGCGGAGATCTGCGCGATCGAGTACTGGGGAGTGTCGTTCTTCACTGGAACCTCCGACATCTTGCGGACAAGTGTCTTGCCCACATCATAACCCTGGAGCCGGGTCGGTTAAAATTAGTCTGACACGGTGTGAGCTTGGTTACATACCCAAAAGCTGACGGCGACTATTCAATCAGAATCACGTTAGTTTCAAGATCATTGGATTGGGCCATCCATAAGCCATTGGAGCGGTTGGCGCAAGCACTTACACATCGGAGTCACTCCCACCAACGGCGCGGACACGCCGGCGTACAGTCCCTAGGCCAAGAGTCAACAACAGTCCCAGATCTCAATTGCTGGCGAGGAATGCGTACCCGTGCCAGACCCTCCCGGGCGACCGTTCTCTTCACCACATCCATGGCACCCGAGTAGACGCCCTTCTCGGCAGTCTGCAGGCGCACCTTGACCAGGTCGAAGGGGTGTCCCACTACCACGGCGCAGAGACCCCCAGCAGCACCAGCGGCAAGAGAACGGAGCTGGACAATGGTCTGGTTCACAGCCTTGGTCTCGATGGCCTTGACCTCATCCTTGAGCTTCGGCGGGGGCGAGCTGGAAGTCGACATTGTGGGCAGGATTGGGGGCGAATTGGAGGCTAGGAGGGGGTGGAGGAAAGGCGAAAGTGAAGATGGAAGGGGGGAGAGGAGAGCAGGGAAGATGGAAGAAAGTAAGAAGGAGGAAGAGCAAGCTGAGAAAAATAATAATTATGAACGAGGGCCGAAACTGAGACTCGGTGTGCGCGAAGCCGATGTTTCCCTTGGATTTCCCCGGACAACTTGGGCCTCGGCTCGGGAGGCGGTGAAACGGTCGCCGAGTAGTGGTACAGACAGTAGAGTGAACGCACGGTCGATATACCCAGTTCGATCAGAAATTAGGACAAAGTGAGTATCAGTGACTAGGGAATATTGTCTGCAAGTCGCAAGTAACAAAAGGTGGTGGTGATCCGGGTGAACGGGAAACTTAGGTCAACGCCTGCTGACGCTCCCCGTTTCCCCGCGGACGACAGGGTTCGGACGAACGAATTAATTAACGATTCCGGTGATATGGATTATTCTTCATTATTCACAGACATGGAGTACTACATGGATCTAATAATACTACCAACTACACAGGACTAGTTTTGCAATGTTCAATCACATGGGAATCACCATGTGGGTGGAGCATGACTTCATTAGGACTAAGAAACTAATTAACCCTTGTACTACAGACTTTCTTCCTCTCCACTATTATTCTTACTATCCAATATCCACAAGGAACAATCCTGCTTACAGCACCAGCATCGCAGCCAGACCCAGGACAGCTGCACCGCTGCCGACGGTGGCCATGGGCATAGCCGCGCCAGTGGATGTCGAGCTAGAGCCCTTGTTGCCGGAGCCAGATCCAGAGCCAGATCCATTGCTGCTGCCCGAGCCCGAGCCAGAGCCAGATCCATTGCTACTGCCCGAGCCCGAGCCAGAGCCAGATCCATTGCCACTGCCCGAGCCCGAGCCCGATCCGTTGCCAGTGCCAGTCTGAGACGCACCCATGTTGGTCTTGGTGCCGGTCTGCATGGTGGTCCAGGTAGTAGCATCGGCTCCAGTGCCGGAAGTTATGGTAGTCTAATGTCGCAGTCAGTAAAGAATCATCATCAAAGACTTGCAAGGGTCTCACCAGGTGCTCATTGCCGGTCTTGGTCTCAGTCTCAGTGTTGGTCATAGTGGCCGTGGGCTGGCCATTGGTGCCAGTCAAAGTGGTGGTATCGGTCATGATGCTAGTCGTCGCACCGCCAGCAGCGGCAGAGCTTGATTCCGATCCAGATCCAGATCCGGAGCCGGAGCCGCCTAGGGGTTCATGGTCAGTTTAGGCACATATCTTCCGACGAGGGGAACGTACCAGAGCATTTGGATAGAGCCATCTGGACAGCCTCTTGCGGGTTAGAGCCGGGGCAGGCCTGGTCGGTGCAGTCACGGACACCCCACTCGTAGTCCTGGCTCTTGCACAGGCAGGCCATATCGCCAGACGAGCAGCCCAGCTCGGACGCCTTGGCATTCATGTTGGAAATGCACATGTTCTATACATCATGTTAGCACTGCTAGGCAACCATGTCAGGATGCGCGCCACTCACAGCGCAGTCCGAGGTGCTCATATCGGCGGCAGTCACCATGCCGACAGCGGCGAACAGGGCCAGCGCAACTGGGGCGAAGGACTTCATGGTATCGGTTGTGGGAGATTAGATCAGGATGAAAACAATTCGATAGAAACTGGCAGCGGCTGGGGACGGGAATCTGAAAGTATACAAAACAGGCTGGGAATAAAAACAAACCAGGCCGCTTCCGGGGGATATTCGTCGTTTATAAAGGGCCAGCAAGGAAATTAGCTGGAATCAAAATACTGCATGCACCCTCCCTTTCGACGGAAACACTAACACTTTCCCCAGACCGGAAAGACTGGTCCATCAGAACCCCCCGGTTTACCCAGCCACCATTGGGGATCGACCGCGCGAATTACTTGGATGATACATGAGCGGGCGAGCTTGTTGTGCTACCCAGCCAACGTGGCTAGTGAAAAATTTCACGGGCCTGTTCCTGAAGGCCACATGAAGTCATCCACCGCAGACCCTTACGGCAGATCGGCTCTGTGAGAAGCTGGATCGAGATCTGAAATAGGGATTGATCGCCTGGTCGCGATAATTCGCACCTTAGTTGGGCGACAGTCCCGATGTGATAGGTCCGTCTCATCTCCAGGATCCGTCAAGCGCAGTTGGGCTGATATTATGATGATTTGAGTTTCCAGGGGGTTTCCCTGCGCTGTGATCAGTGAGGAGGAGCTCGTCCCTGCGGCGAACCCCCCATGAATAATGATGTTTCTTGTGAGATAGATGAGTTGGTTGATTCAGGACTACCCGCTATGAGAGGAGCCGTGGGAAGACACAGAGCCCTCATCCTTGATTGCAGGCATGCACCCGACACAAAGGAGTCGAGGACGAAATACATAAACAGGTGTTTGGTGGCGCTGGGTGATCGGCAGCTAATCGATTTTGTAGTTCGGTGATAGATCCAAAAGCCCGACGCGCTATTGATCTGGGCTGTGCAGCTTCCAGTCACCGCCAGTTGTGGCTGGGCTGAACGGCAACAGCCACAGTCCACAGCGGAAGACTCTTGACCGGGTACTCCGCGATGATGATTATGATTGTGGAGACATTTCATTCAATTTCAAGTCTCCGTTTGGTTGGTGGATGGATTGTTGACGGACACGGCTCATCACGTGTGGGTCAGCCATACATTAATCAGCCACTACTTATGGATGCCTTCACCTTGATTGATTGATGGTTCATCATTCCAGCCGGACATAATGGCGGAGATCAATCCAGACCAGTATGTTTGCGACTGCCTAAAGACGTATGAGCGACGTATGGTCCTTCCGCTCAGTAGTAGTTTAGCGCAGCACTGACGCTCCAGCACAGGCGACTTGTTTCTGCGTCATCGCCGGCGGTGCCAGCGGCCTAAAAAGTCAACCACGCGCCGAAAGGCCTGCGACGCGTGCGTTCAGGCCAAAGCAAAATGCAGCTACACGCATCCGACATGCTCCCGATGTGCCACGAGAAGCAGACCTTGCGTCTACGCCCCCGGCCCTCGGGTGAGAATGGCACAAGCAGCGGACAGCAAACGCCTGTCGATAGAGCTCCAGATTTTATTTCACCTCGAGGCAGTTCAGCCTGGGACCTACAAGGGATCGCCTGGCCTAACAATAGTCTCGACTTGCCCGTGGATCTGCCTACGCCCTCGGCTTTCTTAGCCGCGGCTCAGCCGTCAGAGGCTGGCCAAGCCGAGCCGGACTCGGTGTACGATTTCATGCGTGGAGAAACCCTAGTTTCTCCACCCGACCTCGTTAACCGACCCATGTCTGGTTCAAAAGCCTTGGACTCGAATTTCACTCCACCCGCAGAGTCAAACCTTCGTGGCTTGGTGCATCTCGTGTGCCAATACCCCCACTCGCTCCTTCGCGATGAATTTTGTACTCCCTTCCTCCATCAGGGACTGTATGATGAAGACACCCCCGACATAACAACGCTAGAAAGAACCTCCATGGCCATTTGCTGCGGAGCTGCTATGGAGGCGCCGGACGGAGCGCGCTTCACCAGACGCACAATGGATGTGGAGCGACGTAGGTTGATTGATGCTTATCCATCTTACCAATGCATGCGGCAATGGGATGCACTGCACGCCATGCTAATATATGAACTTTTGGAAATGAAAGCATCGTCACAACAAGAAACCGAGAGCTGGAAGCAGAAGCCGAAAGCGAAAGGTCTGAAATCGCCCTTCCTTGCTAAAATGACTCGATATTTTACCCAATGCCACCTTGAAACTCCCAGCGAAGATCTCCTAGCACCCTTAGGTGTGTCACCTATGCAGACTTTGGAGCAGTGGAGGGTTGCAGAAACATCCCGACGGACTATATTCTTGGCCCATATCGTACATTTCCTGAGCAATTATGATTTCAAGAGCGGGAAACAATCCATATATTATGAGCCGCTCGACGACTATATGTTTCTGAACTTGCCTTTACCTTCTAGTCATGCTCTTTGGACGGCGCGGAACGAGCAAGAGTGGAAATTTACCTTTGAGTTCCAGCAAAACAACATCACTCCAATGGTCAGTGACCCATCCACGCCACACTCTCTGGGAGCGGCCGGCATGACCCTTCAGCATCTACTGTCAAATTTCGATAAAGAATTTCTGCGGACGAGTTTTACTCGCACCGCTGGTTTTGGAGGGTCTGATGAGTTGCGACATCTGATTGTCCTTTGCGCTCTGGAACAGCTCACTTGATACGAACAAACTTGTCTATAAACATTACTTAATCAAATGTCTTCAGTTGATCTTGAACATTTGTAATCCGCACTCTGCCTTCGATACCTGCCCCTCGGAGTCCGGTGGCCGCGACCATGAAACTCCGGTCGTTATCGACAGGGACCGTCTCCGATCACTGACAACCCATGAATTATCCTCCCACATATAAACGGAGTTGTTTCGGCAACGTGCACTGCCGCCCAGATGCAATCGGCTGTCTTTTATTTCCTTGTCTACTTACTATCACCGCTCGACATGATCTCCAAAGTTACTGCCACTACCGCTTCAGGCAATGCGCATCGCCTGCTTGGAAGCATTCTGTTCGGGCGCAACATCACGCCCAAAGCCGATGGCGGAATGAATGACACTACTCCCTTGACTGAAGCGTGGGGTTTGCACTCGGGTGTCTATACTCCACGCCAGCTGGTAGAGAGTTTTGCACCTTTACTGGACGTCGTAGTCCACGGACTTGGAAGCAATCCTCCAAATTCAAAGCCCTCTCGTGTTCGGCTTCTAGATAATCTCGCTGCCAACCTGGCTACCGATACGCGCGAAGCCACACTCCGCCTCGCGGAACCTCTTGACGTTACACGACAAGAAATGAAAGACCAGGCAACACGCATCGGCAAGTCACTGGTTCATTGGGCTCGCGAGTCTCACACCAAATCATTTGACCCGAGCATGTATCTCCGAAGTCCCTGCGAGGGCCACTTGCTCATTCCGTCCAACGTGGACTTGATGTTCGGTGACCGAAGCCAACCGCACCTGATGCAGTTGTTCAACGAGTACATGCACCAGATGGTCCTTCTTCGTGATGCTCTTCTCCCATTTCAGAATTACCAGGATGTCCTCATACCCATCGATGGCAAGGCTGCGAGAGGTATACGGCATTTGGAGTCTACTAGGGCCCAATTTCTTTCTGAGATGCTCACGAAGCATACAACCCAGAAAGGAGTCATGTCATATGCCAAGTCGCTTTTGGCACCCACGCTCTTTTCTGCCGCTTCTGTTGGTTATGGCTTTCAGTATGCGCATGGTACTGTTCTGCCATCGTTCCTGGCTGGTGGTGCGACCTCGCTGCATTTGCTGCAGTATATTCCGGCAATAATTGAGCCCAGCACAACAGACATCCTGTTCGACTATCAGTTCGAAGACTATTATTCTGCACCTCTGCTTGAGATACCCGCGGGTATGCCAATTGACGTATCTGCTCTTAGCTTCCCGGGAGAAGAGCCATCTCTGGTCGAGGACGTCTCAGTAGGTCTGCTTAGTTCTTCGGAGAAGGGTGGTCGGCTTGAACTACGGATCGAGTTTAAATGCGGGAAGTGTGCGGCTATTGATCTAGGCCAAATTGCTCGTGGACATCGATACTCATACTTTGCACGGCAATCCAATCCTCTCCCAGAAAGCACCGAAACCTTAAACGGTGCTACGACTGAGCCTCAAAAGAATCCTGCATCTGTCATTTTTCACCACTCCACTGACATCTTCAAGACACCCAACACAGGTCTGCTGAGTGCCAAAGCAGGCGGTGTCCATGTGATTCCTGCCGTTGATCCCATTGTCACTCTGGCTATTCTGGGGAGGCTGTACCCTGAAAATGTGATATTGCTGCCTCGAAATGAAGGGCTGAGTCAGACTGAAAATGCTGGTAAAGGTTTTGAGCCCAAGTTTGTGATTTGGGGCGGTGTTGAGCGTGGTGGACTGAAGGGTGTTTTTTGAGAGACTCAATTGATTTAGAGTCATTTTTTTGATAAGGCTTATTTGTTTCAATTGATATGAAATATCATACCTGCTGGATTCTAGGCTTTCGAGTCTTGTGGAAGCCCTGACCGCTGAGGAGGAAATGAATTAAGGTTCCGGAGCTGGCTGGCCGTTCACGGGAGTTCCATAGTCGCGCCATCCGCAACATATCTTAATAACTTTGTGCGGCCTAGATTATTCCACTTTCCTGGTGAACCGACATAATGTAAATCAAGGATTGATGTTACTTTTCTTAACTCCGGAATGAAGGAACCGTACGTAGCTGTGATCGCTGTGGAATGTTCGGCACAATCCGGTGGGTCCCGATCCACCGGCCCGAGTGCAATAAAAAGTTTTCACGGCATCCACCACTGGATTCATACCCAATTGAAGGGCAAAAAATGACCGACGCAGGGGTCGAACCTGCAATCTCTTGATTCGTAGTCAAGCGCCTTGCCATTGGGCCAGCCGGCCAACGTTGAAGTTTTAAATTCAGATGGTGACTTGCATTGCAGAACGAATGGGGTATAAGAGAATACACGTGAGCCTTCTGCTCAGATCGCTAGATAACATAGAAAAAACGAATGAAATGCTGAGAACCATGTATAACCAAGCCAAAGAACACCGAAAGATGATATGATAACCATCATGTGCTATGACAGGGAGAAATCCCTCATACCTCTTCCGAGTCAGTCTCATAAATATCAGGCATCCTCACTCGCTTCTTCTCAACAAAAATTCCATTGTCAACGGATGGTACGCGAGAGCGCCGCCGGCGGTGTCGGCGATCCCGATGACTGCGGCGAGCGGACAGAGACATCCCAATCATTCCAATGACAAACCCGCCCGCGTAGGCCAGCGTACCCGCCATGGCGCCGAGAGCAATGGGCAGCACGAATGCGCGCCAAGTCCGGGAATGGTGTGGGAAATCCGATCCAGTCGGGGATGGTGAAGAGCGGAATGGTGAGAATATATCGTCGCCCTGGAATGACTTGGAGGCGGCATAGGGCGTAGACGCCGCATATGGAGAGTTCGCGGTGCCCGATGGCGGAGCGTCATTTTGAGTAGAAGACTGCACGCTGCTCAACAAGGAGTCTACTTTCGAGCTCCACCAGTTCATCTGCCATGGCCGCGGCTTTGACACGGGGCGAGTCTCGCGATATGTACTACCGGGTCCAATCCCCACACTCTTGATGATATTGTCACCATCGCCAGACCTGAGAAGGTCCACCACGACCGCATTCGTCGTAACTGGCATGCCGTGCAGATCGAGCAGTTCTACGCGGAGACGCATCAAGCCTGCGGCCATGCCCGAACCTTCTGTCGACAGCGGACGCACATCCAAAGAATATGACAGGATACTGTCGTCGTCTAGAAGAGCTTCGTTTGAGTCGCGATATTGCGGCGCGTGTAGCCGCATAGACGCTGATGGAGGAAAGATCGGATCGTCATTGGCGCAGACGATGCCATTTTGAACGGACCAGATTATTGACTATTGCGCGTTAGTTAATTTTTTCAGCTTTAAAAAAAGCAATCACTGTACCTACCAGATAGGACTTGGCAGCGCTTTTAAGGGAGGCGTCATCGTAAGAGGAGTGAGGGAGATATGGGAGAAGCAATTCATGAGCGCTAGAGTCGTCGGTATTGGATAGAGATGCGACTGCGAGTCTGCTCAGGCAGAGAGTGAACCACCAAGCAACCCGCATCGTGTGCACGAGAAAAAGAGGGAGAGAAAAAAAGTGGAAGGAGAAATAGAGTTCCAATACGAGACCAGGGGGGTATGATTTGTTCTTAAACGAACCCACGAAGTGAGGCTGTGACGGCCTGATTTGCCAAGCCCAAGGCTGTAAAGCGTGGCAAAAATAGAACAGACATCTTGATAAGTTCACTATTGAAGAGCAGTTTGGGTCGAATCGCTGGTGCCTATTGTGCGGCTCTGTGGAGACGAGGCTGTGGCGGAGAGCAAATAGGGGCGGGGGCCAGGCATCGTTGCTTCGCCCTGAAACCGTTTTGAGACCCTTTCCATGCTTATGGCCGGGAGGTAGTATCCGCACCGGCAAATACGCGAACCGACGCCCGCATGATAGAAAGATCCTCCACTAGCTGATCAACAAACAGAAGAATCCCCGATCGGCTCGGGTACTAGGGTCCCCCATGCATCACTCTGCGGTGTGACCTGGCTCCTAAAGCTAGTTGGTGGACAACTGAGGAGAAGCCCTTCACCGAAATTTGATGAGTTAGGTACCATTCAGTTCAAGGGGAAATGATTAATTGGGTATTTCCTGCGCATATCTGTGGGGGAACCCGCTCACCGCCGTAGCTACTGCACCCCAAAGATATATATAACCGCCCTTTGCCAATACAGGAATTACACTGATTATCCTGATCCAAAACATTGACTCACATAGCTAATATTCATGAATCACGCTGGTTCATAGTAAGGTGCCGTCTGCCAGAAGCGACATCGCGGATTGTCCGTCGGGTCGCGCCTGGGATAGATAGAATTGTTCGCGATATTCATCAACTGCCCACGGCAGCCGTGTCGGGGGAACGTCGGAGCAAGACTAGAATTAGGCGCGCCAGACTGTACAAAGCTGGTGAACCAGTCCTGCATCACCATTGCCACAGTGACGTTGGTGACACTCGAGTCAGAAGCGCCAGCCCCATTGCTGTAGAAAGTGTAGGCGACGTCCTCTCCATGCAGTGCAGGGGGAATGCTGAACTCGTAGGCATATGTCTGGTTATGGAAAGCCCGGTTGAGGTAGTCCGTGTTGCAGATGAAGATCAACTCCGAGACAAGAAAAGCATCGCGCTGAACAGAGTTTGTATAGCCGTAGGTGCCGTCGTAAATTGGAGGGTACAGTACCTGCGTGATGTGCTTGGTCACATTAGGCCGCATATACACAAATTCTTGCTTTAGTTGGGCGGCGAGATAGCTGCTGTTGCGACTGGCTGGCGAGGTGAAAACGAGCCCTTCGTCGGCATTGTGTCCGACCATAATATTGAGGTTGTGATCAAAGTTGCCCTCCAGCAGAAGCTGCCCGGGTAGTGCTGGAACAAAGGTGCCGTCCACGACGGGCCCGTAAGTGAATGAACCATAATAGGACTTGGTGCCCACTTGATACGCATTGGCAGCGATCAATTTCTTCGACGGCAGGCGGCGCGCCTCCTCCACACTAGTGACATTCAAGATAGACAGGAATTGCTGCAATATTTGTTCCTGCTGCTTTTCTTCTGGCATTGGGACCCAGCCGGGACTTTGGACAATTGCTTGTTGGAATGGCGATGGTCCAGCATTGCCACCGTAGGCCGTGATCTGATGCATAACTGATCCTCCACCGGCGGACTCTCCCATGATGGTGACTCGTCGGGAGTCTCCACCAAAGAGATGGATGTTTTTATACACCCAGTCCAGTGCAAACCGCTGGTCATGAAGCCCGGCATTTGCTGTTCCATTCGCCGTGAGACCATTCCCAGAGAGCCATCCAAACGCTCCCAGCTGTCAGTGGATGGCAAGTTAGATACCCTGGTGGACAACACTTGCTGCCAGACTTACCCGATAGTTCATTGCAACGTAGACAATGCCCTCACCTGAGACTGTACTGCGGTGGACCAACCCAGAAGCGTCCAACTCGCTTTTGTCTCCCATGGTATAGCCTCCACCATAGATCCACACCAGCACCGGAGCTAGTTTAGAATTGGGAACATAGGATTTATTCTGGGTGCGATCAAAGATAGTTTTCGGGACAACCACATCCAAGAATAAGCAGTCCTCAGTGGTCCGAGGATCCAGCTTGGAAGGCGTATACGGATAGGAAGAGATGTTGGTTGACTGGTTAAAGGTGGTATTGTATAGGATACTTAAAAGGAATGGCTCCGCAATATCTTGTTCCCACATCGGTTCTGCTGACGGGCACACTATTCCAACAGAGCCATCCTGAACCTGTGAGCGGTTCGTCGTGGGCAGGACGGGTGCCCTAAATCTTAGATCGCCCAGCGGCGGCGCAGCATAGCGGATATTACTAAAGTTGTAGATGCCTAGCGAGCTCTGATCATACTGTCAGCTTTATAAAGTCTTAGTAAATTGAGAGTTGAGCGTACGTTGAATGAAAACGCCTGATGGCGCTCGTATCCAAGATCGACGATGGGTAAGTTGGACGCAAAACAGACCGACACCAGCAGCAAGAAGTGCAGTAAAGCCATATTGACTCGTTTATCACACCGCAACAGGCAGTCCCCTCCGCCTCAGCCTTTATATTATATATCTAGGGAGGGGTATGAGATCATCTTTGGAGCCGATCTATGCAAGCTGCAAGACCAAGAGCAAGGCCATGTAAAGTTTGAAGTGGAGCTCATTGTTAATCCAGCGAAGTTAGTGGGTATATTCAAATCTTGATTTGGCATAAAGATCGAAGCTGTCAGTCATGGTCCGAGCGATCTGTGGATACATTTTTGGTCCAAGGCTCGCGGCAAGTGCCGAAAAGAGAATTATGAACAAGCGTTTTGTCTAGCACTCTCATCAAAAGATTTGCTAGTACAAATTTCTTGCAAAAAAATCGCAAAGCGGTATTGTGTCAAGCATGGGTCCGGCTCGATCCGAGGCCTGAATTGTGCGGGGTTTTGCGTTCCGCTACCAATACGAGCGGTGTCCTCGACCAGCCCAGCAAGGATGCTACGCTCGATCGGGCCCTTAATCCGAGCTCCGGACCAATGCCTCATTTGATCAGTCCATGACTACTAGCACAGGTCGCGATACGTACTACTGATGCGGGGTTCATGCCCACCAGTCTTGTCAAGGTGTTGCCTAGAATGACCTAAATTTGGTATCTGAATACTACCAGACATGAACCAGAGGGAATTCTGGTCCTGTAATCCCGAGCGAGCTAGGAGCATATTTCTCTACAAGTTGAGGTTGCAATTTCTAACGATCCATCACCTCCCGAATCTTATATGCGAACATCTCGTTCGACGGCACTTCATGCTCGTTCTCTAACTTCTGAGCAGATTCCACGCCGGCTGCTGGAACGCGGTACTCAAATCGTTTCCCAGCTGCTGGTAGCTGTCCATCTGGGAGAGCGTACGGGAACGGAAGATACTCGGGCATCAATCCCAACTGAACCAGAACAGTTGCTTGGTCCCATGCAATGTGCTCGTGGTAGAGCCGGTCTCCTCGAATGTTGACTACGGACGTGAACGGAATCCGAAGAGGTTTGCCTGTCGGTGGAATCCCCGGGACACTAGATGTTAAGCGTTAGCTTTTCTCTCGTGAGAGAGACAAACAAAATTTACTTACAGCCAAGGAATGTGCTTGTCATGAGTTAAGCAGAAGATAAACTCGTCCACAATGCGGTCGGAACCCACCGTCCGACTAATGAGTTCTAGAGCCGTGTCGTCCGGATTGGCGAAGATGAAGTGGTTCAGATAGAAATGGCTTAGACGTGCTCGTCCGATTCCACCAGTCAACTGTTACTATTTAATGGGGCGATTCAATCAAGAGATATTCCTGCTATACATACCGTGGGAACATGGTTCACATAAGGCTCCTGCACCATGGTAGCCATCGTCTTTTCGACAGAACGATCTCCAAATTCATAGTACGTATGCTCGTCCCAGATCTTTTCAAGGTCAAAATATGGCCCGTTAAGGTGTTTCTTGATAAATGCCACGCTCCGCGTGTGGGCAACTCCTGCGGTCGAGATCTTGAACTTTGGATGGCCGGGAATCGTGAAGGCGGGAGAAGAGATATCGGGATATACATGGACAACCTGAGCTTTGGCACTCTGAGGCGGGTCTTCCACGGGCAATGAGGCATGCAGCATCGACACCGGACGATCGGGGGCGTTCCAGGAGTCAAAGTAGACGACCGCCTCCGGGTTGTCGACAGCCAAGATTTCACACAACCCTTCCTCGAACTCCGGATCATAGTCACTTTTGGAGCCATACACTACAGAATGTTAATTCCAAATGCTCCCTCAATTACGAATCTCATACCAATCAGTCCGAATTTGCCCTGATCACACTCGGGGAGCGCGGCGAGTCCGTCCTTGGCTGTTTTGATCAAAGCCAACAAAGTGGCCAGGTCCTTGCTAGACTGCACATCGATCGTAATCTGGGCCACTGCAAAACTTTCTTCTGCCCACTTTTGCAGCGGCTCGGGGTCAAGACTGTTGTTGTCTTGCTGACAGCTCGCATAGCATGCCGGACAGAGAAGAATTAGGCCCGGGCCATGTCCACATCGCGAGAGTGGCGGCTGCAAAGTGACATTCAGTGCCAGTTCCACTGGGTTAGCCGAGGGAAGCTGGGAAGTCTCAGCCATTGTCTGGTTAGCGCTAGGCAGTAAAGCTTCGGAATATATGCTGGTCAAACAATCTATCCTCACGCTCACTGGTTCGTCTCAGAAGCGGGCACGTGATCCGGTGCTTTCCCCATCCCACCTTCCTCCTTCCCTCCTCTTGTCTTTGATTCTGCCTTCCTCGGTACTTAATCCATTCAGTCCACCGGGGGCGCAACTGGACTTGGGCAGGGAAGTCACCATACTCTTCATCCGCTTCTCTTTTCCTCAGCAGCTTCTCCGTCTCTCCATCATCTTCGCTCTGAGCTCCAAAGAACCCGCAAACAACCTCCAAGATGAATTCCCTTGTTCAGACCTCCCTGTCCAGCGTCGAATCCAAGCTCAATGCTCTCCTGACCACTCTCACTACGTCTCCCGCCGCCGCAGGGGCACCAGCTGCCGCAGTCGCCCTTCTCGATGCGGACGACGCACTATCCTCAGCCATCGATACCCTGCGGAAACACCAAGAGAACTACGCAAAAATCTTGCGACTCCGATCAGAAGCACAGCAATTGGAGGATCGAGTCAAGGGCGTTGTGAGGGAGATTGAAGGATTCGACAAGGAGGCTCAAACGGCATGCGGGGATGACGGAGAAAGCGACAGCGACTCCGACTCAACGGAGGACACCAACGAAGATGAAATTTCGGCACCCAAAGGTATAAACGAAATTGACTACAAATTGCTTCTTGATTTTGCCCGTCGCATCAGCAAATACAACCATGAAGCCGCGGCGGATGCGGGCAGCCCTGGGAAGCGCCAGGAGGCACAAAAGCAAACCGCCGATCGAGACGTGACCATGGGAGGCACAAACGGAGAGCCGACAGTGGAGGAGAGGGAGCCGGTATCGTCGGTTACGAAAAACGCGATACAATGGCTAGATGATTCGGCAAATGTCACTCGCGAAGTCTACATGCTCCCATATCCGACCGAGGAGCGGATACGCATGGGCCTGATGGGCCAAATCCAACTTGCGACCGGCCAGGAACCCGATAAGGAAGTGGATCGATTGATACGCGAAGCTGAAGGACTGGGCGCTGCGGAAGCCCCAGCTCCACCTCCGGTGGAGGACAGCACTCGGCAGGCAGACGAGGCTGCGAAAGCCGCTGTGCACGCTGGCTCATCGGCCAGTGGGGCAACGAGAGCGGCTGCACCAGCGCAACCAAAGCCAAAACCAAAACCCAAGGCTTTGCTTGACCTTGACCTTTATGACCCTGATGATGACGATATCTGAACTCCCTCCGTGACTTTGGGCATGATGAATCTTGAAATTCTGTTCTCACGCATTTGTTTGCCTGCTATACCCAACCAGCCAAGCTACACAATTTACATCTTATGTACAGAAGACTTGGCGGTCAAGCCCCGGAGCTTCTTGCCCCAAAAGTAAAAGGGGATGGCGCAGAGACACCATAGCGCCGTCAAACTCATGTTCATCATGATCGGCTTGATGAACCCACTCTCCATCACCCACGGAGTGATGAATTTGCTGAAGCCGTATCCCCATACGTTCTTGTTGACGGTGATGGCTACGAAAATTGAGCCGGCCACCGGCTTGTAGCTGTCAACTGCGTAAGTGCTGGAAATGGCAGGGAGCGCTGCGACCTGAATGCCCGCTGCGGTGTAACCGATGATCACAATTACCTGACCGGGTGAGCAAGTGAGATTTGATTTGGAAAAGTGGTGGGGACACTTACCCGCCAGTCCCATTTATACTGGTATCCAAACGCGACAATGAAATTACCAATGATGGCGATAATCACATACGGAATCATGGCGGGCAATCGCATCTCTGGTTCACGAATGCCGCCGTTCTTCTTCGTTGCTTTCATCGAGATCCAGTCGGAGAAGAGGCCATTTGTGGCCAAGCCGATGATGGCGCCAATGAGGATGGCAAAGTTGAAAAACCCGATTGTTTGACTGTTGAAGTTGTATGGAGGTTCCGCGAAGGCTTGACTTTGCGTCAAGTTCAGTGTCAGGAAGCAGCTGGCCGACCAGGACACGATGAAGGCAGCCAGCTCGACAATCGGGAAAGACAACAGCTTCCACGGAATCCAAAAGCTGATGAGCGTGGTCTTGATGTTATTGCCATACAACTGCCACAGCTTGAACTGCTTCTTTGAGGGTCGTCCCCGGCCTAGCCACGGATCTCGCTCTGCGGCAGTCTCCAGGTTGGCATTCTCCCGCTGGCTATCTTCGACTAGCTTCTCTGGTTCAGACTCGCTCGCAGCCGGGGCCGAGGCATTCTCCTCACGAGCAACCTCATTGGGATGAGCACGGTGCCACTTTGTTTCGGGGAAGAGGAAGATCTGGAAAAGGAGAAGGACACCCAGAAGGCCGACATTCAGCCAGAAGAAACTGCGCCAGCCAATGTGTTCGGCCATAGGGCCAGAGATGATGGGTCCGACCTATCAGATGTCAGAACAGCCAATTTCTCTTCTATTGCATGAGCTCGTACCGTTAGCGATCCGAAGTAAAATGTAAAGTAGAGTGTATTGTAGGCCCCGCGCTCGTGCAGGAACATGATGTCTGCAATGATCTCCGGTTGTGCCGTCTAGTGCTGCGGTCAGAATATCTCCCGAGAAGAAGCAAATCGCCATACCTCAGCCGGACCAGCACCAAAGCCGTTGAGAACGCAAGCGCCCATGTAGCTCCCGTAGGTGGGTGCAACTGCTCTCCAAATGTTACTGACGAGACATATCAATGTTGAGAAGATCAGGACGGTTCGTCGGCCGTAAGCGGACTGGATGGGGACCCTGCACAATGACCGATGAGCGGGAATGTCTGCGAGCAGGTGATGGATGACCTACCAGAAGAAATTGCTGAAGCCCAGCACCAGGATACAAACTCCGGTGAATTGCACAACCCCGGCGAGGTCTGAATCAAAGGTCTCCATCAACTGAGGAAACATGGGCGCCAGGGCCAACGGGCCCATGCCCTGACAGAACGAGGTGGCCGTGGCGATCACCATTGCGCTCATTTTCCAGAACCGGTTCCAATTCTAGGCCATTCTCAGTTGGTTTTTTTTTCTTTGAATGTCACACCGCACCTACCAGAGGATCATGGGGATCTTGCGACGGCTGGGGCACCAGGACGCGATCGGAGTGGGACGATGACTTCACGAAATGATGCGAGCCGACATCAGCCATGATCTCCGTCCCAGGATAAATGGTCGTCCCCAGCTCCGCCTCCAGTCTGCGCCGACGCGATTAGTGACCATGGCCGTTTTCCCTGCGGGCTGGCGGTACCTACTGATGGAGCGTCTGCATAGCCGCCGAGGGTTAGCGCGTGCTGGACACGTCCCGATCGACCGACTTACGTTTTCATCATAATTCATCTCCATGTTGGGCCAATTCAGCTAGTTGCGATCGCGAGACGAGAGCTGAGCTGCCTGCCTGTGCTGGGGCCGAGTCTGGTTTAAATGCACGGGCAGCTGCTCTGAGCTCAGAAGGCGCGGAATTGGGCCGGGAGTAGGGTCAGGTTAACATTTGCCGGTCGGCCAAGAGTACCACGAGCATAGAACTTAACCCCCACAGACACCGGGAACTAACCCTGTTGTGCATACGGTCCCGGGTCCACATCAACCCCGGATTCCCCCCGCACCAGCCTGTCACATCGTCCGCCATCCTTATCTGACTTTATGGACTCGCCTATCGTTGCCTCGAGGGGAGGGGTTCGGTAATCCTCCACGGCATTTGACCGCGCTTCCGTGCCTTCTTGCAGACAACGTGGCCATCGGCCATCACAGTCTGCCGCGGTAGCAGAAGTCTCATCGTCATTAACGCGTGTGTAGCGGCGTCCCAGGTCCTTCAGTCGGACACGATCGAACACGCGTCGGCAGCCCTGGTTGTGTCGCGTCGGGTGAGGTAGTCGCTTGAGATGCCACGGCTGCCTGCCTGTATCAAACGGTTAACACTGATAAAAGTTTCTACGCGCACTACATGTCCGTCTATTTGTCCTACACATCTGATACCGTATGACTGATATAGGGAAATTAACAACAATTCCAAAAATAATGGATCGCATTCTGTTACTTGGTAAAAATGTTGAGAAACTCGGGTTTCTTTCTGATAATATTAACACGTAAGTCTTCCCCTCGATCGTTGCAGTTATCCGTGGGTCTGCCGCAACCTACTCACGGTCCTCTGGGCGTTTGGAGCAATAGGCTTTCTTCTCGAATGACTGGTCCGCATTCAGCCAATTGTGGGGCTACTTGACCCTGGACCCATCTCCTGTTCTGCTGCCATGCACTATCTCTGGGATCTGCTCAACTGTATGACAGGTCAAAGGAGAGCGCCTGCCATTAAACCTCGAATAGATACGTGGGAACGCAGTGAGAAGGCTCTCGTCTCGAATATTTTGATCCCTTTCATTCTGGGCGGAATTATCGCCGGGATGCTTGAACAGACTCCAATTTTTCCCTTTCCATAGCGGACTTGATCAATCTCAGTACCACGCTAATGATCATAAAACGGAGCCTACATAAGGAACATAGCCACCATTAAAGCAAGAATGGACAAGACGTTGAGATCAGTTGAAACCCCCAATTTTTCTGCCATATTCGTGGCGCTAGGGCCGGAGCCACCTGCGGTGGTTGGTGTTGGTGGCCCGCTGGTAGTAGGCTGGCTGCTGGTAGTAGGCTGGCTGCTGGTAGTGGGCTGGTTGCTGGTAGTAGTCATACTGCTAGAGGTGGCGGTGGGCTTCGAATTCGGGGTACCGAGAATGCCACCTTGGGCCACGGATGGTACACTGTCGCCATTCGCATTCGAAGCTGCCGACTTGAATGCATCAAGAGTATCCGAGCCTCTAAGGTTGATGAAAGGGTGAGTTGTGCCTTCTAATGCTTTGTGGCGGCTGGTATACTTACGACGGGTTAATCACACCAACCATGCCAGCTTGACAATGTCCAACCTGGCCGCAGTAGAACCAGATCGGATTTGTATCATTAACGGTCAAGCTCCAGACGGGCTAGATCGTCAGGAATTATACAACCAGAAACAATTGTTCATGGACTTACCGACCCGTCATGGGCAGATGCCATAAATCCACTGAAGAAGCTAGTATCGCTCATAGGATGGCATGGGTTGTCAAAAGCAGCCTGAGCTACCGAGTGATCGCCTGGATAGAAATGGAACTCGACTACACCTCCCGAAGCAACGTGGATAGTATCGGGATTATAGGTGAAGCCATCCTCACCAACATCGACCATTTGGGTGGCACTTGATGCTGAACCACTGGTTGTTGGACTTGCAGTTGTCCCAGTAGTATCGCTGGAAGTTCCACCTCCTCCATACTGGGCACTAACGAGAGGGAGCCACAAAAGTATGAAGGTACACAAAGATGTTTTGATCATTGTTGCCACTAAATTAGATGCAAAAATTCCAAAGCAAAGGTTTGCAGGGGAAGCCCAGAGTTCAATTCCGAGGAATCAGGAGGAGGGTTTCCTTTATGTGCTTTAAGCAGCGGTACTCGTGCACTACCATAATGTCCCCAAGTTACGATAATGTTTAGAAGCTTTATCATAGCCGCGGCGCTATTTAGCACTTACTCTTCCCTTAAAAACCTTCTCTCCTTCATCACGAGAGTTTAGACAAGTGATTACTTAAAATAGAGAATGCGTAACGTCGCCGTATTGGAGGAACCACAGAAAGACGGTCCGTAACTTCTATCTTCTAATCCATCGCAAACCACACTTGACCTAGACCGGCCGATTATACAGGATAACGGTTGGACACATGGATCCCCATCCCGGATGCGGGGCAGCTGACAAAGATGAATCATTTTCTGGAGGTGGGGCACGGAACCAGCCCTGATAAGATTTTGGCACCAATGTCCAGACCACGAGATCAGGAAGAAGTCAAAAAGCTATTGGCGAGCCTCAAACTCTTATGCGACCGTGAATGAATGAGTTAACCACCAATTTTGCCAACATTTTTTTGGAAAATGATCGATTGTTTCACGAACTGCCATCTTAGGGCAATGCTTGGCAAGCCATAACGCCTCTCAAGTGTTCCCGTAACCCTGGCTGCTCTAGACCACAGTCTGCTTGCGGCATTTAGTTAGGGAAATTGGTAAGTGACATCCGTACAGATATAAGCTATGCCGGCAGCGTGGACGGCGTGTAATAAATTTGCTGAAATATCACAACAAGGCAACTATTTCAGTCGCACATGCCCATTGCTTCGAAATGGCGAGGAACTACGGTTATTTCTGGCTTTTTACATCCGTTTCCACCCTTGCTCAACTACAAACGTTCTCGCCTCCCGGGCAAAATGGAATCACGTATAGTGTTAATATACCCCAAGCCACCGCGTCCTCCGGCTCCGGGCCGATTTATTTCCAACTGAAGTCCACAAGCGAGCTTCAGTGGTTCGCATGGGGCCAGGGCGCTCAAATGCAAGGAGCAAATATTTTTATTGTCTATGCATCTAGCGACGGCAATAATGTTACCGTCTCCCCCCGCCTGGGCGTGGAGCATGTTGAGCCAGTGTATAACTCCAAAGCGCAATTATCAGTCTTGAATGGTAGTGGGATCAGCAATGGAGTTATGACCGCAAACATCCGATGCGATAGCTGTATCACATGGCCTGGTGGAAGTGAAAATCCCAGCAGCTCGTCGACTCCATGGGTTTGGGCAGTGAAATACGGCAGCCCACTCAATACCGACAGCTTATCTGCATCAATAACCATACATGACGCCGAGGGGATTGCAGCTGTAGACCTCCAACAAGCAACCGGTGGCGCAGCTGACAACCCGTTTACAAACTCGAACAATCCGGCTTCAAGCTCATCAAATCCGATTTCGACTGTTAGCACTGGGTCTGTTTACAAGCTCAGGAAGGCCCATGCTACTATTATGATTCTGGTCTTTGTTATATTTTTGCCTTCGTTTGCTCTGATGCTTCATATTGTTCCATATTCGAAGATTGTCTATGTCCATGCTTCTCTCCAGCTTTTTACTCTCGCTTTGGCAATTGCCGGGATGGGAATCGGCATCTCAATGGCAAGAAGCCTTGATTTGATACGGACCTATCATCCAATTATCGGGATGGTGACCGTCCCGTGCCTTATTCTTTTTCAGCCTGCTATGGGTTTTCTTCAACACAGGTATTTTCACAAAACTGGAAGCAAGAGTGTATTTGCTTACTTGCACCGGTGGCTTGGTCGTTGTCTCATGACCCTTGGCATTATCAATGCTGGTCTAGGCTTTCGCCTAACAAGAATCGGCCTTTCGATTGCTCCTGTTGGGGCAGTTATTGCGTATAGCGTTGTCGCTGGAGTCGTCGGACTTGTGTACGCCGCAGTTGTTGTGCTTTTGCCACTCAGAAAGCGCAGAAGATCCCGTTCCTAGCAGTTCTTGGGCGCTACTTTTGTATGCTAGGGATAGAGAGTCTTACTAAACCGGGTACTAACTAATTAACTAATTCATGGCTACAGGCATTATTACTGTCAAGTAAGGCATCAACATCCAGCCGAGAATATGTCAATACCTAGTGTGAAGAGGATCTGCCGGGCCTTGGGAAATCCGGGGGATAGAACCACATCCGATGAATGGGCAAGGAGATTTTGATACCATTGATCGCGAAATTTCAATACTGACAGGTGTCATCCATCTAATGGTATCCTAAATCTAATTACGGTGCCCAACGTATGTATACAGGATGCTGTTGTATGGGCTACAGAAAACATTATTCCCGTGTCAACCCGAGAAACCCGGTGGCAACATCATCTGCTCCAAGAAGCCTGTAGCTTCTGAACCGCGTATTCAGTAGCCCACCCCAGGTCAGCCTCGACTCCACGTAAGAGATCAACAATAATGTCGTGCTCTGCTGCATTCTCCAAGCACTGCCCAACAGCGTACAAGAGTGGAACCATGTAAATGCGTAAGCCGCCCTGTGGTCTTCCTAACGCAATGCCGCAGACTTCTCGGCAGCGATATTCTACTTCTTTCGTCACTTCACGGTAGCCTTGTAACCGATCGAACGCTGTACTTGGGGCACTGACAACATCGGGCGGTCGATTGAGCAGCAAGGCAATCCGCCCGAAATGATAATGTTGCATGGCGGCAGCACAAGTAGTCAGACCATGAAACACCTCTGGAAATGGAAGACTGCTCTTTTCTGATGGTTTTGAATGATCTTTAGGGTGTTCGATGCGAACGCATGGGCGGAAAGTCTCCGGCACGCCTTCAAACCATGTCTGCAAATCGAAACAGAGCTTAAGCCAAGTGTCAATGTCGGCTGCTTGCGTTTCGGGAGATTCGGGGTGCGGAGACCCGGCCCACTGTGCTAGTTGTGACTGTTTCGATCTCGCTAGAAAATTGATCACTTTGTTGATCAGCCAAATCAAGCCATTGGCCGCCTGGTCCTCTTGGGATACGGCGTATACTGCAGACGTATTGATGTGGAACTTGCTATCCTGCGAATTGATTGAAATCCCTGCTGTGCGCCAGAGAAACAAATTCTCTGGATCAAGGTGTGTTGGAGAGCGGGTAAAGTAAGAACCAAGATAGTCCTGACGCGCAAAATTCCAAAACGCTGCGCGAACACCATGGCAAAACATAGCTGACGAGGTCATATGCACATGGGTAAGAGAGTCAAATAGAGACTTGATGCCTGTCAATTGTCTGATTACGTCAATAAAAGAATAACCAAAAGCTCATATGGGAATGCTCACTCGTGCCATTCGTCTCCACTGATATCCATGAGTCGATAGAACGTCAGGAGCACAACGACCGCAAGCAGTTCCTCCGTCTTTCGTAAAAGATTGGCGGTAAATGGAGCATTACTCGCCAGGTCCAATCCGGATTGTGTAGAGTCAGAGTTCAGCCACCGACCCAGCGTCTCAATAGGTGACCCCAGCACAGCCGAGCTAGATACAGACATATAGCCGTCGGAAGTGGCGGTGTTCAGCTCAGAAACTGCCAGGTAATAGTAGTTTGCAGCTTTGAGAAACCAGTCCACCTGGGTCGAATTGGGATAGGTCTCCATGATGGCGGGACTTGTAAACATGCCACTACCCGCAGGCAATTTAGCCCCTTTGACCTGTCCTAAGTGCTTGGCTGCCAAAGCCGCAATTGCGTATTTGAGAGATTGGTTGTTGATAGCTCGGATCGGCACGTACACAGCAAAGAACTTCCCACTGTCCGAGAGGTCCAGCCTATTTGAAAAGTTAGTCATTCCTTCGGAAAGAAGAACAACATCGATTACCAAGGACCTAGCACGTCAGAATAATATCGAGTAAGGAAGGCAGTCTCATGCTCAGTGCCAGTCATGAGCTCTGAGAAGATGTCTTGGAATTCCTCTTTTTCACTCCGCTGCGACAGGCTCTCTGAAGTAACAAGTCGTGTGACACCAGGACGATTAGGAGGGGAATGTTCATTACTTGTCAAGGCACCCGTAGAGGCGATTGGTGAGGCCAAGCTATAGATAGTGCTTCTTGTCGATCCGCTGCCTTCTCCTCCAAAAACCGGGACACCGGAATACAGTGATTGAACAGCGCCTGGTGTCATTGCGGGACCAGGCATGTCGTCCGTGTCCCTGGGACTAGTTTGCGAGTCTAGTTTCGCCTCTTCCATCTGCAGATGCAAGGTCGGGTTGTCCTTCGCCATCTCCGGTGACTGCGTATTCCGTTGTTCATTCGCCTCAGAATGCTGTTTCTGATTAGTACGATTCACAGTCGCCTGGCAAGATAAGAGCCTATATGATCCTTCTTTACTTACTTTACTTGCCGTGGAAACGTTGACATTTTTGGGGTGGGATTCCTGGTACGGGGCATAGCGGCGTCTGACTGAAGCCCCTTGGTCGATGAATTTGCGCATTTGAACATATCCCGGGCAGTCCACGCCGGCGGCGATGCACCGCTGGCAGCCAGGACGAGTCTCGTCGCACTGGTGGCGAATTAATAAAAGAGAGAAAATTTTGGTATCGATGTACCAACCTTCAGATGTCTCTTCTTACATCGCTCGCAAGCCTTGTTGGATGGTACCCCAGGCATCGTGCTGGTTTTCTGTCGGACTGGTGAAGTGTTGAGGTCACCGGAATCGACCTCCGGCCTATGTCGTTAATGACAACGCACCCAATCGCCGCAAGCATATCACGAATATTTCATTTTGCACAATGTCAGCACGGGAGAATTGCACAATAGATTCGCGAAGCAAATAGAGATGCCGGCATGTAGACCGAGCAAGAAGGAACAGAATTGAACGTGCAGGGATGATGACTAGCTAAGGGGCTGACCGCCCGGCAGAATGCCATCATCCGTCGATCGGTGTCGATCATCCACAACCACCAATAAAAGACCTCGGTCTTGCCATCGTCTGGGCAGAGATAATGTTAGCAATGAACAAACAAGGCGAGACTATGTCACCCCCAGGTATCAGCCTCAGGCACAGAGTCACATCCATCATGACTGGATCAGAAAGTTCCTTTCAGGTGCTTGGACCGTCGGGGAGGACGTCAACTGAGCTTGATGAGGAAAGAAATCGAATCACATCATACATTTCTTTCCGAGACTACGGCTCTGCGCGAGGAGGTTTCCAGGCTGCGGACCGAGAAGACTCAAAGGAGAACATATCTCGGCGCAGCAGTGCCTTCCAAAGAGCCTGGATTCTCTAGTTCATCGGCCTTCTCGCCCAATACTCCGAGACCGTCAGCAGACATGAGCAGCAAATCCTGGGACAGCATTGCCCTTGATCTCATCTGAGGGGACGGATGTTTCGAACGGCAAAATAGACGAAACCTCCGACAGCACATTGACGCCAGGAACGCTCATGCATCTGTCCGAATCTTTTGGCTCAGCCAAGCTTTTGAGGACGGTTGGCTGACTAGTGCAACAACCCTAAAAACGACCAGTTTCAAATCGAACAATCATTGGCCCAATTATCAATTATTTGCGCCGGTCAGACTCCGGGTAAATTAAATCAACTGCGACACTGACAGAGGGTTACATGATTGATGCGGAGACAGCTCCACCTGCTCAAATTTCCCCGCGACCCAGGAGTTGTTGATTCGCCATAAACATATAAAGATCGGCGCAATCAGGCACCTCGGGGAAATTTCCGCTGGTCGCTTTACTCCGAACCTTGCCAAGAATCCTGTTTGGGCATCTCCGTTGCACATCGTGTGGTCTTTGCTTGCTCCGCGGATGTGCGCCATGTGGGGGACAGCAGCGGTACCTACCGCTGGTTGAGGAGAACAAGGGAGGCTAGAGTTATCGTGTCGCACCGCAGCTTTACTACTCAGGGCCACCAATGCGACATTACGAGAATGTTCGCTGGCGTTGTTTGTCTATGGCCGGTCCAACAGGGGTGTCTCCCTGTCGATCGTCGGTGGAATGCTGCCCCGCGACTTTTCGCGACTCGTTAGTTAAATAGTTAAACAAAGCTCGAGGTCCATTCTGGAACACCAATTGTGCTTATTCGCGAATACGGAAGCTGCGAGGCTCGCCCTGAACTTGCCTCTGCTCCTCAATTGGCACCGTCCTGTCCAGTGTCTGAGCCCATCATGCGATCGCTGTTTCAGCCCCAGTCGGCGCCCCTGGGCACAATTGCAGCGACCTTGTATGCCTCAGTTGCTCTAAGCGTGCCGGGAGTGTCTGCGAAGGCTTCTGACGTTCTGGATTATGTTGATCCCTTTATTGGGACGGCCAATGGAGGTGCGATTCAATGAGGAGAAATCTGCATCGACCTCAAACTAATCTTGAACAATCGAGGCAGGCCATGTCTTTGCCGGAGCGAATCTCCCGTTTGGTTCGTAGCCCCAACAAACTGCTGAATAGATTGGCAGGACTGACCAGCACTAGGCATGGCCAAAGCTGTGGCAGATACCATTGGCGAGAACCAAGCCGGATTTGCCTGGGACGACAAGTACGTCTACGGATTCTCGCACATGCATGATTCGGGCACGGGAGGTGTAGGTTTTCCAGCCTGTTCGATTGTGACCCATTCAACTTTCTGACTCGTACAACCAGTCCCCATCACTGGGCAACTTCCCAATTTTCCCTCAAGCGAGCTGCCCCAACAACGACATCAACCAATGCAAGTGGCAGATGAACGACAGAGCGGCGGCTTGGTCGAACTCCTCAGATGGGGCCCAGGCGCGTCCGGGATATTTCAGCATTAATTTGGAGAATGGAATTCAGGCCGAGATGACCACGACTAACCGATCGGCCCTATATCGGTTCACTTTCGATGGCACGTCGTCTGAATCGCTCAGCCCTGTGATTCTGGTGGATCTGATGGATTTGCCGCAGTCACGCCAGAACGGAACTGCCCTAGTCGACCCATCGACGGGACGGCTCACCGGCAATGGCACATTTAGCCCAAGCTTTGGTATCGGCACTTATGACATGCACTTCTGCGCGGACTTCAAAGGAGCTGATGTTCGCAACACTGGTGTATGGGTGCAGAACCGAGCGAATACCACCCGAAAGTCAGTTTCGCTTACTCCGGATGGAACAAACTCGCCGGCCACTCTCTCCGCTGGTACATTTGTCCAGTTCAACAGCCCTGAGGATAACACCATTCTGGCTCGCGTCGGCGTGAGTTTCATAGGTGTTGATCAGGCTTGTGCCAATGCCGAAAAGGAGCAACCGAACTTTGACTTTGAAGGCACAGTATCGGCCGCCGAAGCTGCTTGGCGGGAGAAGTTGAATGTTATAACTGTGGATGCGGAAGGAGTGTCCTCTGATCTTCAGACAGTTTTCTGGAGTGGGGCCTACCGGGCTATGATCAGCCCACAGGATTATACAGGGGAGAACCCTCTGTGGCAGAGTACCGAGCCGTACTATGACAGCTACTATTGGTGAGATATGCCCGCAATAAACCAACGTATGAAGCTAACACCAGCGCTTTCAGCATCTGGGACTCTTTCCGCAGTATCCACCCACTCCTGACTCTGCTGGACCCTATCTCGCAATCCCGAATGATGCGCAGTCTGGTTGATACCTACCGACATGAGGGCTACCTTCCCGACTGCCGTATGTCGTTGTGCAAGGGCTTCACTCAAGGCGGATCAAATGCAGATGTCGTTTTGGCAGAGGCCTATCTGAAGAAGGTCCAGGATATTGACTGGGATACTGCTTACGAGGCCGTGGTCAAAGACGCCGAGGTGGAGCCTGCGAACTGGAACGTTGAGGGACGCGGTGGTCTTCACAGCTGGAAGAACCTGGGTTACATTCCCACCGACGACTATGACCCGTACGGCGTGGGTACACACACTCGCAGTATCTCTCGTACCGTGGAATACGCCTACAACGATTTTTGTATCTCTGAGATGGCCAAGGGCTTGGGCCATCATGCTGACTACGAGAAGTATACGGTTCGCTCTGGCAACTGGGCCCACATGTTCAAGGCGGACCAAACTTCCAACATCAACGGAACCAACACTGGCTTCACCGGATTCTTGCAGCCCAAGTATACGAATGGAACTTGGGGCTACCAGGATCCGATCTTCTGCAGTCCGTTGCTCAACTTTGACTCGTGCTACCTGAATCCCGATGGACATGAGACCTATGAGGGCAGCGCCTTCCTCTACACCTTGTATGTTTATGGCTTCCCCATTCCCCCGTTTTGCAATCAGCTCACTGACCTGTCTCCGGCTAGTTACGCGCCCCATGACATGGGATCGCTTATCACGGCCCTTGGTGGCGCCAAATCCTTCACGAATCGGTTGACCTACTTCCATGAGTCCGGGCTGCTCTATGTAGGCGACGAGCAGGCATTCTTGACCGTCTTCCAGTTCCATTACTCCGCACGCCCCGCCCTTTCTGCGGAGCGCAGCCACTACTACATTCCCTCGCAGTTCAACACCACAGTTGCGGGTATTGCAGGCAATGATGATAGCGGCGCCATGGGGTCGTTCGTCGTGCTCAGCATGATGGGTCTCTGGCCTGTGCCTGGACAGGATGTATACCTCATCACGCCACCGTATTTCAAGGAGATTAGCATCCGTCACACTGTGACCGGCAATGTGGCGACGATCCGCAACATTAACTTCGATCCCAGCTACAAGAACATCTACATCCAGAGTGTTAAGCGGGACGGCAAGCCCTGGACTAAGAATTGGATCAGCCATGACTTCTTCCTTGAAGGCGGCGTCCTTGAACTTGAGCTGGGCTCGAGCGAGAGCGCGTGGGGCACGCATGTGGAGGATCTGCCCCCGAGCCTGGGCGATTATTCCTCTTAAGAACCTGTGTTATAGCAGCACGGATACAGTGGTTAAATGCTCCACTTAGTTTTTATCCAATAGCAAACCTTCGAAGTTTTGTCGGTGAACCAGCTCTGGGTTGTGTAGTTATTAGCAAATAATACTGGTGGATCTTTACTGTTAAAAAAAAAAAAAAAAGGATCGAGGGGTAATTTCATATTGTTTTTCATCCAGGCGGGAAAGCGCAATCCTTCCCTGTGGGGGGATTTATGGTATTGGACCCAGAGTCGAGCGAAGCTCGCTAGTAACCGGAGATTCGGCCATGATTCAGCCACCTACCGCATTTCTTCTTATTTCGGCGGCGAAAATGAGCCGCTTTGGATTTTAGCCAAGCCTCCGACCACTTACAGTAACTACTCTGGCTGGTTCTGGCGGTAGTGGCGCTCCACCCCAACATCTAGAGACACGCTTCCCAGAAAGGAACACTGTAATTCGCCAGTAGAAAACAACGGACTTGGCTGGACGCAAATATATAAAGTGGGTTGTATGTGCATCTATCCCCGCTTCCCCTTTTTTCCCTAGAACCTCTTTTTGGTTTTTTTTTTTTTTTTTTTTTTTGCATCAGATTCTTCCCTGTCAGCCCGTATGCACCCTGGCCCATTGGCGATCTCGTATGCAACCTATGCTACCCTAGTGCGGCCCTCCACGAAGCAATCATCGATGCTAGCCTCCATTACCGACTCTCCTCCATTTCTCCCCACGCAGCAGTCGCCCACGCAGCAATCGCCTCTCAGAGCCTCTCCCAGATGGAGAACAAGTCGAAGTCTGATGCCGTCGACGATGTCAAAGATGTGCCCGATGCGCCTGTCTCTCAAGGTCAACTCCAAGCAGTTAATGGTCTCCACAGGCGACTCGAAAATAGGCATATTCAACTCATAGCCATTGGTGGGTCGATTGGCACAGGATTGTTTATCACTATAGGAAATGGACTCGCTGCTGGTGGACCCGCCAGTTTATTCATCTCCTATGTTGCGTACTGCCTTGTGCTCGGCTGCGTGAATAATTGCATAGCTGAAATGATTGTTCTTCATCCTATGCCCGGGGGGTTCATTCGCCTGGCTGGAAAATGGGTCGACGACGCACTCGGCTTTATGGTCGGGTGGAATTTTTTCATCTATGAAGCGCTCATGATCCCTTTCGAAATAACAGCTATCAACCTCATCCTGAGCTATTGGAGAGATGATATTCCTGTTGCTGCAGTTTGTATAGCTTGCATCATTCTTTATGGGTACGAATTCCTCTCTGTCTTCTTCCTCTCTGATCTACTGAGATTATACCTCAATTTACCCTTGAGCCGACGAAATTTTCCTTATTAGAAGACTAGAGGCTCACAAATTAGAACAGGCTTCTTAACCTTCTTGCCGTATCTGCGTATGGGGAAGCCGAGTTCTGGCTTTCGTCGGGAAAGGTCCTGCTGATCTTTGTCACGTTTTTTTTCACATTCATTACCATGGTCGGTGGTAATCCACAACACGATGCATATGGATTCCGGTACTGGAGCAATCCGGGTCCTTTCGCCGAAGATCGGGCTTCTGGTAGCCTCGGTCGTTTTGAAGGCTTTCTGGCTACTGTATGGTCTGCTGCTTTCATTATCGTCGGCCCTGAGTATATATCCATGGCAGCAGCAGAAGCCAAGCGTCCTAGCATCTATATCAAGGCTGCATTCAAGACTATCTACTGGCGATTTGCACTGTTTTTTATGCTCAGTGCTCTCTGCATCGGGATCGTTGTGCCATGGAATGACCCCACTCTTCAAGCGATTCTAGCTGGGAAAAGCAGCAAGAAAGGAGGCGGTGCTTCCCCTTACCTTATCGCTATGTCTAACATGAAGATCGATGTTCTTCCTCACATTGTCAATGCTCTCCTCGTGACTTCCGTCTTCTCGGCGGGCAATGCTTTGACATACTGCGCCACACGCTCTCTCTATGGTCTAGCACTCGATGGACGCGCCCCCAGAGTCCTGACCAAGACAGCAAGGGGCATTCCTATCTATGCCTTTGCTGTTGTCATGTGTTTCCCCTTTCTTTCGCTCCTGCAGCTGTCGAATACCTCCTCGCTGGTCCTAACATGGCTTATCGACCTGACCACTGCCGGCGCCCTTATCGACTATCTGGTGATGTGCATCACTTACATCAGATTTCATAAAGCCTGCAAGCGCCAGGGCGTCGACCGAGGGACCTTCCCGTACTGCGGCTATTTCCAACCTTACTGTGCCTGGATTGGCCTGGTTGCCATGGTCATCATCTTATTATTCTATGGGTACTCGGCGTTCGATCCTTGGAGTGTCACGGGCTTTTTTCAAAATTATACCATGCAAATTGTCGCCCCTATCCTGTACTTTGGGTGGAAATTGACGCACCGGACTAAAGTCGTGAAACCTGAAGAACTCGACTTAGTTTGGGATCGCCCGCTTATTGACGCTTACGAGACCTGTTTGGTGGACAAACCGGTGGGTTTCTGGACTGATATCGCTCAATTATTCCGCCTAAGACAACAGAAGTCTACAAAAGACGTGAGCGAATAAATACCACAGTTTCAGGATCACCGGTTCTGCTAGTGTGCTCTTTTTCACGAGTGAAAAATGTATCTTTATTTCTAGACGATATCGACTCGACTTTGAATATATACCATTTGGCTTTCGTATAACGTATCTCACCCTTAATTGATTTAAAAGAAGCGTAAATTGACAGGCTCAGTTTTGTATGTCCTTTTGTATCCTTTTAAGGCAACATCACTGGCAATTTGCACAGGCAAGAATCTACAATTATACTCTTTATGAACCGGCTTCCTAGCGTAGACTGAGCGATATAGACCACAATTATGACGACTGGAAACCGATTCTGTAATACCTATGGATCAATAGCAGATCTGATTATGTTTAAGGAAGCGTGTATCCACCGTCAATAACGATGTTGGCACCGGTCATATAGCTGGATGCATCGGACGCACAGAAGACATACGCCTGTTTCTTTTTTCAGCAAATGCTTCCTGTAATGTTTTCAAAAGCAGAACTCACGCCCTTCAGCTCATAGCACTCAGCCATCCTCTTTGCGGGAATCATGCTGAACCACTTCTCCCGCCACTCTTGGGGGTGGATATCCAGAATCTCGGTTGCGATGAATCCGGGTGAGATGCAATTGACACGGCAGAAATCAACCCATTCCACCGACAGACACTTGGCCAGCTGGACAACACCTGCTTTAGAAGCGTTGTACTATCTATAGTTAGCGGATACCCCAGCAATGAATAGGATTTGACCTACCGCAGCCTGCTTCTGAGGGACATTCACCAGCGTCGCGCTGACGGACGCTGTGAAAATAACATTTCCATGTCCCTGCGTCTTAAAGATACGCGCAGCAGCTTGGGCAGTGTAAAAGGCTCCATCGAGGTTGACCTTCATGATATCGCTCCACTGCTCCGTTGTATAGTCTTCGGCCGCGACACACGAAGTAATTCCGGAGTTTACGACAATGATATCAATCTTTCCAAAGTCCTTGGAGATATGCTGTACGGCCGCTTCGATTTCTGACTGAACCCCTACATTTGCCTGGTACGCAGCTGCGCGAACATTGTTCGCAGATGCGATCTCGGCCGCGGTCGCGTCGGCGGTCTTGGACGAGTTGTAGATCAAGGCCACCTGCATCTTGGTTAGTCCCGCATGTCACGCTTTCTTAAATAGATATCTGACTTACGTGGGCACCTGCTTCAGCTAGTGCTCTGGACACCTCGAGACCGATTCCACGGGCACCTCCTGATGATGTCTGTCAGTCCGGCTTTGGGACTCTTGGGAGTCTGGCATACCGGTCACTGCGGCAACCTTGCCGGTAAGATCGAACGCCTTCATGACATGCTGGTTCTGGGGCTGGGCGAGGACCATCTTGGTGACAGTAGATCGGAGTATAGATAGTTGTTGTTTCTGTTTTTCTCTCTGTTCCTTTTTCACTTCTCCCCCGCACTCGCACCAACTCCGAGCGGCTGGGGTGTTCCGGGCTCCACAGCGTGTATACAAAGATCGGAACAGAGGGCTCCGTTAAGCATAGACAAGTACAGTTAGATGCAAAATTAGCTTCACTATTTTACACTCTTCTCTTAATTCAAGGCCCCACCGCCAAGCCGCCAGCTTGAAAAACAAGGACGCCGGGTGGGAGTGCGACAGAATCATCCGGGAGCTGAAAGCAACCGACTATTTCTACTCCGACGCTGTCTCGCATGTAAAGATGGACAGCTGGACTAAAGGAAGGGTGGTTCCCCTGGGTGATGCAGAGCAAGCCAATTCACCCTCTATTATCACTTGAGCCTTCAGTCTGCTTCTCTCCAGACATTCTTACCAACAACACGGATGGGTATTTTGCGTCTCCCATCTCGGGCCTAGGCACGAGCATGGCTTTCAGCGCAGCCTACAAGCTAGCATGTTACGTCCAGCAATACATCAAGGGACAAAGCCCGGACCCTTCAGCTGCGCTTGCGCAGTACAATGAGCAAATGCGATCTATTATCGAGGGTGGACAGGAGCTGGCACCCGGCCAACCGCATATTATCAACCCTGAGACCGGTTGGGGCGTCTGGATCATGCGAGTCCCATCCGGTCACTATCATATACCAGAATCATGTTCATTGTCGTCAAGTTCTTTGGAAAGATTCTCCATCTGGGACCTCAAGCAGCGCATTACGTACTAGCTGAGGACTTTGGTTTTAAGGAGATGCCCGTATGGAAGGAAGAGGTTACTGATAAGAGCCAAGGAGAGGAGATCATTCCTTTGCCCAGAATCTAAGAGAAGAGTGTAGATAAGTGAAGCTCGGTTTGCACTTGGCTGTATACGTGTAGTTCGGAGATAGCTCATTCCAAAAAGTGCGGAAGTCTGTATCACAACTATACCAAATATCCGTCCAATAGGCTACCCTATATGCTCACCTCTGTCTACTATCTCATTATCCTGCTTACTGGACACAACACCACTAGGAGTGGCGAAGGTCCATCAAAAATCTTTGCAATTTCATCGCTTTATCAAGTAATTGTCGTCAAAAAGGCAAGCTAACACCAGTCACACGATTTACAATACGTATCATTGTAACTCTGCATTTCGCGCATCCGAGAGTAGGTTTCAAAAATGGATATCTACAAAGCGATGGGACTCGTTTGCAACTCACTGCACAACGAACTGGGTCGAGTGATTCTTGTACAGCACACTCGAATCCAAGATATCTCCCGTAGAGGACCGGACGAAGGTAACCTGTAAATGTTTTTGATCCAGGAAGTTCAATGTGGCGTAGCTGTAATCATCCCCATAGGCAAAGGCCGTATAGGAGGGCTCACTTCCCGGTGAATCCAATCCTTCAATGTTGCCCGCACCTCCAGCAACAATGTACATGGGTGCTGAGGGATTGGTCATGTTGTGGGGATCCGCAATGCTGTTGTTGACCGGATAAAAGCGCTGAGAGTTGTGCACATGGCCGAAAACGCCCACATCCACGCCGTATTCATAGAATAGAGACTCAAAGGCATCTTGGCATGGCCCGCAGCCATTGCCAGAGCCGGTTGAGTACCATGGTCGGTGTCCGGCGACAATGAGCCATGGCGTCACAGACCGGTCGACGCTGGCCAGGTCAGCGGCCAGGAAGTCGAGCTGCTGGTGTGGAGCACCAAAAGGCCCACCATCAAGACCAGCTGAGCCATCCTGACCATCCGGCGCCGACGGAAAATCAGTTTCAGTGTCGATCATGACGATGTGGGCCATGCCGTATTCGAAAGAGTACCAGAAAGGCGGATTGGCGAGGGACTGCGCTTTCTGAGCGAGGGTTTGAGCCTTCGTGCTGGATGAGGAGGAGCCGAACGCAGTAGGCATGGTGTCTTGGAAGCGATGCATGAAGTCGGTGAAATTACGCTGGCCCTCGGGGCAAAGACCCGTAGTATAGTCAATCTCCTCACAGTCGGCCTCGTGGTTACCCGGGCTGGCCATGTAGAGTTTGCGGCCAGAAATGGGAGCCAGCTGCTCAGCATAAAACTGTTCCAGGATAGCCTGGTACGCATCTTTCTCGTGGAGCAGATTCTGGGGTTTGAGATACCAATCGTCGGCATAGGCAAAATCCCCGGGATGAATCACAAATTCATAGCTGTTGACAGTTTTTGCCAAGCGCTGAATGGTGGTGTGGTTCAGAGCGGGAGAGATGGTAGGAGGAGAGTCCCTCTTCTTCACAGTGTACCCATCCGCACCCTGGACGCCCAGGTCGATAACGACGCTCACGTTGAATGGCGTCTGATCACCGGGAGTCCTGGGACTGAGAAAGTGATCAACGCTTGAGTTGGTAGACACGATCTTGTAGTAGTACGTCGTCGCCGGGGTAAGGTCAGTCAGAACCACCACGTTGGACCAAGTGCGCGAGGTCGGGTAGGTGGTGGAGGCGGACGAGGAGCACCGCATTTTAGACAGGTCGTTTTCAGAGGTGCCATAGCTCACACAGGTGTGATTCAACGGAGCATATGTGTTCCAGGCGACCGACACCGCTGAGGAAAGGTCAGGACCAAATTATTCGAAAATGGACAAGACGTCGCTCACCATTGGGGCCGTGGATAGCCAGCCGTTGCTGGGACGGGGTAGTGAGGTCCTTGGGGATGGGCGGATAATCATAGCCCAGCACGCCGCCGGCGAGGGCCAGTACAGTAAGAGAAATGGAGTGCTTCATGATTCTGCAGGAATCCTGAATCTTCTAATGCGGGAATGGGCAACCATAATATGTCACAAACAATGCATAAATAAATCCCGTGTCGGTGATGGTTTATACTCCGGCATGAAAAATCGGGCCAATCAGTGATAGTGCAAGACCCATGAGGAGAATTGCTTACGCACGTGTCAGCCGCGGTGAAAAAAATCAAGGTCGGATCGCTGATCTTTAACTGTTCTTAGCGAGTCGCCGGAAAGCCGCCGGAGGTAACTATAGTCAAATGTAACTATACGGATCTTGAACAGAAGAAGGAAAGAATAATGGAAACATTAATAATTGGATAAACAACAATTAGGTTTGTATGTAAGCTATCCACCCTACATTCTTCGATTTCGGGTTCGGCTCCTTTGCGCATAGAGGATGACACTGTAGCTCGATCGAGAAGAGCATTGATTTAATTAGGATTTGAAACTAATCTCTCGCTAGCTAGCATTCGCTGATATTAGGCTAGAATTCTCGGGCAGTGTGAGAATCCTGTATAGTATAATTGATTGGCATGGACCCTCAGATGGCCTTATGGACTTGGTTCAAAAATTCTGCCCGAGTCATTCTTTAGACGTCTCCATTTTCGGGCCAGAGGATGAGCTAGCATGATGGTGATGGTGAATTCATTTGCCGAATGTAACTCGTTCTACATACCGGATTTTACCTATTTTACCTACTGTCGGAATCAATTCTCACGCCGATGCAGTAATTCGCTTTCCCAGAAATCATTTCCGCCTCTGCCGAATGGCAATCAGTATGGATCGACGGGGAATGATTAAACGAGAAACAATCACAAGGAAATGGTTACAGGAAACGCGGGATGCGAGAACACGTACGCACGCGTATGACCTCCAAGTTGACGACGGCACAGTCGAGATGCATTATTTGCTTTCAGAAAAAACATGGTAAGTTACCGGCGGAGGGCTGGCGAGAGGCTGTGATGAATTGTATCTGGAAGAGAGATCATGAAGTCCCCCCAACACGACAGGGGAACATACGGTCCGTGTCCGGTTAAATCACTCCAATATAGTGTTGGAAAAGATCATTCTGAGTCTGGCCCCGGCGTCAAGGAATGCTATCTCGGACCGCCATCGAGTGTCTGTAATAGAGGCTAGACATTTCATAATAGATGACTATAAACACCTAGTAGTTGTGTGATTTGTTATAGCACCATCCACTCAGTACGGGACGGGGTGGATCCTTCGCGGAGTAAGTTGTCTGCGTCATGCGGGGAATCATGACAAGGTAAAGATTAAAGCTAACTTCATCCACTGCCATTTTCACGATCACATATGTATTCAAACAACATGAGCGTAAGACAACAAAGTCCTCCATGTGTCCGGTCTTATTAACAGCTGCCAGGAAACAAACCGCTCTTTCGTCCTCCGTGCCATCAAGGACGTCGTTTTCGAAGACCGTAGCGTGCTCCCACTGAGAGATCCATGGGATGTGCGCATTCACGTTGCGCAGACAGGTATTTGTGGTAGTGATGTACACTACTGGCAGCGAGGACGAATCGGAGGTAGGTAATATGTGTCTGAGTTCTGGATAGGCGACTCAAACAACATTTTCGTAGATTTCATTCTCCGGTCACCTATCGTACTCGGCCATGAGAGCTCCGGGACAGTTGTGGAGGTTGGTCCAGCTGTGAGGAATGTCAAAGTGGGTGATCGGGTGGCCGTTGAGCCCGGCGTGCCATGCAGACAGTACGTTCCACAGCCAACCAGCCCTGGCCTGATAAAAGATCACTGACCAGCTCCAGCTGCAACTACTGCCGCAGCGGCTCATACAATCTCTGCCCGGACACCGTCTTCGCAGCGACACCACCGCACGACGGAACACTGTCCAAGTACTATAGTACACAGGCGGACTTCTGCTACCCGCTGCCGGCGCACATGGATCTTGAAGAAGGGGCGCTGGTTGAGCCGGTCGCGGTGGCTGTCCAGATCACCAAGGTTGGCAAAGTGAAGCCTAACCAGACAGTCGTTGTCTTCGGGTGTGGACCTATTGGGCTGCTCTGCCAGGCTGTGAGCAAGGCGTATGCTGCAAAAAGGGTCATTGGGGTGGATATCAGCCAGTCACGGGCTGAGTTTGCGCGGTCGCTTGGAGCGGACGGTGTGTTTGTGCCGCCGGTTAAGCCTGAGGATGTGGATGACAATGCATGGAGCGAGGAGGTGGCAAGGATGATGAAGGAACAGTTCGACCTTGGCGAGGGGCCTGATGTCGTGCTAGAGGCGACGGGTGCGCAGGCATGTATCCAGACCGGAGTGCATCTCACCAAGAAGGGAGGCATGTATGTGCAGGCCGGGATGGGCAAAGAAGTGAGTTTCGACAACCCTTGCGTCGTCTGCTGATATACTGAATAACGGACAGAACGTCAACTTCCCCATCACCACGGCGTGCATTCGCGACCTGACCATCCGCGGCTCCATCCGCTACACGACGGGCTGCTACCCGACGGCCGTTGATCTGATTGCCAGCGGCAAGATCGACGTGAAGCGACTCATCACGGATCGGTACACGTTCGAGCAGGCCGAGGAGGCATTTGAGCTGGTGCGACAGGGCAAAGAGAGTGTAATCAAGGTGATCATTGGGGGTCTGGCTAGTTGAAGACATTGGATTGCTTGATATATGCTCATTATTATAGACATCATCATGGTACTCTACTGGGTATATCGCAGAAATTGACACAAAAGATGGATCTCACTGCACAATATCCTTGACTGGGTGCAGGGACATGGGCGGAAGACAGAGTGACCGGTGTTCATTTTCCCACTGCGCAGGGTTAGCATAACTTAGCGACCTGTCAAGCACAAAACGTACCTCTTCTGCATCGGCATATCCAAGCCAGGAGTGGTTATGATAGCTCAGTCACCATGATGTGCCGTCAGTTCGTGGATAATAACAATCATAATATGTACCGTTGAGACTGGCTTGTTCAGAGGGTTGGCCCCGAAGGAACTCTGGCAGTGGAGTCGCCAAGGTCCAACGATAATAGGAGGTGTATATCCAAGAGGATCATGTCATATGGGGCTATGGACAAGAATAGGATCAAATAGTAGGTACTATGGACAAGTATGCAACGAGAGGGATATCATCTATGTACGGAGAAGAGAAGGGATGGAACAGACAGACAGCAGAAACATCAAATCATCGCTCGCCAAAAATGTGACAAATGAGAGGAAGGGAAACAAAGGATATGCAAACCGAGATCAGGTCATCAAGGAGTTTCAGCGCCGACCGGCGGCGTCGTCGCGACCCGACGTCCCCAGCCACTGAAGAATCCGCCCGGAGTGGCCGCAGGCTTGGCTGGCTCAGTCGGGGTCTTCTGGATGCTGCTCTGCGCCGTCAAGGATCGCCCCCCGAGGAGGGAATTTCGGTTCTCCTTGCCGGGCGTGGGGGTAGACGAGCCGACCAACTTTCGCAGCGCCTCCAGCTTGCCCTTCACCTCCTCCAGCTCCTGCTGCGCGACTGCCTCGGCCGTCTTCGCGTTGACCAGCTCCAGCAGCAGTGTTTCGTCGGTTCCGGGCTGGTTATTAGTGGTGGAGAGTATAGTCTGCAGTCCCAGACTGCTGGACCGCTTGTTGAAGGTCGGACTCTTCACCGAATTGGTGCGCACCAGCGTCAGCTCGCGCAGGCCCGGGGAGGTCGCCTCGCTACTAATCTCGGAGGCGGAGGAGTACACGACCTCGGCGGGCGTGGACGCCTCCGAGGCCGCGGGGCTCTTGAGAGCGCGCAGTTCCTGGTTCGTGCGCTCCAGGCGCTGTCGATCACGGTATCCATCTTGGATCCGGCTGCGAGCTTCGCGGAGCTGTTCCTTCATGGACGCATTCTCTTGCTCAAACTCATCCATCCGTCGCGTCAGGTCCTGACGCCGACTGGCCTCGATCTGGTGCATTTCCTTCCAGTGGGCCACCTCGTCGTGAAGCTGGTGCTTCGTCTGCACGATTTCTTCGCGCTTGGGTTCTGCCTCGCACGGGGTGAACCGGGCCTGCGCCTTGGCGATGAGATCCGTCGGTTGTGCGTCCGAGCTTATCTCTTGGAGGTGGTTCAACATGGCCTTCGCCACCAGCTGGTCTTCCTCGCGCTCCTCTCGCTCCTGCTGTATTTCGCGAGTGAGGTCTGCGTGTTGGCGCTGCAGCTCGCTCAGGGCCATGAGCAGGTCTTCGATCTGAGAGTGGAGATCTCGGTCCTTGTTGTAGGACATGTTGGATTTGACGCGCGATTTCTGGCCGTCAATCGTCATGGCCGACGAGGCCTCGGTCGGGGCCGTGCTGGCAACAGAAGCACTTTCAACCGAGTTCAGTGTCGAGGTCATGCTCTGTTTGGAGGTGGAGCGCCGGATGGTGCTCGGGGGGCGGGAAGGAGTCGGGTTTGGAGTGAGAGCTTTGAGGGAGTTGTGAGAGACGGAGGAGCTCGCCCATAGACGGCCGAGGAAGCGGGTGGCTGCCGCCTGCATGGAGGGGAAGGTAATGCTTGTCGGCACGCCCTGGGACTGGTTGTAGCTGGCTTCGAGGGCCTGCAAACTCTCCTTGGTGACCAGCGGTGTCAGCGACACGAAGTCGTTGACGAGATCATCGGCGTTGAACGCGTAGATATCCCACAAGCTGCGCGAGAGCAGCAGCTGCATCACATCTTCGAATTCGGTACATGCCAGGATTTTCTTCTCATTGCGCTGCATGAGGGAGAGCGCGACACGCATCAACGTTTCAATGGCGCCCTCCAGGAAGATGACATCGTAGATCCGCAGGAGCATGGGCAGCGGACAGACCACCGCAAAAAAGGACAGGAACCACTGTGAAACGTACGCTGGCTCCACGTTCAGCGCTTCCAAGTGCTCAAAGAGGGCGGGTCGGTGCCGTGCCAGGAGGTTCTGGAACTGATAGACATGGAGATGAAGGCCGGAGAGATCGGGCAGGTAGCATGTGCGAAGATTGTAGTGGTCCATGAGCCTGCAAACGGGTTAGGGAATGCAATCTTCGGGGGAAGCAGGATATCATACCGAACAAGAACGCAGAAGGCTTCGGCATCCGTCATGTGCATGAGCAACGGGCCCACGACAAACCCGAGGCCCTGGCAGTAGCCGATCTTGGTGTCGTAGAGGCTGAAGCATTGTAGCACGCGAGCCAGCATCTGCTGTCCCTCGCCCGCGGGGTCTCGGAACATCTCGACATTGGGAAAGCTGCGGCCAATGTCTTTGCCGATTAGGTCATTGTACGGACTGCTTTCGCCGGTCAATCGGTGGAATTCCTCCAATAGCATGGCATCACGGGCACCGGCCAGACTCGGCCACACTACGCCTCGCAGCGGCGGGGGCACACCCCCTGGATCTTGTTCGATGTCAGGGTCGGGAGACGCTGCGCGGTCTGGGGGTAATCCGCCACCAGGGCGGCCCAGAACTCCAGCTCCGTCATGGGCGGAGGAGAAAGCTGGGAGTACCGCAGCTCCGACCGGGTTGGTTCATTGATCAGGCGTTTGATCTGGTGCAGTGACTGTGAGCGGGACTGCCTCTGGTGTTGCGAGACATTGGGGCTATTGGCCAGCCCGGATTTCGGGTTAGTCGCCAGGGCATTGTTTTCTTGCTCGAGACGAGCCAGAAGCAGGGCCGTTGACTAGAACTGCAGGTTAGCCACGCGGCCATTATTTTGGGGGAAGCTGGATCTATCACGCACATCGTCGGATCCTTCTCCCCGAGGTTCTTGTTCCTCGGTTCTATCCAGATGCTCCCAATCCAAATCGTCCAAGTCCGAATCCGAGTCTGGAATATCTTCCTCTTCTTCTTCTTCTTCGATAGGTGGTGGGGTGTACACGGCGTTTGTGAGCAAGGTGGGACCAAGCTCCTCGTCCTCGGGGCTGTGGGCCTCGGACTCGAGGGGAGCATCTTCTTCGGCGGAGGTCGGGGGAATGTCCAGGGAGCGCCAGTCTAGCTGGGTATGTTCGGAGTTGGACTGGATATCGGACAGCGAGACGGTGACCATGGAGTCGGTGGGTTTGTGGGTGTGGGAAGCCCCGGGCGACACGGGCTCGGCATCGTCCATGACGGCGGATAGAGCGGGTGGATCAATTCGAGCAGTGGACAGGGCAGGATAGCAGCACGGTCTTCATCGCCAGATCCGAGTCGAGGAGAGTCGGGCGTCGAGGCAGATAAATAAGTTCAGTCGAAGAAAAGCATTAGAATGAGCGTTCAGGAGAACTAACGATGGAACTAACTAAACCCACCCAACTAGCCCCCTTTGGCACTTTTCTCCCCCCTCCTGAACAACAACACAGTCTCGCCCCCTGCCCGTCGATCTTATGGTTCTGATGATTACACCGACTGTTTTAGGGTAGTTAACTAACTAACCAACTATCGGTGTTGACTTGTTGTACCCCCGTCGCGTTTGTTGTTCGGGGGCATCCATGGTTGACTGGCGGATCGTCCCTCACCTCATCTTCACCACAATCACCACCACCACCACATCATAATAATCAAACACAGACAAGTCACTACCACCTTGGGGGCATCACCCCCCCTCTCTCCAATGGTACCTGCCTGCAGGTACCAGAACCGCCGCCAATCTGAGGCAAAGATGCTGCAGCCGACTGTCTTGTAATGCTGATACTGCAGCGACAACTAGTGTATTCTATTTTACGTTTCATTGGTGAACCTCGTTTTCATTCCCTTCCATTGGCCAGAAATTAAGGGTCGTGTTGGAAATTTGGTGACCCCGTACGGCCCCCCTGGCGCCCCGTTTCAGCTTGAGGATGCTTGTGCATTCGACGCAATGGTGGCAAGACTCTTCCTAAAGCTGGGGCGGGGGGCAGATTCCTCATCGCGAGAGGCAAATCGGCCAACGTCATGCTCAAATGCTCTTTCTGGGGTCTTCAACGGTCAAGAACGACCAGAAGAAAAAAAAGATCACAGCCGCGAGAAGCCCAAAAACGGGTTGGACATGGTCCATGCATTGGTGTGGTTGTATAGCCAGACACGCTAGTTGACTAGCGGCTTATCGGTGTTATTACTCCAGGATGATGAACTAATATGCACGCAGGCACATCTTCAGTTCTTAATTTTCGGCCCCGAACGCTTTAAACTTATCGGATACAAGAACGTCGCAACGCACGGGCTCGACGGTCTATTTTTGCTCTTTTCTGGGGGTGGCAATAATCATGACTGCCCTCGATTGCATCACGATCATCCGGAAGATTCCATGGTAGGAGGCGCTTTCTCTGCTCCGAGTGAGATCCGACCCGTACGACTAACGGTAGACCCTGTTGCCACCGCACCTAACCCCAAATTTGGGGTTGATTAAAGGCAGCATGCTCGGACCGTTTTCAGCCCGTGATGTCTAAATGCCGTCGGTGGACAGGTGAATGGCGTGGGGGTGTTGGAAGGCATCATCAAATTCTAGCCCATGATGTCTAGATGCTGTTTTGGTTCAATTTTAGCTCAGTCTAGATGCTCACCCATGTCATAGCTTTCATTCAATGGTGGGGACCAGGGAGCTATTGCTCGGTGTTGCGTCAACGCGGTGGTTGCGTACAGATCGAGCCACGCAAGGAGGGTGCCATGGAAGCCATGCAAGCCACGCGGTCACATACATAACTCCCCGCATAAGCCTCACCTGGAAGTCCATCTAGTCATGCCATCTCTTCACGTAGTACTGGTTCATTGCAATTCTGGGAATGGTGAACTCTGCATAGATACCGGCGGAGTGGTTGCAGAGATCATGAGAGCTCGGAACTTCGGTTGAAAATTCAATCTAGATAGGCTGCCAAACTGACTCTAGAATCCCTGTTGGCTGCACGCCTAAACTTGGATGGAGAGTTCTACTTCCATCTCACTTTGTGCTTCAACTGAGCCTTCCATTATTATTCAATCGCCAGATGACAGTTTCACATACATACTAAATATCTTGTGCAGAACCACCGCAGCATCCAGCTCTGTATCAACCCCTCTGGCTCTAAGAGGAAGCTGCACTACTGTTGGGCGGTGCAAGGGTCTTCTCTTCTCAGTAACTGACCCCCTAAAAGCCTCCAAAATGACCCTTAAACAGATCCCCAAAAAAACTTCAACCTGATATTATCCTCATAACGTTTTGATTTGCCGCCATACACACCGTACAGAACAGGTGGGTATCGCATTACTTTGACAGTGATTGAAGACACGCATAGCGCTTGGTCACTAGGCCCAGGTCGCGACATATATAGATCAGTAAAACCACCACCCCACGATGTATTGTCTTGACCCTCATGAGGCTCTGAATATTGAATCTCCACATCTGGCTCTCTTTGATCTCACCTTTATGAGTCCCCTCTCCTATGGTAGGTTCCATTTGCCCCGTTTGTTGTGAAATTTCCCAATCCGGACGGCACAACACGGGCGGTGAGGAAGAAGGATGATCCGAGTGGCCAATGCCATTCACCGCCCGCTAACAAAGCGTCGCGTTTCACGCTGCGACAGAAACACCATCTCCCCTCCTACTCTCTCCTTTCGCCTCCTTTCGACTTCGAGAGCAAGCGGGAGCGACTGACGATTCATCTCCCCAGTTCTTAACCCTTCTTCTAGCCGTATCGTTCGTTTCTACGGTTAGATCTGGCCCTCCGGCCCATTCCTTTACCCGCCGCAGTTCCTTCAATAAATTCTTCACCATGGATGACTCCATCATGGATGATTCCGTCTTTGAGGACGAGGGTGGCAGCTCCGACTTCGTCCCTGAGCCCGCGCCCGTGAGGATTTCTACCTATGTGCTGCGTGTTTTGTTACTGACAAGAGTTTGCTGTATAGAAGCCCAAGGCCAAGGCTGCTCCCAAGAAGGCCGCTGCAAAGCCAGCCGCAAAGAAGCAGACCACCCTCAAGACCAAGCCAGCTCCCAAGAAGAAAAAGGCCCAAGATAGCGAGGATGAAGTGTCCGACGTCCAAATTTCCGATGATGAAGCCGATTCCCTCCTCTCCCACACCCCTCCCAAGAAAGCTCAGACGGCTCCAGCGGCCAAGAAAGGCGGCGGATCCAAACCGCTGGCCGACCTGGAGAATGAGTCTTTCGGAGACGGTGCCGCCGATAACAAGAATGCATCGGACAAGTACCAGAAGGTGGGCGATCACGGCAATCGTGGTTGAACTAGTAACTGACGGCGGATTTTAGCTCACACAACTTGAACACATTATCAAACGTCCCGACTCCTACATTGGGTCCACTGAGCGCATCAACCAGCAGATGTGGGTATTCAACTCCGAAACGGAGTCCATGGAGTACCGGGAAGTCTCATTCGTTCCCGGTTTGTACAAGATCTTCGACGAAATCGTGGTCAACGCTGCCGACAACAAACAGAATGACAGTAACATGAACGAAATTCGCGTGACCATCAACCGCGAGACGGGCGAAATCAGTGTGTTGAACAACGGCCGTGGTATCCCGATCGAAATTCACTCCAAGGAGAAGATCTACGTTCCCGAGCTGATTTTTGGTCATCTGCTCACCTCGTCCAACTATGACGATACTCAGCTGAAGGTGACCGGTGGTCGAAATGGTTTTGGTGCGAAGCTCTGTAACGTGTTCTCGACCGAGTTCACAATTGAGACCCAGGACTCCCGCCAAAAGAAGAAATACAAGCAGACGTGGACCGACAACATGTCCAAGATGGGTAAAGCGAAGATCACCGATGCCAAGGGTGATGACTACACCAAGGTCACCTTCAAGCCTGATTACGCTAAATTCGGTATGGAGGGCATGGATGATGACTTTGAGGCCCTTGTCAAGCGCCGTGTCTACGATCTGGCGGGTACGGCACGGGGGGTGAATGTCAAGTTGAACGGCACTCGTATTCCCATCCGCACCTTCAAGAAATACATGGAGATGTACACCAAGGCTATCCGCAAGGAGCGAGGTGATGAGGGTCCTCCGCCGAAGGACGAAATCCTCACCTGCAGCCCAGATCCCCGGTGGGAGATTGGCTTTGCTGTCTCGGATGGGGCTTTCCAGCAGGTCTCCTTCGTCAACTCGATTGCCACAACCTCGGGCGGATCCCATGTCAATTACATTGCCGACCAGATCTGCAATCGGCTTGCGGACCAGGTCAAGAAGAAGAACAAGACCGGTGCCACGCTGAAGAGCGCTCAAATTCGGAACCACATCTTCATCTTTGTCAATTGTTTGATCGTCAATCCGGCTTTCGCCTCGCAGACCAAGGAACAATTAACCACGAAGCCAAGTCAGTTTGGCAGCAAATGCGTTCTTGAGGAAGACTTCTACAAGAAAGTCCTAAAGACGGAGGTCATGTCGAATATCCTGCATTTTGCAGAGAAGAAGGCCGATCAAATCCTGAAGAAGGGCGATACCGGTCGCCGCTCGCGTATGAGCAACCCCAAGCTTGTGGATGCCAACAAAGCTGGTACTCGGGAGGGTCATCACTGCACCCTGATCTTGACGGAAGGTGACTCCGCCAAGGGCTTGGCCATGGCCGGCAGAGCAGTCGTAGGTCCCGATCTGTTCGGTGTTTTTCCGCTGCGCGGAAAGCTGCTCAATGTCCGGGATGCCTCTTTCGACCAAATCTCTAAGAACCAGGAGATTCAAAACATTAAGAACTTCATCGGTCTACAGCACAAGAAGGAGTACACCGAAACCAAGGGACTTCGATACGGCCATCTCATGATCATGACTGATCAGGATCACGACGGCAGCCACATCAAGGGGTTACTCATTAATTTCCTACAAGCACAATTCCCTAGCTTGCTCAAGATCCCCGAGTTCCTGATTGAGTTCATCACACCCATCATCAAGGTCTGGAAGGGTGATCCCAAGAATCCGACCAAGTCACGGTCCTTCTTCACAATGCCTGAATACGAGGCATGGCTTGAGACTCACAGGGATGAACGTGGTTGGGAACACAAATACTACAAGGGTCTGGGTACCAGCACCACCGATGATGCCCAGATTTACTTCCGGGATCTTGACCGTCATCTCAAGGAGTTCCACACGATGCAGGAAAACGAACCGGAGCTCATTGAGCTCGCCTTCTCGAAAAAGAAGGCTGATGAACGAAAGGAGTGGCTTCGGCAGTTCAAACCTGGCACCTACTTGGATCACTCGGTGTCGAAGATTAGCTACGCCGACTTCATCAACAAGGAGCTCATTCTTTTCAGTATGGCGGACAACCAACGTTCCATTCCATCGGTTGTCGACGGTCTTAAACCCGGTCAGCGCAAGGTGCTGTATACCTGCTTCCGCCGCAATTTGAAGAAGGACATGAAAGTCGTGGAGTTAGCGGGTCACGTCTCCGGTATGACAGCTTATCAGCACGGTGACACCTCTCTCCAACAGACCATCGTTGGCCTGGCCCAGACCTTTGTCGGATCAAACAATGTCAACTGCCTGGAGCCCAGTGGGAACTTCGGAAGTCGACTTCAAGGTGGCCAGGACTGTGCCTCTGCTCGTTACATTTACACGCGACTGTCTCCCTTCGCGCGTAAAATCTTCCACCCGGCCGACGAACCGCTGCTGACATACAACGAGGACGATGGCAAGAAGATTGAACCTGAGATGTATCTTCCAGTTGTCCCAATGGTCTTGATTAACGGCGCCGATGGCATTGGTACTGGTTGGAGCTCCTCGATTCCGAACTACAGCCCCGAGGATGTGGTGAACAACCTGAAGCGCTTGATGGATGGCGAGGAACCCACCCCAATGCAACCTTGGTTCCGCGGCTTCACGGGCGAAGTTGTGGCTATCGGTGGGGACCGTTACAAGTTCAGTGGTATCATCAAGGAGACTGGTGACAAGGAGGTCGAGATCACCGAGCTCCCCATCCGAACCTGGACCCAAGATTTCAAGGACAAGCTGGAGGATATCATCAAGGCCGAGAAGGTGCCCTCCTTCATCAAGGACTACAAAGACTACAACACCCACCACAAGGTTCACTTTGTGATCCAGCTTGATGAGAAGCACATGCAGGCCGCGCTGTCGGAAGGTCTGGAGGAGAAGTTCAAACTGTCCAAGACTATCGCGACAACCAATCTAGTCGCCTTCGATCCAGAGGGCCGAATCACCAAGTACGCCTCCGTCGATGATATCTTGAAGGAGTTCTTCACTCTTCGCCTGAAGTTCTACGAGCGGCGCAAGCAGCATCAGCTGTCGGAGCTTCAGAGGGACCTAGACAAATTGAGCAATCAAGCGCGCTTTGTGCAGATGATTATCGATGGCAAGCTCGTGATCTCCAAGAAGAAGAAGCCGGTCCTGGTTGCTGAGCTGAAAGAAAAGGGTTTTAAGCCCTTCCCCAAGGTGTCCGACGCCGCGAAGATGGGCGAGGACCAGCCGGTGGTGGAAGAAGAAGAAGACGAGGAAGCCGACAAGGATACTGAAGTATTGTCGAGTGCATATGACTACCTGCTGGGCATGCCCATTTGGTCGTTGACCCAAGAACGGGTCGAGAAGCTGCGCCGCCAGATTGGTGACAAGGAGGTTGAGATCGATGTCCTGATCAAGCTGACCAAGGAAGACATCTGGAAGCGCGATCTGGACGAGTTCATCAACGAATGGCGCTTCCAGCTTGAGGATGAGGACCGCCGTCAGCGCAAGGCGGCTGGCTTGGGCCGCCGTGTGTCTGCCAAGTTGGCCACGGGTGGTGGTCGCGGGGCAGCTTCGCGCAAGCGCAAGGCGAACGGTGACGACTCGGATGAGGACTTCGGGGCACCCAAGACCAAGAAGAAAGCAGCAGCCAAGAAAAAGGAGCAACCGACAAACAGCCTCATGAATTTCCTCAATAAGTCGTCGACCAAATCTGCCCCCGTCGCCGTCGATGGTTCTGATGAAGACGACTTTGACTTTGACATGGAAGTGCTTCCTAAGAAGAGTCGTGGGGCCGCCAAACCGAAGCCCAAGGAAGAAGCTGTTGATGTGGACATGGAAGAGGTGCCTGCCAAACCAGCAGCAGATCCAATGGACTTAGATGATGACGTTGAGGAGACACGCCCCAAGCCAGCTGTCAAACGAGGCGCCAAGCCCAAGCAGAAGGTCGAAGACGACTCGGACGATGACTTCCTCGAGATTGCTAAGTCGGAGGCATCTAAGCCTGCCACCGGCCGTGCCCGCAAGCCTGCCAAGTACACCGCTCCTAGTGACTCGGACAGCGAAAACGGCGATGACCTGCTTGCAGATGTCGGCCAAATGGTCAAGGGAATTGGCGGTGATTCCAACGCAGAATCCCGACAGTTCTTCTCCGAGAAGTCTCGGCCCGGCAGCAGTGCCAGCCTGAAACCCGCCTCCAAAGCATCCAAGAGTCAAGAGTTGGACGCCGACGACACGGACTACAGCAAGCTCATTCCACAGAACTCTCCACGCCGTTCGCTGCAGGTCAAGTCCAAGGATGTGATGACCGTCCCTGACGAAGACGAAGACGAAGACGATGAGCCTGCCAAGCCAGCCTCGAAGGCTAAGGCTAAGGCTGCGCCCAAGTCCAAGGCCGCTGCCGCTGCACCGAAGGCGCGTGGTCGACCGAAGAAGGATGCCGCGCCTGCCAAACCAGCGGCTACGTCGGCCTCGTCCGGCTTGTCGGCAGCAGCCAAGGCCTACGCTTCCAAGCAGGCCAAGACTGCAGCAGCCAAGAAGAATATTGTGGATGACTTTTCGGAGGATGACATTGATGCCATGGCCAACGATATTCTGGATTCTCCAGCTGGCAAAATCGATGTAGATGACGCTAATGACGAACCGCCTCCGCGATGTGCAGCCGCAAGCCGTCCGTCTCGCCGCACAGCAACGACAAAGAAGTCGTATACCGTTGCACCTGAGAGCGACGATAATGACGATGACGCGTCTGCGGATGACTTCGATGACGACGAGAGCGAGTAGACGGTGACTGACTGAACCGTGGGCGTTGGGGATACTGCGGGAATGCGCCGGTTTTTTTTTCCTCTATGCCTTTTTATTTCATTAATTGTCTTTGTTGTCCTTTTTATGGTGATCAGACAGAGCCAGTAATTGTATGCAGTTTTAAATGATTCGGTTTCTATAGAAATCCCCTCATCATTCGTAGGCTAAATCCTAACCTGATAGGAAAACGAGGATCTTGAAAAGACTTTAGGAAGATGGCGACAATATGGAAGATGGCCTCATTTCAATTGAACCAGAGTAGAAAGTTTTGCACAAACACGTCCCAAAAATGCATACCACTCAAACACATGCAAATAATTCAATCCGCGAAGTATTCCCGACCCAAACAATAGTTCTAGTCCTGATTCACCATGCAACGCCGTCCGTCTATGCGCGGTAAAAAGAAAGTATTCGAAACAAAATCCCTGCGAAGACGCCTCCCGTGTACGAACGAACCAAACGAGCGCCGTCAACCAACCGCTTGCCGTCCTATCTCAAAAACCAGACGTCCCTATGTTAAAGGGAGGCACGGCGTCTCTTCCGAGATCCGATGGTACTGTCGAGAGAACGTGGTCCAAAAAGGGAGCAATGAGCACCTTCTCTGCCACCGTCGACATCGGTATCGCTAGCCATCGCCTCTTGCATGTGCAAGTGGAGTAGGGCATGAGCCGCCTTGACCTCTCGGGCAAACGAAGTAGGAGCCATACGACCACTGGCTCGAGTGGTAACGGTGCATGCATTAGACTGGTCTGTGCAGGGCTTGCTGGTGGTGTCCTTGTCAACGCTCGGGTTACGATAGTCTTCGTCACCGTCGTCATAAAGAGATCCATCGCCGTCCAGGGAAGTGAAGTCCGAAGAGGCACTCTCCTCAGCATCCTCAGCAGAGGCACCTTTGATCTCCAGTGCCGTGTCAACATCTGGAGACAGCCAGTCCGTCGGAGTGCGCGACACTTCCGAATACAGATTCGACGACGAGGCGTCTGTCTCTGACTCGTCCTCGCTGGTAGCCGATGGCAACATTTTCTGGTGCTTGCTCTGCAGCGCCGCAAGAATCTCCATCGGCGAGATGTGGTGGGAACGGGGAACAAAGTCCGAGGAGCGCGGGACGTTGACTGGCGTGAAGGCGTTCCGGACGGGGCTGCCAGGGGAAACGCAGTATCGGTCTGAGACCTCAGAGGACGAGCCGTACTCGCTGCTGACACTGCCCGCATACCGGCGATTTGGAGGCCTAGGCATTATGTGGCGACGGAGCATGTTCATTTCGGCACGAGCTGGGTAGTGGCTGGGATGTTCGTCGCGCCGTATGTACGGGGTGACGGATCGAGACTGGTTGGTTGCCGTGGAGGAACATGGTACGCTCTGGAGCGCCAGCGAGCGATAGTAGTTGGCAGTCTCCGTGGCTCTCTTCACGATAGCCTGGTCGATGATCATGCGGCCAAACCGGCTACTGTCCTCTGGAGGTATGCACAGCGAAGGGAAATCCGAGCCGAAGAGTGGTGTCAGGGCATGTCGAATTTTCCAGCAGAAGGTCGCCGAAATGGCTTTGGCTGCTTCGAACGGCATCCAATACCCTAAAAAAGTAAATTAGTAAAACTGAAAACTGTACAAGGATGAGAAAAAAAAACCACTCACCTTGAGCTGCAAGCGCTCCGCCTGTGATGCTGTGGCAGATGTCTCTGAGACCGGGGTTGGAATTGATCATCTTGCCCGGAGTGGTCTGGATATCGTGTTAGTGCAGTCAAGTACCGAAGCTAGGGAGTACTTGCCTTGGAATAGCCATTGCACTTGAACAAATGCGTCGTCCGGACGAGTCCAATGTTATAGTCCCACATCACAGTCCACACCTTTTCCTCACCCGGCAACTGGAAGGTGTACTGGAATACTGAGGGATGTGTTAGTTGAGGAAAGGGCAAAGAAGTGGTATCGCATACCTTCAAATGATTCTCTGCCAGTGAGCTGCTGGAAACTCTTCTTGTCACTGCTGTAGGGGATGTGTCGAGGAAATTCAGCGATGCTGCCCATGGTGGGATGAAGCTTGAACTCGCGCTGAATCCTCTCCAACTCAACATCACGCTCTTCACACGGTGGATAGCGAAGCTCGCCACGGATGCGACCACGTGTGAAGATGGGAGCATCTTTGGCAAGCTTCTGCCTCTTTTCCAGAGGGGGACTCGACGAGACGGGACGCTGAGTCCTCGCCAGCAACGGCGCAGGAGGAGAAAACTGAGGAATTTCGGGAAGCGGATTTAGCAGAGACTTGATGGAAGCCATGGCTGGAATGTCCAAGGAGGAAAACGAATCCAAAAACCAGTGGGTGCGAGATGAAGAGGGAGGTAAAGTTCAGTCTCTCTGAGAGATGGAAGTAGGAGATCCCAGGGTCGGGGAAGGAAGAAGATTATTTTCTTCTCGGGGAGTGAGACACGGAAGGAAGGCTTTTCTAGAAGACCCAGTGTCCATGAAAGAGTCAAAGCAGATGGAGACAAATCATGCAAGACAAGGGGTTGATTGTGAAGGCACAACCCCCAAGTTTGATACCGACTCAGCTTTGTCCAGGAAACTGCTTCAGACTGTATACAGACCGTGTTTGTCCCCTATATCTCTTTGTACAAGGCTACGCTGAATCGTCCTGGAAACGCGGTGTCTTCGAGGGCCTGGGTCTGTAGGCTCAGCGGTGAACCCTAGGACTCTCGGTGTCTAGCATACCGGGTATGGCCTCACCGGTACTTCGCCCAGGCATTCACAAGGAGACGCAAGGCACTTGACGTTGGACGAGCCACACTGGGCTGTTTGTCTCTCCCCACGTTGGGTTCCTGATGCGGCCAACGAACCGAGTCCTAGGGGAACAGCGTAAATGAGGGTTGGGCTCTGGACTGACCGCTATGCTGTGCCAATGTTGCCATCGGTGCCCGTCATTCATTCTCCTGAACAAGAGGAAATGAGAGACACTCAGGCCGCTGAGCTTCGAGGCATCACTTATTTCACTCCACGGCTGCAGCCACCCAAGCCGTCCCAGATCTGTCCGTTTCAGGGATCTCTGGAAGCATGTGGATATCCTACATCTGTGATCAATCCGCTGTCTCCTGGTGCCTCTACCCTTTTAGATGTCAATGCATGCAAACAGACTGCAGCAGTCGGCAGAAGATGGGCTTCTCAAGACTGGTCAACGTGAAACCCCAGAGAAGTCTCATAATTTGCTTCACAGTATACCAAAAGATCCCGTACGAGTTGTGCTCTCATCGAAGTAAGTGTATCCCTTTCCTAACACGTGTGGTCGGAGATAATTCGATATACCCCTTGTCAAACGGCCGGCTTCAGCTTCCGAAGCACTCAGGGCAGTATGAGGGCCATCCATCACCCAATCAGAGCTTGAATTCTTCATAGTGGCTGAGAGTACGGGCATCAAAGAGGTCTGAGACCACGGCAAGGTGCAGGGCCACTAGTACTGGTAGGACGGAAGGCTGCAGCTTCGCCTTTTAGGGAGACCGTCTGAGTCGGCGGAGGCAGCCAGTAGGAAGAGTCTGTATTCATTTAGTGGTAGATAAACTTTTGACCCGATCAAAATGATACTGAGAAGTAGCAGGGATTTCTGGGGAAGTAACCTAATGTCTCCAACGGCCCGAGCAACATGCCGTCATGAGAAGCCGTCTCATGCAACCCACGTATCTTGTCATTGTGGTACTCTGAGAGAAAATGTCGGGTACGATATGATCCCTCTGCAACTGCATGGCCTTAGTCCAAGTAAAATCCCCGCTAAGATGCCGCTGGGGCCAGTCTCAGGGACTGCAGGTCAGAGACATGGACGCTTGTCTGGAGAGACTGAGAATTTCCATGCAGGCTTCTCTGCAGAAGACCGACACGTTTGTTGGAGATCCAGATCGCCCGTTTTGTCCTGTTTTGGGTTGAATGAGCGGTCTCTTCCACAGTAACACCCTGGATTCCTTTCGACCAGCCCATTCTGCAATCCCCATTGTATCCACTGACCCGCCACTGCAGTCGGGTTTGGGCTTCTAGTCGGGTTTGGGCTTCTAAACAGGCACAGGGTGAATATGACCAATTGGCGTCCGGCCGGCACAGCGAGGTTGCATGCACAGCATAAACGGTGCAGATATCTCGGACGTTATACAATCCATCCGGGCTTCTATGTTCTCTGAAGCAAGCCCAGTCGCTCATCCCGGAATCGGACGATATAGCATGCAATGTGCAAAATTCCCAACCTCAGCCGCAAGTCTGAGACCGATGGACATGAGTCTAGAAAGAAGCCTGGTTTGGAATGTCTAAGACAGCGCGGCGATGATGGTTGGCCGCTGGATCGGGTCGGAAAGAGCGGTAAGCCCAGTCCAGTGCGCCTCCGCCGACATCATTCGAGATGAAGGTCTCTGATTCTGTGCTTCTGGAAAGGGGGTAGAGAAGCCGGATGTCTCAATCGGGTTGCTGCTAAAGAGGCTCGTCTCGTCTCGGTGGGCTGGTAGGGTTTAAAAACAGGAGATATTCTGCTAGGTGGAATTCTGGGGAACAAGCCTATTGAAAGACGGGTTGTATGATGTCGTTTCGCGGCGAAGTCCATGGCGCAAAGAGAAACAGCCCATGGGCATATTGACAAGAGACCCTCAAAGACTCGAGCCCCAGTAAATCTCACAGTCTAGATATGCAGCCTGGGGCCACAACTCCATTAGCTATGCCAGTTGATACCTCCGGATGCGAATATGCTGTTTCCCGCACGCACGTACCTTCCGCTGATTCCGAGGCCGTCCAACCAAAGCCCACTTAAGCAGCATAACAGCCAGATCATAACTTGCCCAGCAGTCTCTGTGCAACAGGCCATGAAGAATCTGGGGTAGCCTGGTGGTAGGGAGGGGGATGCTGAACAGGGCAAGTTTTCGAAGACAAAGAACAGAACCGTCACAGGCCAGCCTGAATTGCGATGCGGCGATGAAGCGGGCTTCGTGGACCAGGATGAAACTCAACGGCGGGCTCGTACGGGAGGGGAACTGAACGACCTTGGCGGGTGGACCGAGGCCTCTTGCAGAGCCAGGACTTGAACAATTGCCCAAGTTGGTTGGGTCGAGCTATATCCCCGTAGTTATGGAGGTCAATGCCAGATGGGTGAACTACCTAGTCCCCCAGATGAGTTTTCCTCGTACAAGGCATGGACAGCTCGCGTGGGGGAGGACTTTGCTCAGATGCTAGATGGTTAATATCACCGAGAGAGTATCGGATTCGTGCCAGAAAATGTTTCATTAGAAAAATATCAACCCGAAAAAAATAAACAAGAGGGAAAGGAAGACAGAATAGACACATAAAGACGTCAAGAAGAAGTGAAGGTCCAAAGTTAAAAGGTAACACGAGGACTACAAGAGATGTGAAAGGGGGGGAAAGTTCATCGCTCCAGAATCCTGCACTTTTCATCATCGTACACGCGAATCCATCCACCATCAGGGCTTGGAAAGAAATCCAGTACCCCGAGAATCAGAAAATATGGACAACTCAAAACAACAAGCCAGCATGCCATGCGGCATACCCGTTGAAGATCAAAACCAAAAGAGGAAACCGATCCCCAGGGCAGCTGTTGAATTTCTAACGGCTCAGTAGGTCCCACCACTAGAGCTGTGGCCAGGTAGCTGCTTTACACAGCCAAAAGAGGCTCTCGCTCTGCGGCCGGCTGCTCCACCGCCTGCGTGACGGGCTCGGCCGAGGGCGCTTCAGGGAAGTCCTGCGTGTTGACCAGGGGCTCTGAGGCGGGCTCCGAAGCGGGCTCAGGTGCCTTCGCGGGAACCGGAGCAGCCTTGGTCATCTCGGGGGAGGCAGTCTTGCGGTGGCCGATGTACTCCTGGGCCTTGGAGCTGTAGTCTCCGACATACTGCTTCATCAAGCCGGTAGCGTGCGAGGTGTGCTCGCCGGCAAGGTCCTTCAGCTGATTGGTCTGGGAGCTAATGATGGACTGGGCATTGCTAATCTGCTCGTCAATGATTTCGCGGTTGCTGATGTAGACAAGAGGAGCGAAGTAGGCGACATTGATGGCAATCAAAGCCAATCCCCAGAGCGGAACGAAACGGATGAGCCAGTACCCAGTGAAGGCCGCAACAAAAGCCTGTAGCTTATCAGAATCTTTCTAACACTCATTAACACCCTCATGAAACATACCGCAATCGTGTGGATGACATTTTCGGCGAACAGGATGCGCTGGAACTCAATCAGGAAGAAGTCTCCGAGCTGCTCAATGTCCTCCAGCACGGCTTCCACAGTCTCCTTGGGAATAGTGTAGTATCGGCGGGGACGGAACGAACTGGCGATGCCTTGCTTCAGAACGAGTTGGCCGGTAAGCTCGACGGCGGCGGTCACTACACAGAATCATTAATCGCACATCCCCGCGGAAACTTGTCACGCGACCAACTCACATCCCAAAGCCATGTAAAGGAACTTGAAGGCCCAGCGGAGGAGAGGCAGGTAGCGGGCGGCAAAGATGAAGCCGACAATGCTGGCGTAGGACACGGCGGTCGCGCGAGGTTGCTCCCACTATTCACAGAGACTCGGTTAGCAGGGGGCCTCTAAAATCTGGAGGCCCAGAGTCAACTTACGCTCAGGAGGCTGTACAGCAGAGAATGGTAGTCTGAAAAAAAGTATTAATATCGACAACTCCTCCGGTCAAACCGGTCCATGTGTGCGAAAACATACGAGTCAAGGGTTGCCCGGTAGCGGTGGTGGTCGAAGGGGTCACTCGCGAGTTCTTCAAGTCGCGCAGCTCGTCGGTCGTCCGGGAGGCCTCATTCTTGAGGTTGTCGACAACGGGGCCTATTGACAAGAAAAGAAAAGTCAGACTATTCTGCTGGCTCGACGACCCCCCGCACCCGAGGAAGTGCATTACCCTTGGTCACCGCAGCACTGATGCCTAAGCGACAGAGAAGAGTTCAGGGGATCAGTCCCGGGAGGTTTCGAGGGGATAACATGAGGGAATATCACTGCGGGTGTCAAGTCAGCAACACTGCATTTGACGGTCGTGGACGGAGTCGGACTGCTGTGCTCCATACCTTACTGCCCGTGTTCGGGTAGCTCACATCGCTCGAGTCGGCCATGGCGAAAATGATTTGTCTTTGTTTCTTGGTTTGGAGAAGACCGGAGAAGAAAAAGAATCGAGGGAACTGATGGAAGTGGAGGGAGACGATTGTGTGGAGGGGATCGAGAGGGAAGAAAAACAGGGTTGTTTTGGTTTTTTGGGTGATGCAATCCAAGTCACATGTCAACGATAGTTAGGGCTGACGATGATTGGTTTTAGTATTAGACCGAGATAAGCAGAGTTGATTCTCCTTTACGAGGATGAGGTGTTGGTCACCTAAGCTCCTGTGTATTCTTATTATTATTAGTGAGTGTTCTAGGGCAACTCTACTACTCTGTGTTGGAGTAGTAACCATGAAGTATCGGCGAACATGGGTGCATCTTCGACCGCTAGGTCAACAGTGGCTGAAAGTCAGCTCTCAACGATAAACTGTCAGTGAAAACGTGTGTCTAGGTACTTTTCGTAGTTCAAAATGTCCGCGATTTGAGCTGCTAAGGTTGTTAGTTATACTGCTGCTCAAGCTCGTTGGATCACGTGACCGCGCGTTTCCTCGTTGGGTTGTCTGTTTTGATCCTCGACCATCCACTTCATTCCGCCCGCACCTGGCGACAGAACCACCCAACCACTCACCCCGACGCGCCCAACGCTGCACCGATGGTGGTCGACTTACACTAACCACCTTTCGCCCTTTCAACTATACGCCGACTCTCTTTCCCTTTACCACTGAACTTCGCGGTCAGCGACCCGCGCGTTGTTTACATCATGGCCGCCGCCGGTACGCGGGTGCAGAAGCCCGTTGGCTCTGCAGCATGGATTGCGGCAGAGAAGGAGAACATGAGGGAGCTGGTGGACCAAGAGATTGAGGAGGTGGAATATCCCGTCCGCCATGAGATGGAATGGCTCAATGAGCACATGGCCGAGATCTTCTCCAAGGGCCAAGTGTGAGTTGTACCTACTATAGTCGGCAACCTTAGCATGCTGACCCTGTCCTTAGCAACCTCACGGACGTGTTCAAGACACCAGGAAAGATGAGGGGCAAGACTCCTCGAACGGCTCGGAAGCGGGTTCCAGAAGAGAATCGATTGGTGAGTGTCGTGTTGCTGGTTGTGCATTGCTGTCAGTTAACAAAATCATGACAGCCCTTGAGTGAGATCTTTTCCTCCACTCATAAGCAACTGGAGAACAGAGTCAGCCCGAGCCCATTCATTCATCGAGTCGTCTCCAAGCCCGCAAACATGATGGCTTCGACTGCTCCCCGCAAGGACGTGCCCGGGGATGTATCTCAGCCTGACTACCCTAACCTCAGTCAGAACCTGAACTCCTTTCCAAAATATAACACCGACTCTGGCTACCATGGGATGGTGGAAGATGACGAGATGGTCCTGCCGAACGTGCAACCAGAGTCTCAGACGTCTACCCAACCTGTTGAAGAACCTATGGAGCCCCACACCCAGGAAAGAGACATGTCGGTTGGCCCACAGCCGACCGAAGACTCCTTCCACTCTGCCCAGGAGAATGTACGATCTCGTGGGGAGACTGTTGAACCCATCAATGTCAACCCAGCGCCTACACAACAGAAAACTCGTTCGCCGGACCCACGGGATCCAGATCTAGATTCGAACGCGACCCCAACACTCAAAACATATTCCAAGTCAAAGGTCAATTCGGCTTTGGAGGAACAGCAAAAACAGTCTCCGGTTCAGAAAAACTCGAAGCAAAAGGAAGCTAAGGTGATATCTTCGCCAGAGAAGCCTTCGGCGGTACAGCCCGTGGCAACGCCTGGAGTTCAGCAACAGGATGATCAAATGGAAGAAGGTGAGGATGCAAACGAAGATACTGTTCTTGACAACCTTGACGATATTGGCTCTCCGTCTGATGGTTCTACGCCCGAGCGACCACTGGTTCGGAAGAGCAGTTTAACATTCGCTTCTCTGCCGGCGCGTGAGCCTCTCGGCAAAAGCCTGGTCGGTCCGCGAATTTCTCGCACCAGCCACATTGATCTCGCGAAACTGAACACTGCCGGACCTTCCAGCTATTTTGGCCGACAGACAGGAGGCCAAAGGATGACTCAAGCTGCGACTGAAGACAATGGCTCTTCAGGGCACATGGAGATCGACGATGAAAAGGAGGCCGAAGGCGATGATGACACGATCAAGGTTGGCCAGCTCCACAACAAGAAGTCGACCCAGACCCTACATGAAAGGATCAGTATGTTGGGCAAGCTCCAACCCTCGCGCTCCAAGAAGTCTATCTCGGCCATACCAGGAATGTCTGGGGGTCAGGTTTCTTACCCAGATCTACCGGCCAACAAAGCAGAGGCAAAATCGGAGTCTTCAAGCCAGAAGGCTCGCGAAACCCCGGCTCCGGAACCAGTGGCAGACGAAGACGACGACTGGATCAAGCCCTTAAGCTCGCCGCAACGTCCAGGTATTCCGAAGAGCAAGACTACCGATGTCATGGAAAAGCTCTTCGATGTCGAGAAGCAACAGTCAACCGGCCAGAAGGCTGGCGCCCTTATTACAACAGAAGCAGCCCGTCCCAAATCGGCGACTTCGATCTTTTCATCTCCTCGACAAGCTGGTAATCTGCAGGGCACATCCGCTGAGACATCCACCACTCCCGGAGGTTCTCCCAGGCGTTTTGATGGGCCCTTGAGTGCTTCGAAGATGAGACTACAATCCATCATGAAATCAGCAAAGGGACTATTTACCAGCACCGGTGCTGTCTCGAGTTCGGCGAGGTTTGAAAGCTCGTCGCCCCTGCAAACTCGATCTCAGCTCCAGGATGGACCCGGCGCTGACGTTGGTGGCGTAGATGGACTCGAGTCTCAAGCGCCCCATGCTTCTAGTCCATCTCGGCAAGAGGGCCACCGGACGCAGGGCTCGATTGAGAAAGCAGAAAAACAGCGGCAGAGGGAACTGGAGGATCGTCAACGGGAAGAGGCGCGTCAAGAAAAGGCTCGGGAACAGGAGAAGCAGCGGGCCATCCAACTCAAGGCCGCTCAAGACAAATCTTCCATTGAGCCGGAAGATCGGACAGCTCCAATTACTGGCAAGGCACAGGTGCAGCGCCAGCAGTCACGCGAGCCTGAATCAGTGCACGAAGTGGCGTCTAAATCCGTTTCCCAACCGAAGAATGAGCGACGTCCTGTCAGGCCAACTCGTGAAGCTGTACAAAAGCCCAAGCCGCAGCCAGTGTCTATCCGTGTGGGCAGCACACTGTCCCGAATGCCATTGCCTTCGGTTTCTTCCGGTGTTCAAGAGTCGAACCCTCCGGCACCTGCCCCAGCTCCTGCTCAGAAACAGGCAACTTTGAAGAAAAAGGGCAGTAATTCGTCTCTTCACACGGCCTCGTCGACGAGTAGCTTTAAGGGCTCTGTATCGAGTCAAACCCAAGCGCAACGGAAGGCTCAACTTGCCAATGAACGGAAGAAGGAACAGGATGAGCGTCGCAGGGAGGAACAAAAGCATGAACAAGAACGCAAACGAGCTGCTCAGCAACAGCAGGAAGAGGCTCGTCGGCACGAGATGAGAAGCCGTGCTGAAGCTGAACGAGAGCGTCGGGAACGCTCTGCTCAGGAGGACCCGCAGAAAGCCGCCCACATGCAGGCGATTGAAAAGCGGCGGCAAGAGAACGCACGCAAACACGAGCGACAAGGCAGCCAGCAATCGCTCAACGAGGTAAGAACCCATCGGCTATTTTAATATCATCTTGTTAATGTGTCTTAGGGTCCAATGCTTCAACATGAGAAGGCAGGGCAGCAATCCTCGCAACGGAATGACATGGGAGCCAATAGACCTCCGTCTCGGCTGGGTTATGGTCGAGCAATCAATCCGCCGGTACCAAATCCCGCCAAGCCGCCAAAGAGAGTGATGGATGAGGAGACGAATCACCGACCGGCGGTTTCCAAGCCCAGCAACGCCCATTCTACCAGTGATGCTAAGCGAAGGAAGACGGATGATGAACATAACCCCATGCAACCAGTGCGGGCTCCAATGGCTCCCCCAATTCGCAAGGAACCTGGAAAGCCGTCTTTCTACGGCCATGGCCAGGCATCAATGGCTCATCCATCTGGTTCTTCGGCCTTCAAAAATGCTCAACCACAGCGACCCGCTCATCCTATGGACATGGCGAAAATTACCAGCGGCAAGATCCCATTCGCTGACCCGAATCATGCGCCGCCCCCGGCTGCATATAAGCAGTCAGCAGCCAGTTCGCAGCGCGCTCCTCCCGCCAAACCGTCGCCTAAGTATCCCAACAGCGATAGTGTTCATCTACCGGAGATTGCCACAGACAGTGAAGATGAGGACGACTCGGATTCGGATATGCTCCCCGTGCCATCATGGGCGCAGACCAAGGAACTGGAAAGTATCCTGCGGGATCAGGAGGGTATGGAAGTCGACTCGATCTTCGGTCCAATTGCGCCTTTCTCGCTGGAAGAAACATTCAAGGCGGACAAGAAGATCAAAAAATACCGCGACCGCACCAGCAGTGCGAACTGGTCAGGCCCGGATGGGCTCACGCAGGATGAAATCCGGAGAGACCGCGCCGACAGGCAACGGCTCCGCCTCAACGGGGGGTGGTCCTTCAACCCCTGAGTTTGAGGTCAAGGCATATTGGGAGTTGATTGATGTAACTTTCTTGGAACTGCTTGTGATTGAACAGATGTGGTAGTTTGGGGAGTGGTTTGGCAATTGATATTTTGCTTGACCGGCGTTATGTGTGGGTTTCCCGTGTGTTCTATCTCTACGCGAGTTTCTGGAGTTATGATTGTCTTAGATTACAATTGCATATGGCATCCGTGGATGCGTATAGGCCTTATCTCGTGGATTTATATGGAGCATTCGTAGGAGTATTCAAGACCTGGAATGTCTGTTAGCGTTAGCATTGCCTTTGCTCGATAATAAAACACCAGCCCCCTCTTTCCCGTCATGAAAGCATCATTGGTCTAGTGGTAGAATTCGTCGTTGCCATCGACGAGGCCCGTGTTCGATTCACGGATGATGCACTGTTCTTTTTGTTTTTGAGATTCTTCTTCATATCAAATTCTTCTGATTATGATTTTTGAAACAATTGTAAATATTTTGTCAGATTCGACTTACGTTGTGGTGATCGTCGTGTACTCCGCTCTGGATATATATTTTCACATCGTGGATTTCGCACAGTTCTGCCATGTGCTTTCCACACACGACTTTGAGAAATAGGGAAACAAAGTAAATCCAAAAGTGTCTAACGTCAAAGCAGGGCACACACAACCCATTTAGATCCCAAAATCGAAGGAGAAATAGCTGCCATGAACCCATTAGAAGCCCGGTAGTACAGCCTGAAATGAAGATAAAAACACAACCAGATACGATGCAACAATATTCTAGATTATTTGTACGTCGACGTGCACTCCAGATAGAAGAAGACACCCGATTGGAAGATAAAAAGGTAAACAATATAGAAGACCCGGAACAAAAATCCTATTCTCACTCCGAATCCATCCTGGCAGCGCCGCTTTGTGCAATATGGTACAAGAATAAACTGCCTATTACCACCACTGCGAATGCAAATACATCACTCCGCATCCGGCTCAACGTCACTTCCACCAATGAACTCCTCGTCCATTGCGTCCGGGTTGAGGTTCGCGGCGTCGGGAGCAGCACCCAGGTTATCCTCATCCTCATGAGAGATGGTGCGCCAGCCCGAGGGGTGGGAGGGGTCCTTTCTGTATTCGGACATTGGGAACTAAGAAGGCACATGTCAGGCTATGCTACTAAAATGAAAATTGGACAGGACTTACGTAGTGATCGTTCTTTTTCATGGTAACCACCCATGGAACATTGTCGAAGGTCACAGCGCGGAGTCGGAAATAGGTGTTATCTGGGATCTTGCGCACTTCCTTGACGAAGGTATCTAAGTTGGGAGTCGGAACGCCGTTGACCGCGGTGAGGAAGTTGGTGGGCGCGAGGCCATAATGGTAAGATGGGGAGCCCCGGCTCTGGTAGAGATTAGTACTATTCTGATCGACAATCGCGACATAAATCTTACCCTTGCGCTCACATAGATCTCGCTATGCAACTTGGAAATCTGCTGTCGCACAGCATGGTGCGGCTTCTGCAGAACGGCACCGCAGAAAACAACGGCCTGGTCGGTTTCGAGATCTTCCGTGGGCACCGTCGGGACCTTGATACGCATCTCATGGCCGTCCCGGACAATCAATGCCTCCAATACTTCCTTTTCATACATCACATCCAGTTCCGAGACCCGGGTAATAAGCTGGCCATCCAATGTAAGGATGATATCGGCCTCCTGGAAATTTTCGGCGTCGGTTGTAAAGTTTGCAGGTGGGCAGTCGACCTTGCGCACCATAAAGAGCTGGTGACGAGAAGGATTGGCCTGAGCCACCTTTTCGATCCATTCTTCCGAGACGCCCATAATGCGCGCCTGGCTCATCTGTACGACGTAGCTCTCCATGTTCAGGATTCGCAGCTTTGGAGTGATGCCCTGCTGAATCTTGGATGTCACAGGGAGAAGTGACGGGGTGGAAAACCCGAGGTGGTACTCGACATCCTTGTGCGAGTTGGGGGTCCGTTCCCCGAGGTAATTCAACCACAAAGCCTGCACCACGCCATCCTCGCCGATCAAAACACCATTGGTACATTGTCCGCTGAGCCCTGTGTCTACAGTGACGGCGTCGAGGTTGATGGCTCGATACCGAGGGGCAGATGCGTTGGCGGGAATCGACACGGTGGTGATATCGGTGACGGCAGTCTTGGCCACGACAATGCGGAAGTTCTGGTTGAACCCAACGAAAATGGTGTCCTGGCCCTGTTTGATGTACTCAGTGCTGAGCTTGGCACTCTGCACAGGCGCATCGACGAGGCTGGGATCATATTGGATGATAGTGTAGTTTTGGAGGGGGTGTAGGAAGACCACTTTAGCGTTGAGGATGACCGAGTCAGCGACAGTGATGTTGATGTCACACAGATCGTAGGGAACAATGGCTCTGGAGACAACCACCAAGCCCTTTTCAGCGTCGATCACCAATCCGAACCCTGTTTTCTTGGCCTGGGGGTATCCATCCAATTTCAGAGGCATAGTGCATGACACACGCACGAAGCTGCGGACAATTTCTGCTGCTGCTGGTTGGCTGACCCCATCCAGCTGAATAAATTCTGCCTTTCTTGGAACTGGTTCTTCGGCAGGAATGGGGTCGGCGAGGTCTGAGAAGTCCCATAGTCCAGTCTCGTCATTGCGGACCGCCAGACGCATCTTTTGATGCCAATGACGATCGACATAGATGATGCTCGTCCCTTTCGTGTGGAGATCCCGGATGTGACGGTACGAGATGACCACCCGAGCGCGGTCAGGAATAGTCTTCATCACTGCTACAAATTCGTCCAGATTTCGAGTCCGCCGCTTGTCGACCGAATCAATGATCCACCCTGAAAGTGTGTTCTCGAGCTTGAAGGAACCCGCCGCCTCGCAAACGTAGACCCCCTTCGTGGCAATGGCATACAACCGCGACTGCTGGTACGACAGGTCGTGAAATGTGCCACCAGAAACAGTCACAAAGCGATCTGGGGAGATGGCGTGGAGATCACCCACTTGACACTCGACCTCGAGGTCTTCGCCTCCTCGCTGAACCAGTAGCTTCACCGTTTTGCCGACACTGGAGTCGAGAATGTCGTCGAGGCGGACGAATTGCGTCAGCAGCTCTCCATTCACCTGCAGAAGCACGTCTCCCTCTTGCAGTTTCCCATCTGCTGGGCCCTCGGGCAAGATGATCTCCGCGGCGAGCATGTTGGTCTCTGTGGGGGCAGCTTTACGAACGGCCGCCTCCCATTCGGGCGTCAGGCCGAGGCGACGACACTCATCGAACGGTTTGAGCAGCCACTGAGTTTGGATCGTGCCACGAGAGACCGGTTGACCCTGGCGAATGCATTCCAGCGCACGAAGTGGACGATCCAACGGCAGGAAATAATCCGTCGCTGCCCCGTCGGCCCGGCCACCAGCTTGCAGAGCTATCGCACGGCCGTCAATATTGACCACGGGACTGCCGGAGCTACCGCCACTGGCAGCAGCAGCAGCCTGGATGTAGTTTGTGTTGAAATCGCTGTACCCTTCGCCATACTCTGGTGCATTGCGGTCCAACCGACTGATCACACCCGATAGAATGCTCAGCTTTTCACCCGCATCGTTACCCACCACACGGATCTCTACACCGACCCGAGCAGCATCGGGTTGGAGCTTGAGCTCCGTGAGCTTCATGTAGCGGATGGCAGCCGGGTCGAACTTGAGAATCCCAAAATCGTGCACGGGATCGCGGTACACGGGACGAACGTCGCACTGCCAAACCCAACGCGGGGGCCAAGTCAATTACCAGTATAGCAGCCCAGACTATCACGCGCAACTCACCTCTTCATGATTATCGAAGATACAATAGCCCCAGAACGGACCGGCGCAGACGACATGGCGATTGGTCAAGATGTAGCCGCGCTCGGCATCGACCACGAACCCCGTGGCCTGGCTGCTCATGGAGAGGTCCGTATCGAAGGAGCAAGTCTGGCAGAAGTGAATAGACACGACGCTCTTCACGACCGTCTCAATCGTCGCTTGCCATTCGGGCGAATCTGCCTGCGCGGGCCCAACGGCCAACATGCGTCCCGCATCTTCCTCATCCTCCACATCATAGACCGTTCCATTCGCGGGGGTAGCGTCCGAGGGCGTCAGGACGGAGCCTTCGGGCTTTAACTGTTTCGCTGGACGCTCCGTAGCGCCGGCGATGGTACTACGCTTGCGCTTGGCGCCAAAGTCGGCATCCATCGTCCGGAGCAAGGTTGTCGGGCGAGGTTGGGGAGGAGAAAGAGGGAGACGGGGGAGGCGGGAGGTCGGACGCAGCGATCGAGCCGGAAGCGATGAAAAGGACAAGGACCAGGACAAGGACGCGAGGGAAGGAGCGACCCGGCGCAGACAAGAAGACATGCAAACGTGAGCTAAGCGTGAGCTGCGGCGGGAAGGCGCTGATTGGTTCACCGCCTTGGGCTCAGGTGTTGGGGTCAACTGATCGATTTTCAATTTAGTTACTATAGGAATAGTACATCCTCTGCATTTCTAGACTACTGGATCACCTAGGGTCCCTGAGGAGGTCACCGGGGCCACCATCACTGAGATAAAATGGTGTAGGTGGGAGCGGGCCCCGGGACGGGAAGGCGGCCCTTCACGCGACCTCGCTGGATCGACTTGGTCCTGGTAGATCGGGGCCCCGTGACGGCGCGCTTCTCCGGGGTTGCCTGGAGGAGCGAATCCGGGAACTATTGTTCGATATTGATCGATATTTCTGATATGCGGGAGATCCTCCCGTCCCTCCAGCCCACCTCAGACGGACTCCGACATGGACGAAGGGCTCGGCCCGCCGTTGCCTTGCATGCCTGGTGGTGTGAGCTTGGCGTGCGGTGTGCCCTCTGAACCTTTGCCTCCCCGTGGGAACAGTTCGTTCAGTTTGCCGTACAGATCGTGCACCGCGGGCAGATTGGGTGGCGGCGTCATGATAGCGGGAGCCTGAGGTGCCACGCCGCCCGATTTCTTTGCGCGGTCGGCAATGGTCGCTAGGTAGGCCAGGTTGGCCTGCAGCCGGCGCATACACTCGATGTATTCCTGGCTCGGTTTCTGCGCTGCGGGCTTTGGCGCATCCGCCAACTGCTCGGAAGTGTCCTGGTTTGAGTTGTTGGAAGCAGCCCCGGCCTTGCCCGCGGCTTGAAGATTCACCACCTCCTGCAGTAACGTAGAGTTGATATCGAGGAGGGTCGTGACGCGTGATTTCTCTCGGGCCTGAGCTTGCGCCTGCGCCGGGGACATAGGCTGAGGCGCGGTTTGGGGGGAGGAAGTTTGCGGTTGGAGTTTCTGTTGGTTGGGAAGCATATTGTTGGCCGAGAGCGAGGCCATGTTTTGCGAAAAGGTCTGCGCCACGGTGGAGGGCGTGTGGGCCGTGGAGCCTTGTGGCTGCGGAAATTGGTTCATGTTTGCGGCCACTGGCGGCTGCGAGAAGGGTGCTGAGAAATTCTCAAGGGATGCTGCTGCCATTATTATTAGCGGTCAACGCCGGATACATTCTCCAACCGACGTGCTGTACGTCTGAGGGGGGCTGGCCATGATTATGCGCGGCTCCCTGGTCCCTTGACGTCTGAGCGACATGTCACCGCCCCCGCGGGGCGGCGACAAGAGGTCGAAAGGGGGGAGATCACGTACCGGATGATTGTTGGAAACCTGAGGGCATCATAACTCCACCGGGACCGGGCTGCATGGGTATTGCGCCAAAGGGTTGTTGTTGTTGTTGTTGTGGAGTGTTGGGCTGATATTGGGGGATGGAGTTTGGGTAGAAAGGCATCTGCTGGTTCTGCGGGAAGCCCGCTGGGTATCCGGCATTTGGATCCATCGCGCAATAAGGTAGGGCAAAGGGGGCCGGCAGTGGACCGTAATATCGTCTCCCTTGACGATCCTTCAATGGCGATGATCCAACAAAATAAAAATTAACGAAACACCGGCTGCTTCTTCCTCGAGCGTTCCGAAAAGACCTGGATTACGTACACCGCACAGACAAGTGCCAAGGGGGGTTTGCTTCCTCGCGGGAATTCAGGGATGGCGGTTGGTCGGTATGAGAGAACCGGGTTTAGAAGCCAAAGAAGCAAAAGCCCCAAGATGATTGGTGGCGGGAGTGAGATCGACCTTCTGGTCGGTTAGTCGAAGGTGGTTGTGGTGGTCGCCCGAATCCAGAGTGATCAGCCGTGTGGGCGGGCGGGCTAATGCAGCGATGACCCTTTGGGCGGGTGGAGACCCAAGAGGGGGATTGAATCTGACCGGTGCACAGAAGAAGTGGATGTGCAATCGGTGTCAACTCAGACCGTCGTTCGAGAAACAGCAGTGGAAGCAGAAGTGAGAAAGAAAGAGTGACCGGAGAGAGGCGGTCACGGGATGCGCGATCGCATGGTCACCGCGGAGTAAGATACCGCATTACAGGCAGTATCGCTCGGTATTGTACAGTATGGCATGACACATCACATGACATGTTGAATGCCTGAGGCATGACAGCCAGTGCCTGTCCACCCTCACATGCCAGACGCTAGTTGCCAGCAGGGCAGCCGGATGACGTGCGGTGGCAGATGTAGAGCTTCAAATTCATCCACTCTCCTTTCATCTGATGATTTCGCTGCTTTGAACCGAGATAACTATCAACAAGGTGCACTGTGTACTACTGTTTACATGTTCCAACGGTACCGAGAGGGTCCACCAAAACGATCGTCGCTGGGCAAGGATACGAGTGGTCGGACACCTCCTTTCCGGTGCTGTCTTGTCAGTGGAAGTAATATCAACACCTGATAGCGAGCACCTGGCCGGTCATAGATAACGCCGTCCTTGAACTCACGACCCTGGTACAGAACACGTTCGGCACGCAGGATATTCATGGGCAGAAGGGAGCATTATTAATGCTCCGAGACTACGCTAACTATGGCGAGCATGATCGACAAGCCCTAAAGCCAAACAATGTGTCACGGACCCTTCGCGGAAGTGCGCTGAATTGACCCGGGTTTCGATCGGCTCTTTCCGTGATCTGCAAAAGGAGCATCAAGTGACAGGAGACCTGCGAGGAGAGAAAATAGTGGATGGTCCGTGTCTGAATTCATGAAGGCTTTGGAAGAGGATGTCGGTACCCACATTCGTGCATCGTGGCAGAACGGGCGGCATGCAGCACGCTAGAACTGGAGCGTCATGACGCCACCGCACTGAAACGATCCAGTTTCCAGGATATGCAAGGTGGAGATCACTGCCCGGCACGACCACGGAGAGGGTTGCGCAGGGGCATCGAAGAGGACCCCTATGAGGAATGACAGGAGCCTTTTCAGCCAGCCACGAGAAAAGGGATCTCGTACGGACTTAACCCAAAATGGCATTGTGTGTTGTATGTACATCTTCACTGGCATCCCTGGCTTGAACAACGTCTCATACCGCTGAAGGATGGTCCTGCATCGCACATACCGCGCCGTTGTTCTCCGGTCAAGCGGAGAACGACCCTGCGCTGGGATCGAGGCGGCACGTACCCATCGATGCCCATGCGTAAGAGACCACAGATTCCGTGGGGAGAAGGACTCGGTCCGCCTTTGAACACCATTACGAGCCGTGGTGGGTTCTGTAATGTCAGTTAGGCTTAAAAATCCAGTTGGATCCCGGGCTACACCCCTGTTCCTGGAGGGTTCGGGCATGGTCGCCGATTAAAGATCCTATATACATGAATCCCCAACTCAACCCCAAGTCCTATGATTAGCTGGAACACAAAAGGAAGCGTACCAGTGACCTGAAGCGGACGGAGATTTGACCTAGTAGGGAAGAACCGAGCCCGACATTTTAGGCCCCGCCCTAACTGTAGGGTGTACTTTTCTAAATTTTTGATTTTCTGTACGTCGAACTATTAGTGGAAAAAGGAGACCCACTCCCAAGGATAGCCTTGCATGACCGGCAGAGGGCTGTCAGTAACCGGAGTACTCATGCAAGCGTCCTCCGAACAATCGCCGCAAAAGAACCGTCTGGACCTACCCCAGCTCACCGGGGTTCTCTGCTTCTGCGAGAAACGAACTAATTGAGAACGAACGCATGCGCCACACTTGAAGAAAGTAGGGGGAAAATAGAGCAGAAACGCCAATGATTTGGAATCATTTCATCACTCCGGGGCAAAGAGTGTCCGGTTCTCCTCCCGAACACATCTAACATCAACTCTGCGGTTAATTGCGACATACAGCATGAGAGTCACATCCGTTTGGCTGATCCAAGCCACGAGTTGCCTGAATTGATTTTGCAGCAATTGCTCGTCCACAAGACTGGGTGAACCTCAAGTGAATCTCGAGATTATTTACGGTTGTACGGAGTACCTGGGCTGAAATTTGATTACGGGAAAAGATTTCCGACAGGGTGCAGTTCGTATTATTGTAATTGCGCAGCCTATCCCGAAAATGAAAGTGGCTTACGCCTCGTAATCATGTTGGAATGCCTTCTCGCCCTGGCATGTCTGGTCAAACTACGGAGTAGTTATCCGTCGTTAATCAACGGAACAACCTTGGAGAGCGCACCGTGCATTGTTGGTAATTAACACCAGACTGGTCCTTTCCGCAAGTCCGAGACTACCATTTTTCTACTCGGTGGTAATCTGCGTCTCATTATATCACATTATATCTTGGAGTAGAGAAATGACATACATAATCTCACCTCGAAACGAGGCAATGGAGATCTTTCTTGTAAGGATAAATGGCAAGGCGGAAGGGACACAGCGGCACTGGCCGCCTATTTAATAGCCGGATCGGGAAACACAAGGTAATATTTTGGCCTTTTAACTTGCTGTGAGAAGGGACTAGTGCGTGGTTGTCCCAGATTGGAGGCCTGACTGGGCCAGCAACGAACCGATAACTATCATTTCGCTATTTAGTCAATCAGATCAACCTTTATGTATTGCACACGGGTAACCCAATCTTATCTATTCATTGAAAATAGGTGTGGCTGAAAACCCTCTTAGGAAGGAGCCTTCTAAAATGCAGGGACTAGTGCAAACAGCGATGTTATTGTTGATCCTGTGGCTGAGTTGACGCTGCCCAGTGAATGTCATATCAGCAGTGCAATAATGTAGGAATTGCTCTGGGTCTTAGAAAGTTGGAATCCTAACTGAGGTGGACGTCCGATGCTGCACGATAATCTAACGCGCAAATGTACAAATGATACAGATAGCCAGATCTCACCTATGTGGATAGCGCTACTACGAGCGGAGATTCGGAAAGCACCCGCTTCAACACAACTGGTCCCGATATTGTTCGTATATGCCACCAGACGGCATAGCGCACCCCCGTATTTTTGCGAATGAAGAGCTTCGGAGAATTATTATCCAAGAGGTGTTCGGTATTGTAAATCGTAAAGGGTACAACAATCCAGAAGCGGGTCAAAGGCGGTAGTTTGGGTGTCTGCGATCTACAGAATGCCCTAGATTTGGTCCCCTGATTTATTGTTTTGAGGGTGGTGGGAAATTAGCAGAAGGTATCACGTCAGTATTTTTGTGTATTGCCAGTGGATCGCGGCGATTGATACTGGCTTCGGGAGGGCGGATCGTATAGATCTCATTTCCACGGAAGCTAGTAACCTCGAGGAAAGCAGCTCATTGACCCTGCATGGCATTGAACTTGCCCTGAGTCAATGCAAGGAGGAAGATAGTTGACCGCGAGGCAGCCGATTCCAGGAGACGGACTCTTGTAAAACGGCTAGCGCTGATCCGCATTCCTGGGCCGATACTGTACGACCTAGCACTGCCGTCGGGGCATCGTAGGGCCTGCCTCGGTAGAGGATCAACAATATTATCTTTGCTTTTTTGGTCGTTCTAGGGTGTTGGGTTCCATGGTCTGTGGACTATTGGATCAGTTATCTGCCTTCTACCAAGAAATCCCAGCCACCCCACTTCCAGCTATTCGGTTCTTGTTGCTTCACTGGCCGGTTTGATTCCTTGTACTACTGTCCATAATGCAATAAGGCTCAGGCGAGGGACACACCGTTTTGCGGCATTTGCCAAGGCGATCCCTTGGTTGCACAGCGGACGCGCGATTCGGGGTTGCGTGGCGCAAATACCAACTAGCTGACAGACACGAAGAAATGGATGCAATCTAGATAGAACTAGAATGCTACCATGCTAACTTGCGGGGATCGTCTTATGTGGAGAATGGGTGGCGGCGAAACATCGAGGACAAGTCAACAACGCGTTATGTAGTAGGCCTTCGTGGACGTGCATTCGTTTAGCGGCCCTCGGGCTCCAGTACGCATCTGTGGCGTTCATCGTAAATCAGTACTTTTTTGGGTCCCGCAAGCCTATCGTCCCCTGTCTAGAACTGGGCATCCCCACACGATTGGCAATTTCCGAGGCTGAGCATGCCAGGGCTGACGGGACGGCCGAGTTGATAAATCTCGAAATCTCCGTAGCAGATCGATCTCGTGAGCTTATTGTGTTCGAATTCCCCCTCTTGCTTTCTTCCTCATGCTGAAGCTTGGTCTTTTGAGCTCCTTCAACCGGGCTTCCTGGCTGTGAGAGATCTCTTTCCCTTTGTCCCGTTGGCGGTGGCCGCGTGCTGGCTAAACCCCTGGACCGGACAACCAACCACCTGCATGCGACTTTCAGCTAAAGCTCAGATGTTCAGATCGTATTGTATCTTCGCCACTTGTTTGGCCGCTTGACCCGAATAGGCTGACCGCCAGTCAGGCGCCGACAACCGTGCCCATGCTAGCCCAGGAGGATCAGTTATCCTGCACTCACTTTGCTCTCATATATCTTGACGCAACCGGCAACCTTCGTCTCAAATCCTCACAGTCGATCGCCGATAGTTGTCAGACAATCTTATCTCCAAGGGTAACGGATACTTTCTTACAGGCAGTGGCCCTGTCAAGAGAGGCCTGTCAGTCGCCTTGTCAAAGTCTGTCTTCCACTTGTCACACCAAAGCTTTCCGGTTAGCTAATTAGTTGTAGTTGAACCCAATATTCCAGTCTCGCCAAATTCAAAGATGAATAGCGAAAAGGACTTTCGCCAATTCCAGAGGCCTCGCACATCCTACTCTGGGATGGGAGCTAGGAATGGTCCCCCCATGCAGTCGCCATTTGATTCGGCCATTCCATTTCAGTCGCCAGGGTGGCCTGCTTATCAAGATCCCTGGCATTTCCAGCGCACTGATCTCCCCCAGCATAGAAGATCAAACGCCAGGAATGAGGAAAGCAACACTACCAGCGACTCCAGAGTCATGATATCCGTCAGGGATGCCGACCTGCTAGGTCGCTATTATAAAAAGGCCTTTGAGAACCTGCAACAGACAAATTGCCGAGTGCTTGCAAAGGCATATATCAAGCTCGTGGAGCCTCGCAAGCAGGTCAACTACCCGTACAACGGACGGAAAATCGTTGCGGGAACTCCTCGGCAGCTGGACCCAAATGAAACAAAGCCACCCTGGTGGCCATCTGGAGTAAGCCACAGAGAACCAGACCACCTGCCCAAATCTGGTAAGAAGATTATAGTATCCTCAATTTTTGGCAACACAGAATAACCGGACCGTTGACCAGAGCGCATTCGACTCCTAATATATATCTTGCGCGACCTGCGCACCAGCCATGGGATCTCAGCCAGAAAATTGAGGGAAGCTGATCAGCCTATCCGTCGTCAGATCTCCCCAATAGAGAGATTGGAAATCCTGGACGAGCTCTATCGAGTGCGACATGAAGAAGAGAAGTTCTTGGAGGGAAAAACTGGTATGTGGCTTCTAATCAGCCAGCTGATCATTAGCTTATTCCCAGGTCTGCATAGACACACAGGGGACGGTGTGGATCTCTCGTTCAAACTTACCCAAGGAAGCGGGCCAGAGCCACGGAGAACGCAGCCGAAACAGTAGCCCTATTTCAGTTCGAAACTCGGCCGCAACCACGCCGCGTGCTGCGCCAGAAGGCTTACCCGTCGACTCTCCTCACCATAGGCTCGCTTATGGTGGAGATTTTTCGGAAATCTCGCCGAGACGACAAGCTGCAATACCCCAAGCCAAACCTGGAAGGTCAACTGTCCCGGTCCCGCCTAGCTTCGATTCTCCGCCTGTGTTCATGTCGCCGCAGGACCTGAAGCGAAAACGAGAAAGCATGCACGGATTTCCTCTTGACTCGACTAGCCTTGCGACTGGGGCGCACTATTCTTCTATGAGCCCCGTTGAGCTTCAGGCATTGCCGATCAGGTACTATGGCGATCCTTATGATTATCAGCAGGGCGGTACCATTACAGAACCTTCGACAACTGGCCCATTAGATGAGCCTATAGACTACCCGTATCATTTCGGCTACTAAGAGCCTCGATCTCTCAGATCCCACACTAATGTCTTTCCTTTGTCACGGCTTCATGGTGTGGTACTCTGAATGAAGCGTTTTTTTATTCTGTTCGGTGTTTCCCGGATAGCGACCGGATCTAGAGCAGGTTGGGGTATTGTGCAGTGCATACATTTGAGATCTAAAAAAAAAGACGGTTCATTCTCCATATGGAATTTCTTCCTCCCTTGGCACCGTAAATACACATTTTGCTTAGGAAAGAGCAACCCATCCCATCATTTGGCTCGTCCAAGCCTAATGAAATCCACCATCTGCGGCTTATCCCCCACAGATACTGTGAGTACTAGTCATTCGAAAAGGTACAATTGTACTCGCTCTCGCATGCAGTCGCTCCAGTCCAGCCTTCGCCGCCACACTATTCCCCAACGTCGAGCCACACTGGTGGAGCCGCTGGTAGTGGTGGTGGTGCTCGAGCTTTTGGTGGTGGAGCTGGAGGTTTATGAGACAGTTGCCCCCAAAGCGGCCATAATACCATTGTATGCAGGCTTCTCCTCAAGGTTGTCGTCCCATGGACATGCAGCACCTTGGCCGGAGAAGGTGCCGGGCACCCACGAATATTTGTCTGTCCAGTCCCAGAGGGTAATGCCAACACATTTGGCAGTCTGGGCGCACGCACCAACGGTACTCTGGTAGTCAGTTGACTGTTGTGCAAGCAAAGCATCGGTCGAAGGTAGCGTCATCCGGATATCAAGCTCGGTAATGGCGACCTCGACGCCAAGGGCCACAAACGAATCCATATTGCTGGCCTGTGAACTCTGGCTGGGAGTGCTGCCGACAATGAAGTGCGATTGGAGACCAACGCCGTCGATCTTGGCTCCGTAAGCCTGGACCATCTTGACAATATTCTGTGCAGCTGTGGCTTTGGCACCAGCATATTCGATGTTGTAGTCGTTGTAGTAGAGCTTGACACTGGGGTCTGCAGCTGCTGCGGTGGCGAATGCAATGGGGATGTATGCCTCGCCGATATATTCGTAGAACACGTTGTCCCGGAAAGTCCCATCCTCATTCAGGGCTGGAAGGCATGTGATTAGCGTATGTTCTATTGCAATTCAGAACTGAACAAGAACTGACCTTCGTTAACCACATCCCAAGCATAGCATTGACCCTTGTAATGGGTAACCACGTTTGTGATATGGTTCTTCATGGCTGCGAGCAACGTCGCATTGGTCCAGGTACCACTAGTAACTGTGCAGAACTTAGATACATGACGCGTGACATGTCCGAGGAGTTCTTAAACTTACCCCAGCTGGGTAGCTGGTTATACCAGACCAGATTATGGCATCGGGTCTGCTGACCGTTGGCAATCGCCAGGTCGATAATGGCGTCTCCCTGGGTAAAGGTAAAGGTGTTTTGTTCAGGCTCGGTTGCATCCCACTTATCGCGTGATATTAGTATTTATTCTCAAGGTAAAACTGTGTCTACATACCTTTTGAGAATTTGCAGGAGTGATCTGGCCAAAATCTTGCGTGTTGTTCAATTCAGTCACGTAGGCCGTGTCACTCAAGTCCGAATTGTCTGTAGCTGTACCAAAATAAACCTTGCCAATGGCCTTAGCAGCTGTATTTAATCCAGAACCGTTTGCTCTGTCATATTCTGATGTCAGTGGGCCGTACATCAGGTCTCATAGGTCTCGATCATACAGATAAGGCAGAACGCTTGCGGCCAAGGCCAGTGTTGCAGCAGAGCAGCGAACCATTCTGAGAATTTCAAGTATTACACGGTAGAAGAAACTATGAGTGGTGTGAAGAGGGATGAAATGCTACATCTTATTCCTTTTATAGGTGAGACGCCGAGACTCATCCCTCCGGCGCTATGTTTCAGCAGGACGGACCGGTGTCCCGTGGCGTACAAGTCGCGGTCACCTCGAATAAATTTACCGACAGTGTCTAATGCATATAGCGCAAAAGAAAAGAGGACACGGAAATATAGATACAGCTGAATTAACCGGGAGATTTGATACCGAGTTCAATATCCGGAGTGTCCTCCGCACCTGTTCTAGCGCGCAGCCAAATGCGCCCTGACGATGTTTAATCCTTGTTTCCCCGCATGCAATAAATTGTCCAGTGGGAACCATCAAAGGCTGAACGGAATGCGCCTCTAGGGACGCGAGGAACGGGGTAAATCCGATAAAGTGGAGACGCCACAAAAACCCGGGGGAAACGATCCAGTTGATCCCGCACCTCTTTTCCATCCTGCATGCAGGGCTGCTGCCATTGGATCAACACATTATTGCCTACAACCTACACCCGACCCATGTCAGACTTGAATTCATCCCAGGCAGACCCAGGCACGGCGGGAACTGAACTTCATGCACCGGCCCCACAGATGCAACGTAAGAAACAAGTCTCGGTTCGCCGCACGCTCAGCTGTCTTCCCTGCCGAGTGCATAAGCTGCGATGTGATCGGCGTGTCCCTTGCCATACATGTACACGTTATCGCCGGGAGAGTGAGTGCCATCAGCACCCGGCCCCAACGGCCTGGCTGAATCCGGTCTCATCAAGACCAGCGGCCATTGCTCCTGGGCTGGATCGGCATAGAAAAACTACCGCAGACGGGAGTTCCACTATATCCCCTGAAAATACTCAATTACCTCTTTTGCCATCATCAGTTCCTGTCCTTATTCCCCTTTCTGGACCTCTATCATCGATATGCGACACAGTTAACGATTCTCTCCACACTAAGCGGTTCTGGAGAGCACAGCTAGCAACTCTCCTACCACCACAGCACCAGTGTGATCTTCTAGTCTCCTACTATCTCGAAAATGCCCATTGGCTTTTCCACGCATTCCATGTGCCAACCTTCCATCGCCAATATTCTGAATTCTGGTCCATCGAAACGGAGAAGGTGGATCTAATATGGCTAGCACTTTTGTTCACGATCATATCATCTACGGCGCTTATAGTGCCAGTGGAATCTGCAGTAGTAGTCGGCCTTGAATCTTCGCGAGTACGCCAGCTCTCTCGAGTATGGCATCTTGCTTCTCGCCAAGCCCTCCATGCTGGGGACTTTGAATCCAAGCCGAGTGTGATGCAGTTGCAAGTGTTTATTGCGACGCAATTGTATTGGCTGGAAACCAAAAATATAGAGTCTTTGAACTCGTGAGTGTTCCCAATGCGTTCTTCTCACTCTCCGCTCATCTCAGCATATAGGGCATTTGGCCAGGCTGTTCGGCATGCGCAGGCGCTTGGGCTTGATAGAGACGCCCAGGGGTCTAACTACTTGGATACTGAGCTGCGCCGACGTATATGGTGGGATTTATGGGTCACTGACACGTAAGAACATATGCCCATATGTCAATTCCAGGAAATATGGCTGACTTCCCCCCGCAGTTTCCAGTCCATGTGCTTGGATCGAACGCCTCTTATTCATACACCTGCTGAGCGCGTACCACTGCCACAAAACTGTAATGACATTGATGTGACAGAGGTGTCAGTGACAGCGCAGCCGATGGAGGTGCCGACAGACACGAGCGCCTGTATCTGCCGGGCTCAGGCCTACCGCATATTTCGCAAGCTATATCAAGACGGCAGCACCCATTTATCGTCGTACGAGTACATCCGGTCAATTGATCGAGAGATCCAGGAGCTCACAGCACAATTCCCTTGGTACTTTCGAATTGGCAGCACAGAAGCCCTACGGCATCTTCCAAGTCTGGACGACGTTGCCTGGTGTCATGCAATGCTACATATCAGCATCTGCCAGCAGCGGATCCGCATGAATAGACCGTTTCTGCACGCGCGCGTCGGGGAATCATGGAGCGTCTGCGCCAGAGCTGCGCAGGAGATGCTACTGCCGTACAGACAGATGCGCGAGTCAGATGTGAACAGGTTCCGTCAGTCCCAAAAGTTTGCTGTCCAGGGGTACCAAGCGTACACGGCCGCGGTGACGCTCGCTGCATTCTTGCTAGTGGAGAGATCTTTTCCGGGCTTCTCGTCCGAGTCAATGAGACAGGATATCGAGATGGTGATTTCGGATCTGGAGCTGCATGATATCGGGCCCATGGTCTCGGATGGGATCAAGATCTTACGCAAGATGCTGGACATGTTTGAACGCCGCGATGCGGGTGATCCGCAGATGCGCGAGTCACTTGTGCAAGAGATCGCTTCGGTGTTTGGTGGCGAGCAGCCCACGCGCCGGTACTTACGGCAGTGCGATATTGGCTATGTTTTGAACAGTCAAACCACTCACGGTCACCAACTGGACGGACATGTACCAACTGAGCCGGGTTTCCCAGAGTCGGTGCAGGATCCTGGGACTAACACAGCCTACCACCAGACGGACGCGATGCTGGATGATTTTAATCTCGCCCTGGACATGTTGGAATATGATCAATGGTGGGACTTTCTTCTTCCAGAGGGCGGTTTCCCGGCCCAATGAGCATAGTCGATACAAAATATTTCTATATACACAACGCCCAGTGTTCTCATTTGGGGTATCTAACTTTTATGCCTCTGTTGCTTCGGTGCTGTTCTATCATCGTTGCAGGTGACCATCCGCAATGTTATCATCCAGAAGACACAGGATATCTGATCAACACATCAACGAATTGGTTTCCTGCACAAGGCGCTGCTATGTGTCCGGGATATGACCGACCAAGGTTTTCCAGGGATACCAGGATGCTTGGAGGGTTTCGGTTGAAATCGCATGAATTTTCATGTGGTGTTTCAGCCTATCTTGCGGGCCTTCATCTCGGAGATGAATGCGTTTGACTTGGAAGTTGGAACAACAAACACCGTGACCAGCTCATCAACAACCTCGACCTTGCCTCCAGAGAGAATCTGCAGCAAAGGCAATTTCTTGCCCGCCTTGATCAGCCCACCAGTGACGGTCTCCATGAAGCAGTCGACCGTGTCAATCGAATACTCCTTTTTGGTGTCCCAGGGTAGCGGGAAGATGTAGTCCAAGTGGTCGGCAATGGAATGCATTTCTGAGAAGGCCTTGATGAAGTCCGACTCCGCATCCATAGGATACAAGAAAACAGCCGGAAATTCGACAGTGCTCTCTGGTGACAGAGGATCGGGGACAAGTTTGATCCCAGCATCTTCCATTTCGGGGGGTTGATTGGTCTTGCGAGTCCGGATCTGGCGGGCGCGCAGCGCAGTGCTTAGAACCATCTTTTGCTTGCGTGCAGCCTCTTCCTCGGCCTTGCGCTTCGCCGCGATGCGTTGCACATAATCCTTGCGATCTGCAATCTTCGACGCCACGGTCTGAAGGGCCTTATTGTTGGGGTCGAGTTCCAGGCCGCGCGACACAGCGTCCTCCGCTTCGGCAATCTTGTCAAGCTTCAGAAGAGCACTGGAAGAGCGGTAGAAGGCTTTGATGTTCTGAGGGTTGAGTTTAAGAACGGCGGCGCAGTCGAGAGTTGTCGAACGGTAGTTACCTGCATGAAATAGTCAGCAATTTTTGTTCGGAATTGCTATATCCAATCAGCCACATACCCAGCTCTAGATTGGCCAGCGCCCGGTTGATATGCGAGGCTTCCTCCAACTGGCGTAATAGTTTCTTCTCCGCCTGAGCATCCTTGGGCTTCTCCCACTTGTCTTCCTTGGCATAAATGACGGCGATGCTCTTGGTGTAGAACTCTTTGGCATCGATCCATCGCTTTTCCTGAACGGCCTCGTTGCCCTGCTCCTTGAAGGTCTGTGCGACCTCGCCCCGAGTACCCTCATTCTGCATGGCTTGTAGCGCATCCAAAAGAACGTTTTCCCCGTCTAAATTTCAGTCAGTCCATGGTCCACAGCCATCGGGAAGCTAAGACATACGCTCATCGCCCGCATTTTCCATGTCCGTCATGAACAGCGGGGTCTTGTTCATCATGCTCATTAGCTCCTCCTTGGAATGTGACTTGACCGATGCCATGGCCGGCGGCATCTTGGGCGCGGACGGATCATTCTCGACCTCTTTCAGCCGCTCCTCGTTGATCGGGAAGGGGATCTCGTTGGATGCGGCGAAGGCGTCGAACCCGGGCTGGGGCAGGTCCTGGGCTACCTGCGGCGGCACCTCATTGAGGTTCAGCGACTCGTCGAAGTCGTCCGGGAGCTCCTCGATCCGCGACATGGTGCTGGCTGGCTTTAAAGGTTCCTTATCGGAAAGAAGTAGGAAAAGATGAAAAATCAAGACAAACAGTGCAAACAGTGCAAACCAAAGGGAGCCCTAAGTGGGTGGTTGCTCTGCCCTAGTAGATGCCTCAGGCTGTCAACATGTCTAACTGCGATCATGAATGTTGCGGAGAAACTAATAATAATAAATACATTGGGCAATAATAATGGCTATAGTTAGCATACTCACTACTAAATCTCAACGTAGCCAAGCCAATCTGCCCATGTTCTCCCCCCGGCATCGGCGAGTCCCCACCAACCCCGCAGCGTCCTCGGAGTAAAGACCGAGAGATAGAGATAGGCGGCCAAAAGCACTGCTGAAAGGTTGCCTTAGAGACCAAGATACGTGACCAAAATACGTGGTATACAAATTATGGTGCAAATTTCCAACATTCTGGTCCTCCCCGGCGACGGCATCGGCCCAGAGGTGATGGCCGAAGCTGTCAAAGTTTTGAAAGCCTTCGAGACACCGCAACGCCAATTCCAGCTCCGTCAGGAACTGATCGGAGGATGCAGTATTGACACACACGGCAAGTCTGTCACTGAAGAAGTTAAACAGGCAGCTTTAGACTCGGACGCAGTCCTGTTCGCCGCCGTGGGAGGTCCAAAATGGGATAATGCGCGTCGAGGGCTGGACGGGCCCGAAGGAGGCCTGTTGCAGCTGCGAAAGGCGATGGATATCTATGCAAACCTGCGACCATGCTCGGCTAGCTCACCGAGTGCGTCGATTGCGAAGGAGTTCAGTCCATTCAAGCAGGACGTGATTGAGGGCGTGGACTTCGTCGTCGTGCGGGAGAATTGCGGCGGAGCTTATTTTGGTCGCAAGGTCGAGGAACCAGACTATGGTGCGTGAAATATTGTCTTCCAATTTTTTTTTTTTTTTGACTCACAGTTCTCTAGCAATGGATGAATGGGGCTACTCCGAGGCTGAAATACAGCGTGTCACCCGTCTAGCTGCTCAGGTTGCTCTGCGTCATGACCCGCCATGGCCAGTGATTTCACTCGATAAAGCCAATGTATTAGCCTCTTCCCGGCTATGGCGACGAGTCGTGGACAAAACAATAACGACCGAATATCCCCAAGTCAAGCTGGTGCACCAGCTGGCCGACTCGGCCTCGCTGATCCTGGCAACGAACCCACGTACTCTGAACGGCGTTCTTCTGGCCGATAATACCTTTGGTGACATGATCTCCGACCAGGCTGGGTCTATCGTGGGCACATTAGGTGTGCTGCCAAGTGCCAGTCTCAATGGTCTGCCGGGTGCGAAGGGACTGACAACGCGGCCATATGGCCTCTACGAGCCAACACATGGTTCTGCCCCAACGTAAGTATTGACATAAATGTTATTGAGTGTATTGTTGACATAAGGATTAGCATTGCTGGCCAGAATATCGCCAACCCTGTCGCCATGATCTTGTGCGTTGCCCTGATGTTTCGCTACTCGCTTAACATGGATACGGAGGCGCGGCAGGTTGAGGATGCCGTGCGTAAAGTGTTAGACTCGGGCGTACGAACGCCTGATTTGGGAGGTAAGGCTGGCACGAAGGAGGTGGGTGATGCGATTGTCTCTGCGCTGTAAATTGTAGATAAGTTACATATCGCCTAGCAATTGAGATGTTATGCAAGATCAATCTAGCGCTGTTGTCTCGAGATTTTAAAGTCTATATTTAAATGTAAGAGATATAAATATAACTCTTGAATACTAACCACCAGTTTGTGCGCAATTCTCATTTTGACATTTTCAAACAAGGAGCAGGCGATTTTCTTTGTTTTAAAGAGGAGCAAAACGGAGAGCTCCCTGGGGGCAGAACAAAGAACAGTGGGTCAATCTGATTGCCCATGTTTCACTTACGGAGAAGAAAGCCTAATGAAAGAACCCAGGCATTGTTCAGCCACCTCTGGCAAAGGTCTCACTCTGTAACCTGAAGACAGGGGATCTAACGTCAATGAAGCAAACGTTGCAGATCAAAGATGGCAAATTCATTGACCAGACACTATCTTTATCAAAGAGACCAAAAGAAAGCGTCTTTTCTCATTTCTCATCTTTTTCTTTTTCTCTGCGGTTGCTATTCTTCATTATCATCAGTTTCAATCTTGCCGTCCACTGTGACTGTTCTCTGGCTACAATTCCACAATTCTGAGCGTATCTACAGCTACACCTTCTATCGCAATTTCATCCTCTACGAAGGTCCCGAAAAGTCAAGAAATAAGCGACCACCACCATGCCTCCCGGCGGACACCCCATCGCTGGGTTCAGCACGCTACGCCTAGAAGGCCTAGAGAAGCGGTCTTCACTTGAGAAGGCACAGCTGGTGTACTCAATTGCCGACGACATGAGTGCAACCTTGATGTGTATTGCACAGCACACGGAGGAAGGCACCCTGTCAGCCAGACACATCGAACCCATCGACCGAGTGATTCGCATTGTCCGCGACACCGAGGTATCGCAACGACGGAGGCTGGAACGACGGGTGCGACGGCTACGGGGTAGGCGACGCTGGCTGCGTCGCGAGTTTCGGAAGATGATCAAACGCGCAGAGTTAGTGTCAGTGGCCTGGAAGAACAAGGCGACCACATTGAAAGGAAATCTCCAGGCGCTGCAAAGTGAGGTGGCTAGTATGAGGAGGCAATGCGAGATGCTGCGGGCATATATGGAGCAGAGAGAAAGTGGAGAAAAGGAAGAGAGCATGCTGGGTGAGCAACCCAACAAGAAAGATGGGCGGGCCCACTAGAGATCAAGATTCCTGGACGGATGAGGTCGGTGCAGAGACGAATGTCAAGGGGGAATGAAAGGCTGGGTTGGGATGGTCTGGATTAATCCGAGTTCGACGACTAATACACTGGTTCAAGGCTAGGAGCCGAAAGGTTTTATTCTGCCTGCAAAGTATAGTAGTTCCTGGGCCAGTTACCATGATGAAGACACGCTGTGTCTCTCCACACTAATGTTACTTGAACTTGCGGAACTGTAATTAGTCTCCCGCCAATTAACATTCCGACTTCTGCCACAGGGCCAGCAACCACCGGGATCTTGTGGCCAATCACCAGCTATTGGTGACAGACACGCAGCCGCGAATGACCAACCTCAGGCAACATTCACGATGTAGCCTCTACACTGCCAGACCTATGACCTCGAGGGCATGCAGCCTGCTCAGCTGTCAACGCCACGATCGGACCAGAGGTTCTCCAACATGTTGCTCCCTGCGCCCCTCTCACGGTACGTCAGGTCGATTCGCTCGTTAAAACAAAAGTGGCGCAGCCACACCGAATCCAGACAGAATTACGGCAACGAGGATTCCCTTGCTCGCCGCATGATCGATGTCTTTCTACGTACCTGGGATTTGGGTTTTACTTCGTTCGGGGGCCCGCCTGTACATTTCCAAATTCTCTATCGCAGGTTCGTGGAAGGGAAGGGAGAGAAACAAAGATGGGTGGATGAACAGATGGTGACACTCGCCACCAATAACTTTCGGAGAGAACTGCGCCTAACATCTTTGCGTAGTATCAGGAACTCTTCGCTATCTGCCAGGGCCTTCCTGGTCCAGGCAGCACCAAGATGCTATTCTGTCTCGTCTTGCTTCATGCGGGTTTCATTCCGGCTATTATGACGTTTCTGATTTGGAGGTGAGGGTCTAGAAAGTCTTCGGTTGACCACCTTATTGATCGCATAGTAGTCTCCCCGGGGCAGCGGGCATGTATGCACTCTCAGTGGGTGTCCAAAACCTTAGTCGAACTCTCCCTGATCCAGTCTATGCCCTCCTTTCGGGACTCAACGCTGCGACCGTCGGTATTGTGGCGGTTTCCGCAGTGCAGCTTTCAGAAAAAGCAATCCAGGACAATATTTCACGCATACTTATTATTTTTGGCGCCTGCGCGGGTCTCTGCTATAATGCCCTGTGGTACTTTCCGGTGTTGATGCTTATTGGTGGTCTTGTTATAGCTACTTGGGATGGGTGGCTATATTCTCAACTACAGAGGACGAAGATTGCTTGGAAGAATAGGCATAAACGTCCAGCAGATTCCGAGGAGGCGAACTCGAGCTCTATGGTGATGGAGTCTACACAGTCTACACCACCGGGACTAGTGGAACGGAACGAAAGGATACGATCAAGGAAAGTCAGCCCGGATGAAACCTTGCCACAGTGCTCTGGGGCTTTGGTGAATTCGACACGGTCGACACAGACTGGAACAAGTCAATCGCCAAAATATGGTATTCGCGTCCGGTCTGGGCTTGCTATCCTAGCTGTCTTCTTTGGTATTTTCCTTACCTGAACTACCACACTGTCCCCGGAACTAATGTTGAATAGCCTCGTTTATCGCAATCCTTGTCGCTAGAGCCAAATTGACCCGTCCCCCCTCCCCCTTGATCTATTCGCTAGTATGTACCTCGCTGGAACTGTGATTTTCGGTGGAGGTCCAGTTGTTATTCCGCTCCTTCGCTCTTACGTCGTTAGTCCGGGTTGGGTTTCTAGTCGCGACTTTCTAATCGGCCTGGCCATTATCCAAGCCTTTCCGGGACCCAACTTCAACTTTGCGGTCTTTTTGGGTTCTCTCGCCCTGCAGCATTCCCAATTCCCAACTGTCTTTGGCGCATTTCTAGGCTGGCTAGGGATTTTTGTCCCGGGAATTACTCTGGCTGTTGCAATCCAGAGTTTCTGGAGTGTGTTGCGGAAGAGGAGATCTGTGATTCGCTTCCTGCGAGGCGTCAACGCTACAGCGATCGGCTTAGTGTTCACTGCTGTGTACCGGCTATGGGGGATAGGCTATTTGACAGCGACCAATAGCGCTGGACAAAGTCTGGCAAATGAGCCGTGGTGGTTAGTGATCACGACGGTGTCATACGCAGGCAATGCATGGTTCCGATTACCTCCAGCTGTGTCGATTATTATTGGCGCATTGCTGGGGCTGTGCTGGTACGGAGCTGTGGGGCGGTAGTGGTGTATTTCTAGTGATATCTCAAGGTGATCGGCCACATATAGAGGAGAAGATAGGCAGCAGAGCCAGCAAATTTATCTAGGCCCGTTGAATGTTTATTATTCGCTCCAGGTCCAGGGCGAGACCATAAAGGGCAATATCAAAACACACAGGAGGGGGCTTCTTTAACGACGACCTATATACTCGACAAAGCGTCTGCGTGAGTGGATGACATTCTGGCCAGGCTTTGAATCTAGGATCGTTTCCTGGATTCGATCTCTGCCGTCCGAAATACAATGTCAAGTACGTTGAACTACGATCGTCAAGCCTGCGTGCCGAAAGTGGCCTCTGACACTCTCTTCCCTCGCACCAACTACATTAATACACCATTCGAGAAAAGAAATCTAATCCTTGGTCAGGATCTTCTTCGTAATAGCTCCAGTTTCATTTGAGGCAGCCTTTCAGCTCAGTAAAGAAAACCTCTTCAATTGAGCTCAGGTGCGGCGAGTAAGGAGGAAGATAAACCAATCGTACTCCCAAATCGACACACATTTACACAATCCGCTCAGAGTGGTGAAACGATGCACTGCCCGACTTTCGCTCTGGCTATCTTCCGCAGTGCCGAAGCAGTTGATCTATGAAGCCATCGAATAGAGTAGCATCGGTCGAGCCGCGAAAGACCCGAGAGAGCATAATACCATCTTAGTCTTACGTAGGCAGTATCTGTGCGAATTGGTAGGCTTGGACATTCCTGACGACTAACTTATTCACACTTCTCTACCTGAGGCCTTTACCTCTTGACGTGGGCAACGCAGGCACAGACCAGAGGACTATGCTTAGGAAAGTGCGATTTACGACTGTTTCCAAAAATAGCTTAGAGCGCGTTATATTACGGTCGGGAAACAATTCGTGAGCGCATGAAGGGGAAACTGATTTCGACTGCGACTGTATCAGGTTTCAAGTTCCGAGGCATTCGTGTTTATCATCGACGGCATTTGATCGGGAGATGACTTCATCGCAGGCAAATCTCAGATTCACGCACAACGCGCCAGATTTCGGCGACCATGTTCAGCCGAACATCGGCGAACCTCTGCAAGTCGCGGAAGCACCCGATGAAAACCTTTATGGATTGTGGAAGGCCGTATCGCTGCTTATCGGGAGCCCATGGCAAGCTGGACCTCGGCATTTTTGCTTCCAATGCGCGCAGACTGACTCGGCCCGTGTGGATCCACTCCGGTCTTCTTGTCCTTCATGTGCGAGGGACACGCCCAAGCCCTTTCGGACGCATTTCTTTTTCTCTGTCTTTTTCCCTCCTGTGATTCTTTATCCTGAATACTCCCCGGAGGACGAGACTTGCAATCCAACAGCGATCCGCGTGCCTTTTTACCTTCAACAAAAAATCGTACCCTGGACCACCTTCTCGGCCCGAAAAAATGAGTCGCCCCGGGGACTATGACGCTGTCCGCAAGGACATTGCCGCTCAGCTCCAGAAGCCTGGCTATGACGATGGCAGCGCAGGACCAGTCTTTGTGCGGTTGGCATGGTACGTCGATTCTTGATGTTTGGTTGCGAGGGATATTCCGCTGACACATCCAAATAGGCACTCCTCCGGCACGTATGACGCTGAATCCGACACTGGAGGCTCGAACGGGGCCGGTATGAGATACGAGGCGGAGGGCGGCGACCCAGCCAACGCGGGTCTGCAGCATGGGCGGGCCTTCCTGGAGCCGGTGAAAGAGAAGCACCCATGGATCACCTACTCGGATCTGTGGACTCTGGCGGGCGTAGTAGCGATCAAGGAAATGGGCGGGCCCGAAATCGCATGGCAAGGCGGGCGGACAGACCTGGTGGACGACTCCAAGGTGCCTCCGCGCGGGCGGCTTCCGGATGGCGCCCAGGGCGCGGAACACCTGCGGTTCATCTTCCACCGCATGGGCTTTAATGACCAGGAGATTGTAGCACTGACTGGCGGGCACAACTTAGGCCGGTGCCACGGCGACCGCAGCGGATTCGAAGGCCCCTGGGTGACGAACCCGACGCGCTTCTCCAACTCGTTTTTCAAGCTTTTGCTGCAACTCGACTGGAAGCCGCGCAAACTGGCGACAGGCATGACACAGTTTGTGTATGAGGACCCGGACGCGGAGGAGGACGAGGAGCCGCTGATGATGCTGCCCACCGACATGGCACTGGCTACCGACCCGTCCTTTGCACCGTGGGTGAAGAAGTACGCCGAGGACAAGGACCTGTTCTTCGATCACTTCGCCAAGGTCTTTGCGAAGCTGATTGAGCTGGGCATTCAGCGTGATGCCCAGGGTCGCGTTACCAACACCGACAACCGTCTCGGGGGCTATGTCTCTGCTCCCAAGAAGAGTAATGTCGCCACGGGCCCGCCTCGGGCACGGCTGTAAGCTTGAGTGGCCCACCTCTCCTTTTTGTGTGTTTGTGTTTGATTGAATTCCCCATTGTGTTGATAGATCTGGGTCAGGCAGGCCGGAGGACTAGACGTGTAAATAGATCATAGACCTAGAGAACAATACCTTCAATTTGCGATAGTGTTCATCATTGATGCACGGAGAAAAGTAGACATGCTGGTTCACATGGCCGCTGTGAGTCGAGGGAGATGGGGACAAAAGGATGGAAGGAAAAGAAAGAGAGAAAAGGAGACGTCCGGGGTAGACCAGAAGGCGGGGAAGCACACGGGGCTCGCCGAGGCTTTCCCTACGGGGGTGTTTGGTGTTTGTCGAATAAGTAGGCGCTGATTGGCAGAGAGCCGAAGGTACTAGTAGTAGCCATCGGCTGGGTTTTACGTACTTGTTTGTCTGATTCCGCCTTGAGGTCATGTTGAATCTAATAGCGTGACTGTCAAGCCTCCGACTAAGAAATTTTAGTTTTGGCAGGCCCATGTCCCTAAGCGTAAGCGACCAGGTTCGGCAACGTTATACCTCCGGTGTTAGCAATTCAGAGAACGAATAGGGACAACAATATTTCGCCATTTTAGAGTGACTTGTTAGATTAGCACATTTGGAAATTGTTAAGCCAATGCAGGTTTATCAACCGGGTGTGGTGCTGGCTTCAATTTACAATCATGTTATAGACTAGACACAACTTGACAGAGCACATGTTTTGTTTCGCGCTTGTTTCTAGCTACCACTCGAGCCGTTCACCATGGTCTCCCCTTCTCCTACTTCTTCCACCATCACCGAGGGCAGAGAGATTGTACCCAACTCTCTACGAAGCTTTCATCCAAGCATTCAGCATCTTATGGTAGTTGGGCGTGCCAAAGCCAGTGACAGGGTCCCAGCCCTTCTCGGCCGAGAAGCCCTTCTTGTGGCAGTCCGAGTTGTTTCCACTGGTGATGTCGTTGAAAATCTCCGGGTGCTGATAGATGAAGGTGTTAGCGAACCCAATCTTGGGCTTTCCAGAGTTGATCAGGACGCTGTTGATGAGTGTTAGGACGGAGCCGAACGTCGGTGACGAAGCTGAGGTGCCGGAAACAGCCACCTCCTGGCCACCAACAACGACGACCTGGAACTGTGTCAGTTGAAGGATTGACGCTACTTGAAGGATATGCGTACAAAGTTCTTGCCGTTGGCGGAGACATCTGGGTAGGCACGGCTGTTACCGGAGTTGTTGAAGATTTTGGGGCCATAAAGGCCCTTATGCTTCGAGAGCCAGCTCGAGACGGTCTGCTGTTGGTAGCCGGGCATGCTGAACGTGTTGGAGAAGCCACCACCGGAGCTAAAGCCATAAACCGCCTGCCACGCCGCAACCTCGGGCTGGTCGGTGCTAGCGCCCGGCTTGAGCATGGTCGCGCCGACGGAGGTGATGTAGGGGCACGAAGCCGGAAATTGGGGAGTGAACGACGTGCCACTCGTACCGCAACCATGTCTGCTAGCAACACCTACTGAAATTAGCGACGTTATCCAGCTCATTCATTAGCGCACTTACCCGAGTCACCAGATGCATACAAGACCGAAGTTCCCTGGAGTCCCATCTTCATGTACTCGTGGCACTGACGCTTGGCGAATGTCGGGGCAAACATATCCTCATCCGTGCCATACGAGATAGAGATGACGTTAGTCAGACCGGCACACTTAATACAGGTTCCTTTAGAGCATGTCCTTCCGCTGTCGCAGAGTGCCGAGTCCAAGATGTCCCAGAGTTTTTGATTACTGTTTATCATGCCACCAACCTGGTAGAGCGTCGTCTTGACGGGGTATGTCAGGCCAGTAGCGTACTCGAGGTCCAGCGCGGCTTCCATTTCGCCGAGCGGGTCTGGGTTGGACGGATACTTGCCACCATTGATCAGTTTAGCAATGAGTTGGTCATTGGCCGCCTCGGGACGGTATTTGCGGAGGAATAACTTTAGATCAGTAGAATTCATAGACTGAGAATCTTATTAGCACGAGAACGCTAGCGAGCCGGACAGATGAATTGTACTTCGCCATCCATCTCAGGGATGCCGTAGCTGTTATGAGCCGAGGCCTCGGGGTGCTGCGGGATCCCGTAGAGGCTACGCAGGCACTCTAGGGTGATCCGGCTACTGCAGTCTCCATGGCTCGCAGCCTCGACCGGCTGAAAGCCATCAAAGTGGAGAGTGTAGGGGAGCATGGGGGTAAGGTGGACCGTCGGCGTGATAACGTCAATGTAGCTCGCGAGGTGGGCCGGGACGCTATAGCTCTCACAGGCAATCTGGTTGCCGAGCTTAGGATGCGTGAAGACGTGATACTTGGTCCCGAGCAGGTTCTCAGCCTCCGCGACAGAAATGTCTAACGATAGCCAACCACCGCTCTGGGTCAGAGAGATGCGATCCGCGGCGATGCCGGACTGCGTCAGCCAGGACTTGACTTTGTCTACAGTGGATTGGCTAAGGCGAGTCAGATCCTGACATAGATACCACAGCATTAACCAGCTGGTCTTAGATCCCAACTTACCTAGGTGCGAACGTTCGGACAATCTTATCGGCATCCCAATACTTCCCATAGTTCGCCGATGCCGGGTTGGAAACGTCGTCAAGAAACTCGGCAGCACGCTCTAGGTTCCTCTGGGTTATGCCAATCTGCATGCTCAACTTCGTCTCCGCAGTGGCTGGCTCTCCCTGGACCCAGCTAGAGGCAGCAGGGGGCACGCTGCCGTGAACGACCAAGTCAGTCGGCAAGGTCATCGACGGAGCGGCAAAGGTCGCAAGGCCAAGAAAGAATGAAAGCCTCATTGTGCTCCAGTATATACCAAAGAATGTGGATGGAGACGAGAAGCGAGACTATTGAAATAAAGAGATATTGAGACAGAGATGGCTCTAGATATCTGTGTGAAGGGAAATGAGACCATCTTTATACTTTTGGAGGTACAGCCAAACCGTCTATACATGGATGTTTCGTTCAATCCTTCGTATAGGAGAGATCGCTCGTCGACGAGCACAGCCATAGTGATCTAGCTTTTGCTTGGACATAGCATCGGACTTTTCGGAAACCATCACGGACTGCGCCTTGCGAAAGGTGAATCTCACGTGGGAGGGACAGAGAAACCGGGGAAAAGAGACGAACCAGTCAACAAAATGCGACTGCGCAGCAGACTAGGCAACAATAGGGCGGACGGGCCACGGCTAATTCAGACACCGACAGATATTTCTTGGAGTCCATACCCCGAACGAGTTGGAATTGCCGTAAGGAACGTAGTGAGGGATTTAAATTTCTCAGGACGCCGTCGACCACGAGCCGGGAACCGTAGAAGGCCTCGAATTCCCAGCAGCTCTTGTACCTGTGCTTTGGGGCAAAGGGAAGAGATGTTTACGCTTCAACGCAATGATTTCGTCGTGACTGAAAGCAGAGGAATAAAAGAAACGAAAACAGGACAAAGGCTACATTATTCATGATCGTAGTGGTATAGGATCGTTTATCTCAGCCAAGGTACCGGTAGGCGAAATCTCCTCTCAGAACTATTTTGATCGCATTGTCATAACCATGATACGCAGCAGGAAAACGGTGCAACGGGTGCCACATACTCTGTGTTCTGCCCCTTCACGTCCTTTGACGGGTGGATCTCGCTCCGTGTTTCGCTTGCCCTAACTCCTTTTGGCTCTATTTTTCTGGTGCAGTTCGCTGCTCTCTTCTTTCTGCCTGCGGCTAAATGTCGATGCCAACGCAGCCTGTATCTATAGTCATTGATCTCTAGTTATTAAATGGTGGCTATGCGTAGACTAGAAGTCGGGGACAACGGGTAATGCGGCAAGTGAGGCTGATTCGCGCGGAAGCGGGTGAACTGGCCGACAAGGCTCCGGTTCATTGTCCCCACCTCACCAGAATATATCCCTTTTGGATATTACATCAACCAAGGCAATTGGCCCTTCCTATCTGGTCACTCACTTTGCCGTTTTCTGTCCCTCCAGTATGAACTCCCATGGGCTCTTAAACAGTTGGAACTCCGAATATCCTGATGTATTTATAAGAGCAGATGCAGCTACCTAGGCTACAGCTTCTATACAACATATATATCACGTGTCCTAGGATCCATCTTTGGCGACGGGTCGAGGTACTGGAAGACGCGCGCGCGTTGCGCGCATCGGCCCTGAAACGATGAAAATGAAAGGTTGACAAGCGGAAGAACAAGGCCGAATTGACAGGTACTTGAATTGTCGGGTACTATCTTCCAGCAAAGTTTCAATTCGTTACCTACCCGCATAATAATCCCGATGTGCACTATGTGTTGCTAAACAGAGTTAGATTCAAATGCCACAGATTCCTGAGTCAATGAAAAGACTTGAAGACGCCGAGCTGTAAACGATACATAATCCATATCCATATCAAATGCTTGACGCCTAATTTCCTTCTAGACCATCCGAACCATATCCACCTATGTCATCGAAATCCTACACATAACAAATAGACCCACAACCCAAAGAACACATAACTCCCTCCTCCCAGCACTCCTAGCACTCATACTAATATCCGTCATAGTAGAAGAAGACAACCTATTACTCTATTCTAACGAATACGAGTCGCCTCTCACGCGAGAATCACTAATAGAGCTCGTGCTCGCACCGACGCTAATCCCCGCGTAGTTAGATAGTCATTATCACCTATTCCTATTCCCAGTTCTGTTCCTAGCATAGGCGGACCATGGCCAATCATAATAGGACGGATCTTCGTACCGACAAACCCGCGGCGATCGCGACCTATCCGGTCGCGGCCGATCTAGTTTTGCTTAAGAGCTTTGCTAAGGAGATCGATTTTGTCTTATGTGTCGTCGTCAGTTTGCACGCTTGCGAGCACGCAACGTATTAGAGCGGCCGACTATCTCGGTTATTACGCGCGAGGAGTCCCCGAGAAAGCGCGTTCCATAGTAGTGGTCTTGTAGAGACGACGGAGGGAAAGGTCACTAAGTCAAAATCAAGCTATCTAGTCATAGCATAGCGTTTTGAGGTCGTCCGCCCTAAGATCCTAATCTTCTTTATCATAAGCTTCCTCGCCATGGTTAGCATTGCTAAAGAAGTACTAGGCATTGATTCGGTTATTCTTATTAACGTAAAACTAAGTACGTTTGACCGCTGATGTTTTTTGAAATATATATGATGCCGTACCTATTTTTTAAAAAAGAAAGTATTTTAATAAGTACTTAGAAAGGTCACCACTCCTATACATAACCTTTCAAAGCTATATTTTCTGAACGTCTCTTTCTTAGCAAAATATTTTTTTGATAGATCTCGCCAAGCAGGGGACTGGGACTTCAAAATCCGATCAAATTTTCAGTCATATGGCTTCTTTCTCTAATCCTTCAACCATGTGGTCGTAGCATCACCATCAATACAGAGCCTCGTCACCAGACTCCGATAACAGCCTTGGCGGTCGCTGTGAGTAAGAATCTTATTCTTACTGTTATCCGTCAACAGTAGCCCGAGTGGTCTAGTGGTATGATTCGCCCTTCGGGACACAGATCTCGGATCTTCAAGATTCTGTCTGGGCGAGGCCCCGCGTTCGAATCGCGGCCCGGGCCCACTTCTTTTTTTCTTTTACTTTTTTTTTTGTCAAACTCGGAATCGCTAGACGTTGTGAAGAAATAATGATCACGCGTTAGCGCTCTGCATACTACGCCAGTATCTTATAATCTATAATTGTAGCCTGTAATTGTCCGAAAGCGCGATCAGATTTTGAAGCGCGAATAGGTCCCACATAGCCCGCTGGTCAAACATTGATTCCAATGGCGAGAAAACTGAAAGCATGAGCGGGTGATAGGATATGGCTTGGTTGGTCCCACATCCATAGATTTCCTGTATTCTCTGGTAGCTGGTATGGATAACTAGACTTATATACCAGAGCCTCTATATGGAAGACACCGGATCGGATCCCGAGGTGCAAAATCGCTTAACGTAAAATGCCGTTCAAAAAGATGTGATTCCAATTTAGAGGAAGTACTGTAGGAGGAGAAGAACACACTCTGAGTCCCTTAAAATCCTGAGCCTGCATGCGCTCATTCCTTCAGCAGCATCGGCTGTGCAGGGGAAAACATAATTTCAACACCTCAAACAATACGAACAACGACAAGATTGCAATCGATCTCGGCCTCTCGAGGCTTAATACTGGACAGAATGAATCAGGACTAGGAAGATCGAGAAAATTTCTGTAAAATTTACACGGAGGAAAAAAAATAGAACAGGCCCGAGCCGCGGATCGAACGCGGGACCTCGCGCAGGAGTGCTTAGGTTTGCCCTAAGCGCGAATCATACCACTAGACCACCCGGGCTGCTATAACAGAAAGTTCTCCTTGAAAATTATAATTCCCAAAGGGTTATCATTTCTTAGTAAGGCACCTAACGGAGCTTTCCTGCGGAGACATTGAAGCGAGATCAGCTTTCTATTGAGTACATTAATGAATTTTTAAAAGAAGTATGGACGACTCTAAAAGACGTTCGCTATCCACAACCTTATTCTGGGGTGAACAATATATTAAGAGAGACACTTCAATCCCCACCCAAAAACTTATTTCATATCCACATTCCCTTTCGCTTTTTAGATATAGCCTGTAAATTATTCATTAAATAATTTAGATAATCGCAGTGTAAGTTTTGCGAAGCCAGAATGTCCCCCCAAACGTCGGGTCATCACCGCTGCCGCTGGTGAGGGCCTGTATATGACCTCTACCCACTCAGGGAAGACTCTTGGCCAGCTTCTATATCTACTCGTCCTTAGCGCTGTGTCTTTCTTTATAATCCAGATAATCATCTGAACATGACTAAGTGTTGTCTGCACACCATAAGCATGACTGCTCTTAAGGAATGTCTTCGTTCTGAGTATCCTATCCTATATGGCAAGATGAACCTGAATATGTAAATACCTCTTTTCCAATCGCTTCGAAATGATCAGCGATCACTGACTAAAGGTCTTAGAGATCTCAAATTCCTTATAAGAGATGATTTCCAAAATCCTTCATCCCGGGATGAAGATAAAAAGAGACTGACAGAATATAGCTGGGATGCGCACCATAATCCTAATTTCTGGCCGTGGCTAGGAATTAAAAACTTGTACAAGTCACCAGCAAGCAGCTTTGAGGCTGCCGAACACAACAACCCTGTTTTTACAACATGCAAAGAGATTATCACCGATGCCTCCTGACTAATGGCGAAAAAGCTGTTTTCAGTATGAATGATTTTGTTGACACATCGTATTCTACGAGACAAGAAACTTTGCGCGTCAAATTTACATCAAGGCAAAGGTAGTGGCACGAAGATTTACTACCTAATGAACGTGGTATTCTGCTGAATAATGTCAGCCCGGGTGGTCTAGTGGTATGATTCGCGCTTAGGGCAAACCTAAGCACTCCTGCGCGAGGTCCCGCGTTCGATCCGCGGCTCGGGCCTGTCTATTTTTATTTCTAGGTGTTTATTTTTAAAAATTTCATTTTTTTGATCGCAATATTTGCTCTTTTTCTTTTACTCTATACTATAGACTCCATTTAAGTGCGTCTGAACGGTGATATGCTAAAGAAGTCTCATGGTCAAGAAAGATACAGAATAACAAACTCGTGAATGGCATGCAGAAAGGCCAAACCAGGCACCAAAGAAGTCCCCCGAAATGTCCCCATAGTGTTCCACAAAAGTTTCAAATGCGAGTCATCAATATCCTCAGAGACAGTCTGATGGTGCTGCATGTTCCAGATATAAAGGCGATTATCGTCATAAAGCGGGCTGTCTGTCGCGACATGGTTAATAGTCTCCCTTCGACCTTGCTCTTCACAGGAGCAGATAAAATGTTATCAGTGAACAGACAGGATGCCATAACTGCTCAAAGTCAGGCAGTAACCATAGAGTCTAGTGTCATGTTTCGACAACTCCCAGGCCTCCTTCCTTGCCTCTTTGATAAACTACTTTTAACTCATCTCCACTTCTAAACGGAGACAATATTCGGGCAATCCTGAAAACCTCGGGGTTGATAGGACTGGCTAACCAATTTCTCACCATCCAATTGCGTATTTCGCTATCTTATCTACGAACTCGTTGCCTTCCACACCTAAGTGCACTAGGATTTTCAATTTACCCAGATCTACTTTCCACTTCGCAAAGGCGCGGAAGATAAATAGAAGCCGCCTCAATCAACCGCAGCTGCAGTGCTTGCATCTATATTTACGCCTGCGCCGACCGGCCGCACAGCAACGGAAAGTGCTACAGATGGAAAGGCTGTGTACCAGCTGGCGACATAGTCAAGCCAACTCGCCTAGCCAGAGCGTACGTTGAACAACGATAGTAGTGATCCTGGCTATGCACAGAGATCATTACCACCAGGCTCGTCATCTCCGGTGGTCCCTCTATCTCGTCACCAGCAACGCAACCCATTGTTTGCCTTGACAGTCCTCCACGGCAATTAGCCTCGCTGTCGCCTCTTGACCTTGGTCATCCTCGAAATTACTTGGTATGAGCGATTGCTCTAGGACAAGCATCCTAAATATACTGACAATAAGGAGTGAAAGCGTTTCGAAGCTCTTAGTGGCCTCGGCCAATCCAACTATAGTTGGATGCTTACCCGTGAAGCGCTGTGTCTCTTTGCGTACTGGCTGAGTTTAGTTATCATTTTATGAAGAATCCTTGTTACTAATAATAGCCCGGGTGGTCTAGTGGTATGATTCGCGCTTAGGGCAAAACCTAAGCACTCCTGCGCGAGGTCCCGCGTTCGATCCGCGGCTCGGGCCTATTCTTTTTAGTTGTGAATTTTTGTTAATCTATTCTTTTTCATAGATTTATTAATAGTGGTTCTGGCAGTGGGTAGTTGCTGTTATATCCATCCATACCCAATTTAGCTTTAAGCACATGGGTCATGCGTTGCGGCTGTCTGATACCCAAAAAGGGAAGGAGGGTCTGTCTGTCTTTATGACTGACTTTGACGGAGCTCAAAATAACTCCTATTGAGTTATTTATCCACTAGTATCATGTTAGTTTACGTACCCCTTTTACTCAGGATTTCGACCTGGGTAGAAAAGCATCACATTCTATAACAAGGGTAGAAAAGGAAATCTATTGAGTAAAGAAATAGCCAAAACACAGACAAAAAAAGATCTATCGTGTATACAAACCACAGAAACACCAACACAAAGCAGCCAAACCCCGAAAAATTTTACATTAAAAAAAAAATCATGAGATCGAAACGACAGAACTCACTTGGTGATCCGCTTCGCCCGTCTCTTGGGTTTGGCCGGAGTCTTGGAGATGCCCTTGGGCTTACCATTGGACTTAACGGTGGGCTTGGCGTTTTGTTTCTTTTGAGTCCCAGCTCTAGGAGGACTGGGATGCGACTGATCCGACTGGATAATGTACACGCGAGCAGGCTCGTGAGGAGCGGGGCAATCGCGACTGACGTTAATATATTCCGGGATATCGGCCATGGACACATTCGAGGACGAATTCGAGGACGAGGGCAGGTCTAGAAACTGGCTGGGTGAGAAGTAGGGCGTTGGAGCATTCGAGGGCGACGTGTGCACACCTTCCGGCGATTGCGCCAACTCAGGAAAGTTCACCAGACTCAGACCATCGTCACCTGGAATACCATCAGGCCAGAGGTCTGGGTGATTGGCGAGGAAAGATGATGGGTCGTCGAGGATCGAGTCGAACATGTTGGGGCTTTGGGTTTCCTGTTTCAGACGAGACCTGTTCACATCAGGCTTAGCATCATCAGAATTGTTAGCATCAAGCAACATGGTATCATCGGGCGGGGATGTCGTGGGTTGGGTTGATATAGATTCTGCGGCGTTCAGCAGCAGACTGGCTAAGTCTACATCGAGGAGTGAACTGGGATCTGGAATGAGGGGGTGGGGTCAGTCCGGTGTACCGAGCCTCATAGTAGTTCTCACCGGTGCGAGGCAGAATGCGCGGCCATGGGTCAAGGCCAGCCGAGGAAGAAGGCTCTGGTGCTCGGCGCCAGGGGGTGTGCTCTGTCAGGATCGGCTTGTTCTGTATGGAAGTACTCATCATGTTAGTAACGGTCTGGGAAGCCACGTGGAGGACGTCGTCGGAAGGATTCATGACCCGCTCGTAAAGGACAATGGGCAGGCCCTCACGCAACCAATCCTGGGGCACACGAGAGTCCCTGTGGAAAGGCGGGATGTCACCCACAATGATGCCTGAGTTGTCTTGGCCGTCGTAGATGCGGATGTTGCCGGTATCCTCTTCACCTCGTTCGGCATCTGTCCAGTAAACACGGACGTGGTGATCTTTGTAGTAGACGCCGCCGAGCCAACGATAGGTTGCTACGCGGTGGTTTCCATGCTCGTCCACATACCGAAAGGCAATATTCTTGGTGTGGGAGATCAGCTTGATATCCGTGCCGAAACTCATCACCAGCCGCAGAGGAAGGTCCTTGAACTGTTTGACTTTGGTGTCTCCCGTTGGTGATCCACAGTCTGGACATGGTCCACTGTGCTTGGGGCCATAGGTAGAGCGCTCGATCATTTCCGACACAGTCACACCGTACTGATCTAAGGGCTGGGATATGGGATACATGCATTGGCCCATCCTGTCTGTGGATATTGGGGCCAGGCCCTGGCATGGACAGGGAGTCAACAGCTCGGTGAAGTTGAACTGAAACTGAGCAAAGTTCCTTGTTGATTCCGCCCAAACCACCCAGACAGGAGTAGGAGCTCCAATAGTGAGACTGGGGACGATAGAGACTAGCTTCTTCCAAAAGGCGTCGCGAAGGTCAATAGATGTGTAATCATCGTAGACATCCCAGTTCATATTGCAGACTTCAATGAAAGCTTTCTCGAGTGTGGTGAATTGTGACTGCCAATCGCCTTTGCGGTCTGCAACAGTACATCCAGCGTCAGCAAGGATTCCCAACGTGATCGCGGCATCGATAGCACAGGAACCGCCATTCCAGACCGGTCCCCGCCCGCGATACGGATAGGTGAGACCGTTTGGGTCAAAGAGAAGCTCAGGGGGCATCAACCTCACGGTTCTGGTGGCGGGAAACGTTGCAACCTGCATAAGACGCAGAGTGTCCTTGTCACAGGCCGTTCTGGTAGGGAAAGGTGCTCGAGCTGGAGCACTGGGATCCCGTTCAAGTTCGGCGTATGCGAATTTCATTACTGCGCGTTCCACTGCTTCGGTCACAGCCTGCATCTGAACACTGGGCAAAGCGCCAGATAAAGTTCCAGTCAAAGCTGCTGGAAGACCTGCTGAAAGAGCTGCTGGTACGGTTGTCGGGGTAGTTGTCGGGAGGAGTATTCCATTGGTGAGAGTAACCGGGAGAACCGTCCATGGATCAGGGCTTGGACTGTCAAAGCTGGTCTCGCCAACCTCGGGTAACGGTGGTATCTGAAAACGGTTGTTAGAAACCTGAGTGGACATACCAGCGAGGCTGAGGGTTGAATCGGAAGAAGGAGACGTTTGTGTTCTGCGTCTTTTGGCTGCCCGGGTTTCTCTCTCGGTGTATTCCGGAGGTTGAGTCCGGTGTGACATCTTTCTCTTCCTCGAGACAGCTGGAAGTAGAAACCGTTCGATGTAGACATCTGGCAAGACAGACGGTGCGTCTGCAGGTCGATGAAAGCCGGCTCCAGTGGCTCCCTTGAGGCTTGGGAGCTCTCGATGACGTTGGCTGTAGGGGAAGGGACAAGGATTAGTGGTATATTTGAACAACCGGGGGCCGGAATCACGAGTGAAATCAAAAACCTCGATCCAGTTGCGTGGACGATGCTCATCTGCCATGTAGTAAAACAGTTTCCACAATGCGTTGATGATTTTGGTTCCGGACGGACGGAGGTACATGTCGAATCGAATCCCCCAGAACCAAAACTTGGCCAACGCCAGACAGTTCTCCTTCATGATGTGACGGCCGATGCGGAAGTCGCTGGCACACATACCGAAGAATTTCAAATCCGCGGGTGGATCGGGCAGCGAAGTCATGTCGTAGAGTTTCTCGGGCTCAGGAGGAACATGAATATTGTCCTCGGTCACCCTTTCGAAGAGTTCCGGGTTGTTGTCCAGGAAGTGGTCCACACCCTCCATCCTGGATTAAATCCAATGATGAACGGCAGGAAATGGGGCAGTTACAAGATGAACAAGACAAGCAAGATAGACAAGGTTCAGAAAGAAATATAGACGACGGTGATGAATTGAACCGGGGCCCAACAAGGACTTAAATATACATCGAAGGCCCCCGGTAAGACCGTCAAGGCCATGGCGGAGAATAAAGACAGTGCTGCAGAGAAGACCATGATATTGATCAAGTGAAAGAGAATAAGGGAGCCGACTTGGCTCCATGGCATTGATGTCTTTCTTTGATCGAAACACAGAACACTTTGAGACTGTCAAAGCAAAGACTTCCAAGTATGTATTTCTATAATTGACTTGTCAGTTCATAATCCTGGACGCTCGTGTCCACTAGGTTTCGTGCCGAGTCTGAAAGTCGAAACAGAGAAGAGAGACCCTTGTCAATAACAAAGAGCGTCAAAGGCAGCCAGTGAATCTCACAAAACGGAGCCGATCAAGAAAACCAGATTCTTGTCGGGTCCAAGGATCCGGCCGCGACGCTAGACGCAGTTGGCATCCTCTGTCGGCGATGATCAAAGAGTCCAGTCAGGATCATGGATAGAGGCTCACCGCCGTAGACCCTTTGGTAGACAATCTGTGTCCTGATATTTATGAAAATAGATATGTATCTTTTGACATGAAGACATCGTCGAGTAGATGGGCATTCGAGTGTATATCCAGTCAGTGTCACAAGATTATGTGTCTGTATAGTCCAGTCAATCATTAATCGTGGCAACCTACCAGCCATGTGCCGGAGATGCATTTCAGACCCAGAATAGTACTGTATACTGCTGATGCATGGAATCCGACGCCACGTTGGTTTCATCGTCGATCGTGAAAGAAGCACAAAGCGCGGACAGGTGTAAGATACGGGTAAAATACGCCGATATGACCATACACGAAACACACAGCACGTGATGTCCCCATCAGGGTTAGCGCCGCACAAGCGAGCCGAGCCCACAACCGGAAAGAACAATCAGCGCTTGCCTTGACTTCCTCTTCTCCATCCCTCTCGTCGACAACACATCGCGATCCCGTCGCGCCCATCGCCCATCATGTGTACGTGACCACTCTTCTCTCCATGCTCTTGCCCCCTATCATCGCTCTCTGGATCTCCCCGGTCTCAAGCGAGCGAGACCGGTCGCACCCATCCAACAAAATTGAATGTCTGGCTAACATGGACTTGTCGATAACTACAGCGCTCGTGTCCGGCGAGAAGACGAACTTCCAGTACATCTTGCGTCTGCTCAACACCAATGTTGACGGCAAGCAGAAGATCATGTACGCCCTGACCAAGATCAAGGGTGTTGGTCGCCGCTACTCCAACCTGGTCTGCAAGAAGGCCGATGTCGACCTCTCGAAGCGGTACGTGTGCAACAAGCCCTTGGGGAACAATGCAATGTCTCTGGAATGATGAAGAGGAGGAGATTTTGGATGGTGATGCTGCTGGGAGGGTGCTGCACAATTTTTTCCCTCCCAAATTTTTGTGTGTGGTGGAAGGGTCGGGAGGCATTGCAAAATTTCTCAACAACCCACAAACAACAACCAGCTGACGGGAATTTCTCACAATAGTGCCGGTGAGCTTACCACCGAAGAGCTCGAGCGTATCGTCACCATCCTCCAGACCCCGACCCAGTACAAGATCCCGACGTGGTTCCTGAACAGACAGCGCGACATCACCGACGGCAAGGACTCCCAGGTCGTCTCCAACGGTCTGGACAGCAAGCTCCGCGAGGATCTGGAGCGCCTGAAGAAGATCCGCTCGCACCGCGGTCTGCGTCACTACTGGGGCCTGCGTGTCCGTGGCCAGCACACCAAGACGACCGGTCGCCGTGGCCGCACCGTCGGTGTCAGCAAGAAGAAGGGCTAAACTATTGTTGTCAGCGATTTTTGCCGGGGATCTTGTTTTGGGGGATTCCTTTACTGTCGGTGTGTTTCTGATGGGAATCCGGGGGACCTTTGCCCCGGTGGACTGGGGGTTGTTGCCGGTCCTAAAAATGAAAATGAATCATACCACTATGAAATGAACCGATCTTCCTTACATGGCGTGTTGTAAATCACGGCCCTGTGTTTGGCCTGCGTAGTTGCCCTGTACCAACGTACTTGACCCAGGACGTCTGGTGTGGTTCACACCAAAGTTCATTCCACCGATAGGACCCCATATCTTTCTCGAGATCAATTCTCTTCTGATTTCCGATAACATCCAACACAGACAGACCTACATGCCTACATCTACGGTCGGCATTGGTATTCTAGATAATTCAATTCAGATCAAACAGCTATATACTTCACGACATGAGCAAGCCATCAAGAGAGATGGCAAAAGTGTCAGACACTCTTACACCTCCCAAGGTCTTGTGATTTAGCCAGTGTGTATGTAATGAAAACCAGGCGAGATCAATAAATTCCACAAAACAGACAATAAGAGACATTGATGCATAGGGTCTTAGAACCACTCGCCACCCAGCCAGCGGTTGAAGAACTCCAGGCTGGACTCGGGCTGATCCATGGGGACCATGTGACCACCGCCGTAGAGGCGCATGAAGGTGAAGTTGCCGTGGGACTTGACCTGGCCGATCTTCTTGCCAGTGTGCTCGTTGTCCTTAATGACCAGGTCCTCCAGCTCGGCGGCGGCGAACTTGGACTTGCCGGGCCAGTCGAGGGCCTCGGACCAGGCCTTGTTGCCCAGCCAGTTGCAGATGAAGTCGGCGTCACCCGCATAGATCAGGACGGGGATCTGCTCGAGGAGGCCCGGCACCAGGCGGTGGTAAGGCTTCATCCAGTCGCCGTGGAAGAGGAAGTTGCGGTTGATGTCGAAGTTGCACGAGTCATAGCCGTCGACCTCGGCACCCAGGGCCTTGCGCACCTCCGGCTTGTTGAGGTAGTCGCTGACATAGCCCATGCCCTTGTAGCACAGGTTGCTCTCGTCTTCGCACTTGCCGCGGACGTCGTAGACGTTCTGACCTGTGCGCTGGTACGGGGCCAGGAGAGCGTTATTGCAGTAGATCGAGGCCGGAACGCAGACCCAGGAGCTCTCGCTGCTGTAGCAGGACTCAATCATCGACTGGCAACGTGGCAGAGCATTGTCCATGGACTGGCAGGTGCTTTCGTCCAGAACAGCCGGGTAGCCACCGTCGCCGCAGGCCATCGGGCGGTAGTACTCGTACTGGGTGAGGCCATCGGTCAGACCATTTCCGATGAGGACGGACTTGAGGTTGATGTTGCGCTTCTTGTGAGAAAGGATCTCGGAGGCGAAGACAGGGATGTAGTGACCGCCATAGGACTCGCCGGCAATGTGGAAGTCCTGAGTAGAGTACTGAGGGAACTGCTTGAAGAACAAGGACAGCAGGGCGTAGACATCTTTGCCGGCAGCCACGGTATCGCTGACGGAGGAGCCGCTGTAGGAATAGCCAACGTTGACAGGTTGGTCCAGGAAGATCACCGAGGCGTTCGAGTTCCACGAGTAATCATTATAGACTGCCTCGATCTTCTTGTTGATGGAGCTGGGTCCCAGCTCCATGAACAGACCGGTCAGCGAGGAGCAACCGGGGCCGCCGTTCAGCCACAGAACAACGGGGTCGTTCTCGGGGTCATTGCGGGACTCGAAGAACCCTTTCATACACAGTCAGCACGAGGTCATGCGCACAAGACGATAGAGGAAACTCACAATAGAACAGGTGCTTATCATTCTCGTTGTCGTCCAGATACCCACTGTACTGCTTCACATCCGGGTCGATCCCGAGGGCACTGGGGTCCACCTTCTTGACACGCAGATCGTAGGCCTCCAGCTTGCCGTCGATCTCACGTTCCTTGGTGCCACTCTCGCCAGTCACCCAGACGCTCTGGACATCAGCACCACGCACCACGTGATCCCAGTGCGAGTCGGCGAGACGGGTGTGTGGCTTGGGCAGCGACAGCCTGGGGGCCTGTTCCATGGAGTCCGGGAAGTAGTTCGAGACCTCTTCCCAGAGCTGACGGGCCTCATCGGACAGCGACTTTAGGCCATCCTGGATCTGCTCGAGAGGCTTGGAGAAGGCGTTGGTACCCTGCTTGGACCAGGTCTCCACCTGCTCCCTTCCCGCACCGAGGACCTGCTGGAGCGGCGGGGCAGCAGCGGAAGCTGCTCCCACCAGCAGCGTAGCGGGCAGAACTCTCATGATGGATTGAGATCAGTCTTAGGTTAGAAATAAAGATAATGCGGATGATGAGGGTGGATGGATGGATGCGAAGTGGCAGGGAAACAGGACGATGACGCTCTCAGGCACTGGAGAAGTGGGCAGCCAATCACCGTGTGGCTGAGTCACCTGGCCCGCACTAGGCCGGATTGGGCTGAAACTGGATCCTGTTGCATTTGCTCTTGGTTCGTTCTTTCCTTCAAATAATGCTGTGGATGATTACCTGCCGTCATGCCTATCAATCAACCCTCCAACCAGATCAAGTTCACCAATGTGTCCGTCGTCCGGCTAAAGAAGGGTATGAATGCCGGGTTCCTGCTGGAATGCGTGCCTGACTGACGCCCGCTTCTCTTCTAGGCAAGAAACGGTTCGAGCTCGCCTGCTATAAGAACAAGCTATTAGAATACCGGTCTGGTGCAGAGAAAGACCTCGACAATGTTCTCCAGGTCCCAACTATCTTCCTGTCCGTGTCCAAGGCGCAGACAGCCCCATCTGCAGAACTAGCCAAAGCGTTTGGTGCCGGCACCCCCGCAGATGAGGTGCGTCAGGAGATTCTGCGCAAGGGTGAGGTGCAAGTGGGCGAGCGCGAGCGCAAAGATATCCTCGAGCGAGTCGAGAAGGAGGTGCTGGATATCGTGTCAGGCCGACTAGTCGACCCCAACACCAAGCGCGTGTACACACCGGGGATGATTTCCAAAGCGCTGGACCAGCTGAGTTCGGCCAGCGGACAGATGCAACAGCAAGGTGGCGAGGCCAACGGGACGGACGAGGACAAGCCTGCTCAACCCAAGAAGCCGCTGTGGACCGGAGTGTCCCCCAACCGCTCTGCGAAGAGTCAGGCACTCGATGCCATGAAGGCGCTCATCGCCTGGCAGCCAATCCCCGTCATGCGGGCTCGGATGCGCCTTCGGGTTACGTGTCCCGTATCGCTATTGAAGCAAGCGGTCAAGGCAGCCCCGGGCGCGGCGGCAAACAAGGAGAAAGAGGCCCCATCGAGCGGCAAAAAACCCAACAAGAAGGGTAACAAGGGGTCTAAGAAGGCCGCCAAGGGCGATGATTCAGACATGGAAGCCGGCGGCTCTGAGGCAGAGGGTGCACCGAAGACGCCGGGTACTGTCAAGGACAAGATCACGAGCTACATTGAATCGATTGAGTCGCAGGAAGTCAGCGGGGATGAGTGGGAGGTGATTGGGTTTGCCGTTCCTGGAGCATACAAGGGACTGAACGAGTTCATCGGCAATGAGACCCGGGGAAGAGGACGAGTGGAGGTGTTGGACATGTCGGTGACACACGAAGACTGATTTGGCATTGGCGGTCTGGAATGCGATACCCTTGCCACCGAGGACATGTACATGAACATGGCTATGATTGATGATACGCTAAAAACAAAGACAACTGTTTTGTTCAGACAATAGTCTTGGTTGATTGTTTGCGGTGCACTATATCTGCAGCGCAGAGAGGGATTAACTAGCATCCCTAAGTTCTCACGTGGAGTATAAGAGTAAGAAGTATGCAGTGTTCATTAGCAGATATGTATATATTGTCGGTCGTAAGGTATTGTACATCAAAGTATTAATATAGACACAAGAAAAGAGCAACACTGCCATGAACGTCCAGACTCCTGAAATATTTAAGAAACGAAAGTGCAGACCGCCTCAACAACACGACGGGATCAAACAGCTCCCAGCCCACTGAGGTCAATGTTATCCGACCCGGTCACCAGCAACACGAGATTCTTTCCGGGACCGAGTTGCCTCGCGAGATCGAGGGCCCTGTTCACCGCGTGACTCGAGTCTAGGCCAGACTGAAATCCCTCGTGGTGTTGAATAGTTTTAAATCCAGCCAGGGCATCCGCATCCGTGGCGGTTGAGATTTCAATCCGGCCGCAGTCCTTCCAATGCGCGAGCTCAGGCCCCACGCTGGAGAGGTTCAAGTCAGGTGAGATGGAATGTGAATCAATGATCTGGCCGTGGCTGTTCTGAAGCAAGTAAGTGCGCGAGCCCTGGAGGACGCCGACCTCGCCTTCTGTTAGGGCAGCTGCTTTAGCGGCTTCGACACCCACGAGGCGGATGGCAGAATTCCGAAGGAATGGTCTGAACAGTCCGATGGCGCCACTCCCGCCGCCCACGGCGGTGACGACAGCATCAGGTTGGCAACCAGCAGCGTCTTGCATCTGTGCTGCGACCTCCTCGCCTAAGAGCCCCTGAAACGTCCGCGCTAGGGTTGGAAGAGGAGCTGGACCCACGGGGCTACCCATTAGGTAGTATGCCGTTTTGTGGTTACAGACTGAATAGCGCAACGCTTCTGTGATAGCGGCGCGAAGCGTACCGAGACCCGAGGATGCACAGGCTGTTAGCACCTTAGCCCCTAGCAGCTTCATTTCGAGGACATCTTCCCGCTGGATGCGGCCATCGTCGGAGCCCATAATCACCACGCAGCGCAGACCGAGGCGCGCGCACATGGCCGCCGTGAACTTGCCGTGCTTGGCCGATGCACAGTCGGTGACGACCTCAGTGAAGCCCATGCGGCGTGCCAACAGGAGCTGACCGACAATGTTGCGCGTCTTGTGACTGCCATACTCGTTCTGGTCCTCGCGCTTCAGCCAGATAGTGGCACCCCCAGCCAGGTCGGTGAGCTTGCCCGCCACTTGCAGTGGGGTCGCCCGCGTTTGCTGAACACTAGCATACTCGACCCAGAATGACGGGTCCAGGATGCTCGCTTCGAAGAATGAGTTAAGCTCGTAGAGAAAGCTCATGATCGACTCAGGGGCGAAGCGGCCCCCAAACGAGCCATATCCACCGAATGACAGGTGTGGAGGCGCTTGGAGCGTACCATCCTCCTGCAGGATTGGGGTGTATATGCTAGTATCAAGGGATGGCCACGGAAACTTGGACAGCACCTCGGAGGACGAGGAAGGGCTTTCAGTGGCCGTTGAACATTCTGTGGGCTTGGTATCTGCAGATGAGCCTGCAGAAGTAGAGGCACCTGAGCTGATGGAACCGGTCGAGCTGTCCAAGGGTGATGCCGGAGGAGTCCTCACTAGAGCAGGCAGCTGAGAACGCGAGCTGGGGCGTGGAAGATAGGTTGTTTCAGTGGCATTGACGCTGTGTGTGGCTTCTGAGACCGGATCGTCGTTGGTGGAAGTATGAGGAGAGGAAAAGCAAAGCAGTCCGCGCAGAAATCGGAACATGATGAACCTCGTCTCCAGTAGATCTGGAGACCAGGACTCGAGGTACTTGAAGAGGAAGTCAAACGATATTCGAGCAGGTTGGCAAATTCAAGCTGGGTTTTCTGGTCCTTGGACTAGCTATACAGCGATATCCTCGGGCCTGTACTCCACGTGCATTGATAATGGAGCGATAAGCGTCCCTCTTATGGAAGAGGGGAGGATAAGGGTCTGTTAGGGTGAATCCTGGTTAAATAGGCCGTTCCTGTTGGATTTCTTGTCCCAAGTCGACGTTCAGGCCGCGTGCTGATGACTCTCGGGGAGGGGAGTTCATCTATTTCCATCCCGGCATACCCTGGAAAGGACCCATCCATCCAAGCGGCGAGTTCAGTCAACCAATAATGCCCAAAGAACGGTATGATTCGAAGAGAGTTTCGTATTTTTTTCTCTGGCATATCAGCCATGACCTCATCTCTTCACTCCAATTGCTTTTGGTCTGGACGAGTGACCCGCTGTTCGTACATACCTTTCCCACACAATAGCCAATTATAGAAGAATCTGGAGTTTGGTGGCAAAATAGAAGGTATATTTATTTCATGGCCACCTGCTGTACAGATAGCATGTAGCATGTCATAATATGCGGTGAGTATCGTATCATGCTGTGGCGTCAAACTACCGTCCACTTGTAGGTAGGTGAGATGGGTACCTGACATTGGCAGGCCGAGACTGCCATATGCTGTCATCTACGTTAGGTGCCTTGGATCGAGATTTAGATCTAGACTTGTAAGATTATGTTTTGTATACTTTTCTTATCATTATACGGCGACTGACGAACCACGCCGTTTCTTCAAGCCCCGAAGTGTTCCACCCCTTGTGTTATCCTACTTACTAGTATATTTATGAGATAGTCATAATAATTTGTGGAACAATCGAATTATTCTAGATTCTATGCCTTCGTCTTTACGGTTTCTAATCAAATCAAAAAGATGTTGAGCTCAATGCCTGGATAAGCCGCCATACATCTGCCCCATACCTATTCTCAAGCATGAAGCAAATGACACACCGCAGGAAAATTAGGACGAGTAGCATAAAACCACGTCATCGCTGCCACCGTCTGATGTTCAAAGCCGACCTAGGGCGAGATGGGTCATGTGACTACTAGACAAGGTTATCGATCGAACTTGACCGGAGACTAGCTCATTCAGGGTCTATCCATGGCCTGAAATATGGCAGATAGGAATCGTGGTCCGCAGCTTGGTAGGACTGACAGTGTTTGGATATATTGGTCCCTCCCGGCTTGTTCATATCTATGTCGCAACACTGACAACATGCAGATAGTTACCGCCGCCGTCGTTGGCGAATAGCATAGCGGAATCATATGTTTTATCTTTCCTGTTATCTTAGTACTTGAATGAGAAATAATGATGCTCAAAGTCTGTTTAGATAGGAGTGCAATTCCACAAAGAAAGGGTCGGTTGAACGCGCATCTACACTACACCTCTCATAGACCATAACCCCATGATCTGTTGCGGCATATGCATTATATCCCTAGCGATTCTAAACCACAAGTATATCAACGGCTTAGATGTTGTTAAATGAAAGTCACAATGATTTACTTACCTAGAGATCATCAATCAAAAGTACGCAAAGATTTTCCACGACTGGCATTTCATGTCTCTGAGATTATTGGCATGCTATTAAAATCCTTAATCTTAACCAAGGAGCGAGGCTTGAATGCAGCTGCCTGAAGCTATACCTGCAACAAGCGAGAATTCGTCGGTTTGGGAGTTTAGGGAGGCAAAGCCAAAGGCATTGATAAAAGCAACGGAAGCCGCCGAAGTTGTAGAGAAAATTCGCAGATCACCTCTTGACAAGGGATTAATTTTGAGTACAGCATACCTTGCAGCCCGATGGCATGAGCACCTGATCCCTATTTGCGAAGTTCGTTTAAGACTGAAGCACTCAGCTGTACATATCGATGGATCTGGCGTACATGTGCCAAGACCCACTTCTGCAGTATATAGCGCTTGTGCTTTTGTTCGTAACATAATGATTGCATTATAGTATACATTGTACCTTACACCAACTCATGCAGTCGGGGCGAAGAATCATGTGAATGGGAATTTGTCTCGGTGAAATAGAGATATTCAGGAGTTGCCGTTCCCAGCACATAGCTCGCTGCTGTCTGAGCATCTTGTTGTTGTAATGGAGACCACACTTCGCCCCGATTATTCTCATCGACAAAGTAAAGGAAGCCGGCCTTTGGAGAGTCGAGAACCCAGTTGAAATCGACATCAACTGGCTCAACAGCCTTAACATCTCCGTCAGACATGTCGTTATAGAAGAGCGCTATCTTGGCTGAATGGCAGATTGTAGAGATCTCATAGGCGTTGCCCTCATCTTTTGAATAGCCAAGTTAGTTAAGCTTACTGTGTTGGGCGGGTAGTTATAGTCTTACTCAATGGGACGCATGTGCCATCCTGATATTTCCCGATAGGAGTGTCGCTTATACCATTGCAACCCCACGCGAGGATGAGTTGAGCGAAGCAATAGTAGATATCATCACCATATGCGGCTTTAACAAGAGTTGCAGCGCCCTCGTTAGGCTCCTTGATGATGGTGGTTGAAGGATCTTGTGAATCAGAAAAGCGTGACCATGCAAGGGTCCCAGTGGCCGCCAGAAGCGTGGTAGCGGTAAAATAATTTAATAGCATTGTCGTAAGGAAATATTGGTAGTGATGGTGAAGTGATAAGGAGTGAGGTTGCGGTGGAATGTTATTAGGACATGAGAAAAACCGGCGGAGACTCTCTTATTATAGTTGCCGAGTACTCCGTTTTATTATCCTCTCCCTTGTTGTAAAGTGGACTATCGCAAGGTTCAAGAACAAAATGATTGGCAATTAAAGAAAGCCAGCGACGTGCTTTGGGGCCAAATTACGACATCAACACACATTGCAGGGGTCTTGGCACGCCAATTCCAACTGTTGGAAAGCGCCAGTTTCTGCAAAAGGGCCAAAGTTCAAAAATAACTTCTATTTGGAGCTGTCATGATAAATCCTAGGGGCCGGAGATAGATGTCTCAATGGGAGGGTCGATTTGAGGATCTTGTGGGATCAATAATTGTCACTGGCGGCATTATGCGTACTGCTTGCGACGATCCCTTGCAGGCCACTTTTTAGCCCAGGGCCCCACTTATCATCGGAAGAACTGAGGTAGGCAAGCGTGATGCGTTATTGATTCTTTGGATACTTAAACACCAGCCTTAGATGGCGAATTCATCCGCTTTCAGATAGTAGTCCGCTGTTGAAGGAACTTAGTGTTGGTCACGGTGCAATAGCCTCTGTTATTATCTTGAGTTTGCCTGCTCGGGGGCCATTCCTTGATGAGTGTAATTTTTTTTTCCAAGTCAGTCTTGTGTTGATGTGATGATGCATCCCTAGAAAGGCTGATGTCCCTTGCTATTATTATTCGGGGACCGTGTTTAAGACAGGTCAAATTTCAACTGAGATGTATCGCATAGACTAACTACAGCCCCAGCCGAACCGCTTTTAGCTCTTCTCTTGGCGATCCTCCTGTCTATGTACTATAAGCCAATAGATCACATTTCCTAGCCCATGGCAATGGAGAGAAGCGCGGGGTTGTTGCGTCAGTTGAGATCGACATCCGGAACTGTCAGCAGAAATGAACTCATTCCTGATGGCCATTCATAATAGCCAGCGCCAGTGAGGTAAGAGCTGTTCTATTGAGCTTTGCGTTGGTGATGGGATGCTTGAAAAGATTTCTTTTTTTGTGGCCGGTACCCGGGCTTGATGTTTGCGCCCATGTCGAGAGCTTCGCGCTCTGCTTGTTGGTGTCCATTCTCGGCAGCCCGGAGCAATGCGGTGTCTGCGGCATGGCACCAGACGCACGGGTTGAGAATAAGGTAAAGTTGATGACATGTTTGTGCTAAGCTATGTGAATAACGGGGAGGTCGCTTTATGAGAATGGTAAATAAGGAGAGGAACACTTCCAATCTTTGAGAAGAGTGGCTTCGGGGCTAAGGCTGTGTCTCAGTGAGGCCGGGGTCGCTTGGACATTGTTTTGTCATCATCGCGTCTGTGAGTGGCGAGACAATCTATACATGAAGCAATTTTCAGTGGCCTCACATAAGCATACTACTGCAGAAAGCATTAAGGGTCAACTTAGTATTCAGAAGATGCGGATAATAATCACAGTTTTCGCCTAGAGTGATTGACGAATGATCATTACCTCGTTCATCAACGCCCAGACTGACGTGCTTCTCTGTGGAGTCGGGATCCAGGGGAAAGGCTTGGCCTGCGGGGGTTATACATGTCTAGACTACTTTAATTCTACTCTGATCTGTGAGCTCTATATTGTACTTGCAACATCATTTTTATACAATCTATAATCTATGAAAAGATAGTTTGTATCGACGTGTCGCGGACTCGCGAGAGCCCAAAGGGCAAAGGCCCTGATTCGTGGGGCGAAAACCGGCAAACCAGAAATCTAAAACGGGTATAAACGCTCAAATGCAAATGCATGGCAGACGTGTTACCGCAAGGAAGGAAGATCAACTCCTCGTCCATGCAGACAGACTGCAAGGATTGTGTGCCAGCCGGACTTGGCCGACGGCGTGGGGTCGTCACTCGGTGTCCTGTCGAGAATTGGACGCCCGCATTGTCCCACCTGGGGGATCCACAGATAAATAAAGGAAACAGAGAAGGAATAGACGTCGAGTTGGTAAGATGACAAAAACTGATCGCCAGGATGTGATGGAAGAAGCGAAGGAGAGGGTTTACGCGCAGATCTGCACGGCGATCAAGGCGCGAGTCAGGTCCTCCGGCGCGAAGGGGAGCTGCTTCCCTCGCGGCGACAGGCAGGGCGAGATGATCCGGGGCGTCGGAGCGTACATGGCGGGCGAGGTGAAGCGGATGGACTCCTTAATCTGGGCAATAGGGTCGTCGGGGAGGTCGTAGAAAGACGCTTTCTCCGGGACGAGGGTCTTGACGGAGGCGCCCGCTGAAAAGCCATAGCTCTCCAGGTCGACGATGGTGGAGGACTGCGAGACCGCAAACGAGGGAAGAGCTAGGCGGAATGTGGTGTCAGGACGGAGCGCGTCGGAGAATCGGCGGTAGTCTGAGAGCAGAGATAACGCTGAACATACCTGAGTCTGCTATCTCGTCCAATGAGCACTCGGCCTCGTCGCTGTCGGCGCCAGCATAGCCATCATAGACATTATTGGTGGCGCAGGGTGAGAGGGCCAGGTCGTCGCAAGACCGTGACCGCTCGACACAGGCACCCTCGAAGGACCAGGCGGCCAAGCTTTTCTGGTGGCTCTTGTCAAAAGGGCCACGGAATTTAGATGGCGGGACCTCGTGGCGACGATAGTATTGGATCTTGGGCTTGTTCTCGGCACTGCTAGAGGAGGAAGGACGGTGGAAAACCCGCCTAACTCTTTCACGGAAAGGCATGGCGAAGGACAACGGAGAAGAGTAGTCCGGGGGGGAGGACGATCACAGATCAAATCAATTCCAGGTGGTGCGATGCAGACCACTCCCAGACGGGGAACAGCAACACGACGGACGGCGGGAATGAAGGGAACAGTATATAACCATTCTCTTCTGGACGGAAAATTTGAGTATACAGAGAAAGGGTCAGGTTGAAATCGGGGGGTGGGGGGGGCGACGGTTAATATGGACCAGGAGATAAGCCGACCCACGCCTCTCTCTCTCTAACTGGGGAAGACCGTCCGGGCCACATCCGGTGTGCAAGGACGGGGTGGTACTGTAGGAGAAAAACCCACCGAATGCAGGTTATTGGTGCAGGGCTACATTCGCCTCCGGCCAAAACTGAGTGATATCCCAGTCCCCCAGCGATCTGATCTCCGGCCCCGAGCCAGTTGAGTTAGGGCTTACATGGTACGGACTACTAAACGCCTCCCCCCAACCAGTCACAGAAACGATCCTCAATTGCAGGATTCAAAGCCGCCATCCTGCGGCGTGAGAGGCGTGCTGCAGCGAAGGGTTCCAGAAGTTCTCGGCAGTCCAGTCCGATCGACGCCACGGCGATACCAGACCAGAACAGTTACATCATGGTCCCTTGCCGAGTCTGCCTCGTGTCTCAGTGCTTGTGTGGTGACTGGACCCAGGGCCTGCCCACCCACGACGTCAGCTCGCATCCACGCATCACCGAGTGCCGGAAGGGGAGTGGAGGCGGACGAAACCGGGAAGTGCGTTGTGCCCGGTGCGCCCCATTCGCCCCCCAACAAAAGGCTTGCTCGGCACGCCATTTCCGGACATGATAGACATTGTGGACCATCAGACACAAATGAGAAACCAAGACATTCACCACGGCCGGCTGGCCCAATGGCAAGGCGCTTGACTACGAATCAAGAGATTGCAGGTTCGACCCCTGCGTCGGTCAATTTTTGTTTTTGCCTCCTACTCGAGGAGGGTATGATATGCTTTGTCTGTGCACTTATTTTTGGGATATAAGATAAATGCAAGAACACTAATACTTATGATCATAATATGCGGACAAGTACGAAACCGTGGCACGTCCGCCACCTGCAGGAATGTCGGATCTTCCCCAGATCGTCTGAGGCTGACAGGGGCACGAACCCTATTACCCGATTCGGCATTAGTGCAGCACACGACAGGGACCGATGCGGAAATCTGTTGTGGTCAGATCGTCCGTGGATTGAATGCAGTAACGATGTCGGGGTTTATTTTGACAGTCTTGATCGGGTTCCCAGTCGAGTATGCAGACCGAGATGGATGCGGGTGTAGACGTCATCTCAAACAAAAACAAAAATAGCCCACCAGCCGACTGAGAAAAGAATAATAATAGAAAGTCCCGACAGCAGATCCTAATACGGATTCATTCTCACCGTCGCTGCCTTCGACATCTAGAACCCACAGAACCACGGGTCCTGGGCAGCATACCGGATCGCCATCCCTTACTTGGCCCACCCATTCGGTCTTGCCAACTGCCACCTACCTAATTACCCTTTTCTCTTCTCTACACCTCACTCCCTCCCCATTCTCCCATCCCCTACAACCGTACGTGCCATCTTCCATCCATTGAAGCTCTCTGCGCCGTCGCGCGCATTCTGTCGTCATCTCGACGTGGACCTGACTAGACCAGACCTGACCTTCCCACGCAGAACTCCTTCGCACACGACCACAGCACCATGCCCAAGAAAGGTGGCAAGAAGAAGAACAAGGGCGGCAAGGGCCCCGCGGCCGCCGCTGCAGACAAGGTCGCCGACACCGCAAAGACCGTCGTGTAAGAACTTCCTCGCAAAAGAAAATCTTTGTGTGTGCATGCCCTCCTAACTTCTCTGCAGCCAGCCCGGTCATGAGGTCGAGGACAAAGTCATGTACGGTGAAGGCAAGGGCGATAGCGTCCCCGAGACTCCCGCTGCCGCGACGCAGGCTCCCGAAGGCGCTGCTCCCGAGCTCAGCACCAAGACGCCCGAAACGGCTGTCCCTGCTGTGACCGAGACCAAGCAGGCCGAACAGGAGGCTGCTGAGGCCACCCCCAAGGAAAAGGACACCCTGCAAGAAGCCGTGGATAAAGCTCAGGCCTCCAAGGCCGGTCAGATCGGCAAGGTGGACGGAGGTGAAGGCGAGGGATCTGGTATGTCATTCTCCCCCCAACAAACCAAAACCGACGCACTGCTAGTCAATTGATGCTGATTGACCATGATTTAGCTGTTCTCCCCGAGACCACCTCCAAGGAACCCTCCGTCCCCGCCGCGACCTACCCTTCCACCTCCGAGACTGCCGCCGAGGAGTCCGCCACATCGACAGCGCCCACGACTGGAGCTGTCGCGGGCACATCTACCTTGAAGCCCTCGGAGCCGACGGCGGCTGCCGAGACCCCGGTTGATGTGGATGCGCACGCGAAGCGTCCGTACGAGAAACCCATCTTCTCATCTGACGAGACCAAGCCGCCCAAGATGGCCAAGCACGAGGAGGAACAGGCTCGCGCCAGCGCCGCTCTAGACAAGAAGACCCTGGCTGGTGCGGGGCCTGCTTCGACAGCCGCCTACACAACCCCGGAGCCGGTTCCCGTTAAGAAGCCTGAGGAGAAGAAGGTCGAGGAGAAGAAGGTCGGGGAGAAGAAGGTCGAGGAGAAGAAGGCCGAGGAGAAGAAGGACGGCAAGACCAAGGCCGATGGCAAGGCTTCGCCGCAAGCCGTCGCTGCTGCTGCTGCGGCTGTCTCTTCCTCCAAAGGGCCGGAGAAGACCGGTGCTGCTGCTCCCGAAGCTGAGCTGAAGCAGCCTGAGCCGGCGCTGAAGAAGGGTGAAGAACCCAAGGCCCAGGCGCCCACGACGGAGGCCGTCAAGGAAGAGTCCGCCAAGGCGAAGGAGGCGGATGCAAAGGAGGAGCCCAAGAAGACCGAGGCGGCCGCCGCTGCTGAAGCTGCCGAGAAGAAGAAGGGCGGATTCTTTGCCCGCCTGAAGCGGATGTTCAAATAGACGATTGTTGTGACATGCTTGATGTACGATACGCCTAGGCGAGCGAGGTGTGATAGGATCCGGGGCTGTTTTTTGTTTTTGAGTGTGGGTTTTTGTTAAAGATACACCTGTTGAAATTATATATCAATGCTTAAATCACGTCTCCTTTTTGGGTCCTTTTTTCACCGCTATTTAAGCATTTCAGGGGTGTGCTTCATGGGTGGGACGGATAGCTTACCGCTAGGGCACGCTTTGCCTATGTGAGGATGGAGGGACCAATGGTGCATTATTATTGTCTTGTTCAGAGCTATATACAGTTGACTGGGCTCGGTCCAATTCAGAATAAATCCTGCGTCTCCTCCACCAGCGCCAAAAGCGTCGAAGCCAGACTCTGCGCAATCTTCCAATGACTGATACGATTCAACAGATCAATAATGCGAAACAACGACCCTGTAGCCAGACGCCTGGGCGACAATCCACGCGTCTGATCAGCAAAGAAGCCCATCCCATCAACACCAGGAAGCAGCAACTCCGCGAAATGTAACGTATCCGCCGCTTCAACGGTGACAGGATTCCCGCCGGCCTCAGCGTCGCCCGCAAAGCACATAAAACACGACCAGACAATGCCGCAGTAGTACAAACACATGGGGACATGGATCGACGACTCCGCGCCAGCGGGCAGAGACTCAAAGTTCTTCTGGATCAGCAGCGCGTGCAAGAGACAGCGCTTCGCATCTGCCGACCGCAACCAGGAAAGTGCGTAAGCACGGCGCCGCTGGGCTGCGTCGGCGCCGTCACGGCCACAGGCACATTCTAGTGCGTCAATGTCGGCGTGGAGGAGGATGAAGACCGAGTGCCATAGCATCATGAGGCAGAGCCAGGATGGCTTGCCTTGTTGGCTGCGGTGGAACTGAGTGTACCATGTCGTGAGCAGGTCGTGGCAGTTGGTCGTGCTGGTGGGTGAGGATGGCCAGGCGGTGTTGGCCTCGCGGTGTTCGCAGGCTAGAGCGCTGATTGATTCGAGCATCCCGGAGAGAGCGAAGTCGCCTGGTATGGCGGTGTTATCGAGTGTCCTTTGTGTTTCTAGTACGAGTGTTTTCCAGTGGAGTGAATTGGGTGCAGTGAAGAGTTCGTTCGAAGAGATTTGGGGAAGTCGATTGAGTGAGTGCCGGAGGAAGGGTTCATGGTGATAGAGTCTTGCGAATTCGGCGTCATGGATGTGTAGCCCAACGACGATACTATAGGAATTAGCTTGTGGAAGACATTGAAAGGGTAAGAAGATATATAATTACCGCTTCTTCACTTCTGTCTGGATCCAGTCCATCCAGGCGTTCTCTAGTGCCTCGCCAGATAAGTCGAGGATATTGCATTCCGAGGGTTCGGGGTGGAAGAGCTTTGCTTTGCGCGCCCACTAAGTTTCGTCAGTAGTGATTCATAAAGATGATAGAGGTGACCTCACAGAGACAATACTTCCGTGCCACATTTCAATCCCAGCTAGGTCTTTGGGTCTCTGGGGTATGTTAGATCGAGGCCTGCAGAGGATATAGTTACAACAAGAGCCAACTTACACCGAGCAGCAGACCAAAGGTCTGCGCTATAAGAACAGCCTGGAGAGATATAAGAGATGATGACCCCGGCTTTGAAACGTAGGTATCCCACTGTTCAAATTAGCAAGCTGTGGTGAGGCGTTTGAGATAGATGTAAAATACCGAGGCTAGAATAGCTTTGTTAAGCCTTTCGAACATGCTAATGCCATGCGTGATCGCTCGTGTCGAGCCAACAAATAGGCTACCTGCTGAGCAGATGGAGAGTAGAAGCACTGAGTTCTGAGTACCGGGCCGGAAGGTAGGCATGTGCACCACAGGGAACAGAGGGTGAAATTTGGAAAAGTAGGCTTGGATACAAAGGTCCTGTATTGAAGGTTAGAATCCCTCGAGGAAAAAAACGACGAGCATACCAGAAACGGAGTCGAAGGAAGAATCCCATGCTGGACACGGGGTTGAAGGCGCTCGACTAGTCGTTTGCGATAGGACTCGTCAATGAAACTGCCCTCTTGGGACACATCAGGGGTCATCTGGCCCGAGGAAAAAGGCTCGGAGAAAGTATGCCATTTTCTTTGAATCGCATTCGCCCGCCCTTTGACGAGGTCGTTGCCGGTATCCGGTACGGACTGTTCGCGGGGTGGGAGGAGACTCGGTTCAGGTATTGACTCGATCGCGGGCACAAAGTCAGACGTCGCATGAAGCAGAGACAAGTTCACAGCATCCAAGTCAAAGTCATCTCCGGTGAGCAGAGTCTCCCATTCTTGGTCGAGCCGATAGTCCCAGAGAGCGGGTTGTGGACTACCTTGATTCCTCCAGGTATCTCCTGCTTCTAGGGGAAATAACGAGGGCAGCGGAGTGATTTGGGTATCGCAAGTGCTGCTTTCCTCATGGCCGGAGATTTTTGGGGTCTGTCTGTCGAGGGAGGTGCTGTTTGGAGGGGAAACCGGAACGGCCATATTGTTCATCGACCCAGACTGGAACTGGAGAGGCATAGGTAGAATGGATTCGTTGATTGGGACTTGTGGCATCAATTGCTCTGGGTCCAGCTGTCTCCCACGATCTAGAGTGGCAGATACATAATGTAATTCCGGCTCTCCGCGGATCTCATTGCTTGCCGAATGAGACCGGGAGTGTCTCAGGAGACTGTCCCTGAAGATCAATTATCAGCATGACAACAATGACCAATGCCATGGACACTTACTGTCGAGCAAAAGCCTTGTTACAGACCGGACAATTAAACGGCTTCTCCTTGGTATGCGACCTGAGATGTCTTGCCAGATGCTCGGCCTTATTGAATCCCTGTGTACACACAGGACACACACGTTCTTCCTTTGAGGTCTTACGCCGCCGCCGGGCTTTCGTCCCCACGAACGGCGATCGTGACCTGGCTCTGGTGTTATGGAACATGGCAGCGCACAGCAGTTAGGTAGTGTCGAAGGACATGCCCGGGGAAAGTGGCTTGGGCGTCATCATCTCTTCCCCCGCAGTCGCGGTGGCGATCGACTGGGGCGAGAACCAGCGATCTGACAAGAAAGCAATGTCCGACGCATCCCCGGTACGCTCTGAGGCGTAAACCCGTCATCCGAGGCGAAATGTGGGGCCTATTTTGCGGGACCTTCGGAGGTTACTGAACTATTCAACTCCGTCTGAATTCTTTTTGGCTCTAACTAATAATGGCGGATTCGGTTCTCGGTCGCTCCGACGCCCTCGACCTCCACTTCGACAATGTCGCCATCTTTCAAAAATTCTTTCCGGAAATATCCCACGCCAGACGGAGTCCCCGTCATGATCAAAGTGCCTCGCCGGAGGGTAGTCCCGCGGGAGAGATGACTGATGATCTGTCGGACATTCCAGATCATGTCGCCAGTGCTGGTCTCCTGCTTGACAACCCCGTTGACCTTGGTGGTCAATTGCAATTTCTGCGGGTCGGGGATATCCCGAGCAGCAACGATGGCATGGCCAATGGGGGCGAAACCGTCGAATGATTTTGCGTAGCAGAATTGACCTCCCGAGGCCTCTGGGACCTGAAAATTACGAGCAGACACGTCGTTTCCGGCCGTGTAACCAAGAACATAATCCAATGCGTCTTCCTCCGATACGTTCTTGGCGTCTCGACCGATCACGACTGTGAGCTCGCCCTCGTAATCGAGGAGCTCACGTGCATCAGGGTGGATGTCGATCGCATCAAAAGGGCCGGCAAGAGCATCAGCAGGCTTGGTGAATACTGTAGGATACTTGGGAACCGGCAGCTGTGAAAACACCGAGAATATTAGTGCGAGAAAATGTGTGGAGAGTGAAGCCACTAACATTTGCTTCCTGGGCATGCTGCTTATAGTTCAGTCCGATGCACAGTACAATCGGTGTATCTTCAATCGGCGTCTCTAGCTGTACTTAAATCAGTACAAGTAAAGTCAAACGTATCTAATGAGCCTTACTCTATCGACTTGGATAATCTCTTCTGTTTGCTCCAAAGCCGTGAACGGTGTTCCCTTCAGTTTTCGGACAGTGTACTTGTTGTCAGCCACTGCAACCAAGTCGCCATAATGGGCTTGCGAGCCAGTGGAGAACCGCACGAGGTTTTTGAAAGTAGCCATAGCTAGAATGTATGAGAAAATTGGAACCAAGTAGATTCGGACATTATATATGCCGCACGTGTGGGGAACATTGCGCGTTTATCAGACGGTGCTGGATGTGGGATCAATGTGACTCTCCACGCTAGCATGACATAAAAGATGATAGATCCTGAGGAATAGTGGGTTCATACCCCGAAGCCCAAGTTTCCGAAAGAATACTATCTCAGTTTTTCAACATGGCCGCACCTGCAGTCAAACCCAACCGCGGGGCTACTGTGCCAGATGTGGTCGCAGTGGGCGATGATCAAGAGTCACAGTCGAGCTGGCTGAACAAACAAAATGTCAATCCAAAAGCCCGTATTAATCTGGCGAAACTGTCTCACATGCGCTATCAGCATCCCGATCTCGACGAGATTAGCCGTTTCATGCTTGGTATTTCACTTGCCACTCCTACCAAGTCTACACATTAATCTGACCGCCCTAGATTTTGGAATGAAAGTTGTAAAACAGACAGATAACGAAGTCTGGTATCGAGGATATGGCCCAGACCACTATGTCTACTATGCTCGCAAAGGGCCCAAGCAGTTTCTGGGTGGTGTTTTCGAGGCACAGACTCAGGAAGATTTCGATAAGTGAGCATCATATGCTTCTTTATCCATTAAATATCCAGCTAATAGGGTATCTAAAGAGCAACAGGCTTGCCGACTGCGGGCTTAGTTCAGGATTTGAGTGATGCTCCTGGTGGAGGATCCTTGGTCACGATCACTGACCCGGAAGGATTCCCATGCAATATCATATTTGGACAGAAGCCAACGGACGTGCAAGTGTCCCACCAGGAGAAGATTGTGTTAAATTACGCCGGTGAAAAATTTCGCCGACGCGAGTTTAATCGATTCGAGCATGGCCCTGCTGCTGTGCACAAGGTATGAGAACCTTCGCTGTTGACTGTCCAGATTCTTATTGACTCATTTATTAGCTTGGACATTTCGGACTCTGTACACAGAAATTTGATGCCCAGCTTGGATTCTATACAGCCACATTCAACATCGTCCCAACCGACCTTTTATACATCGAGAAAGACGGCGAGAAAATGATCGTGACCATGTTCGCCCACTTGGATCTCGGCGAAACCCACACGGACCACCACTCATTCTTCCTAAGTGCCAATCCTGGGTCTGCCCATGTGCACCACTGCTCGTTCGAGGTGCATGACTTCGATACCCAACAGCTCGGCCACCAGTGGCTGGCCAAAAAGGGGTACAAATCTGTCTGGGGTGTCGGGCGTCATGTTCTGGGTTCACAGATCTTCGACTACTGGTGGGACACCACCGGCAATATTATAGAGCACTATACAGACGGCGACCTTGTCAACAAAGAAACGCCTATTGGGTATGTGCAGGCGGGGAGCGAGTCCTTGGCTGTGTGGGGACCCGAAGTCCCCGCTCCCTTCTTGGAATAGGAGTGTCGGAAGGGATTATTGTGGGAGAATGTTATGACACATTCATTTTTGTGAACATTCTTCTGGTTCTAAACGCAGGAGAGAGAGAGAGAGTGTGTGTGTGTGTGTGAGTTGGGTACAATGGCTCTCGGCTGAGAGGTCCCGTTCCGCTGTCGGAGCAACAGCCGATTACTCTCTCACCTCCTCTCTTCTTTCTCTTCACACAGTTGTTTGTTTCTAAGTCGATTACCACACCAAATACTTAAAATAAAATCCGCCCAGAGAACAGAAAGTGCAGAACCACTTGCATTCTGCTGAATTCTCTTTGATCACACCCCGCTCGCTGCGTCATCATGACCATGTCCCAAGCGAATCCCGATAATGATGATGATGATAATGATTGCAATGTAAATTTACCGAGAATGCGATCTATGTAGCTATTCTGATACAATTTACAGAGTGTGATTTATGGACGAGAAATCATCCCTGGGTTTGCTGAAGGAGAATTGATTGCAAGCAAGACTGCCCTGAGTTTTTGGGGTGGCGTGAATGCAGAGAACGGCATTGTTATTGACCAGCATCATCCACTAGCGGGGCAGTCAATATCTGGCAAAATTCTTGCAATCCCCAGCGGCCGTGGCTCATGTACTGGCAGCGGTGTGATTCTTGAGCTGCTGCTGAACGGTTGCCAACCCAGTGCCCTTATATTTGGGCGAGATGAGCTGATTCTGAGTATGGGCGTGATTGTCGCTGAAGAAATGTTTCAAAAGAGCATTCCTATTTTGCAAATATCGGAATCACAGTTTGAGACTGTCTTACAAATGCAACGAGTGCGTATTGACGGACGTCAAATTCAGTCTATCCCAGCTCATACTACCTTGGCGAGCTCGCCAACTCTCCTTGGGCCTAACAGACAGCTTTCAGTCCCATCAGTTCAATTAACGCTACTTGACCAAGAGATGATGGATGGAATTTATGGAAAAGCTGCCCAGATCGCAATGCGTGTGATCCTCCGAACAGCACAGATTGAAGGCGTCACCGAGCTGATTGACATCAAGCAAGCTCACATCGACTGTTGCATCTACACTGGTCCAGGCACCTTGAAATTTGCCGAGACATTATCTGAATGGGGCGCGCGAGTCCGAATCCCCACCTCTATGAATTCAATATCCATCGATCGACGACTTTGGCGTTCCCTAGGTGTTGACCCAGAGGTTGGAGAACCCTCTGAACAGCTTGCTCAGGCATATGTGAGAATGGGAGCGCGTCCAACCTTCACATGTGCACCTTATCTGCTTGATACTGCTCCGAAGGCAGGGGATAATATTATGTGGGCTGAGTCAAATGCTGTGGTGTTTGCAAACAGTGTGCTAGGAGCTAGAACCATCAAGTGTCCGGACCTTCTGGACGTCTGTATTTCACTGACTGGACGGTCTTTGAATACTGGATGTCATATCACTTCAAATCGGAAAGCTCAAATCCATATTCACTTGGAGTCTGTTCACTGCGCAGATGATACCCTGTTCCCGCTACTTGGATACCTTACAGGGGATACTGCTGCAAATAGAATCCCAATTGTGACAGGATTGGAAAATTCACAAGCCACTATTGAAGATCTGAAGGCATTCGGTGCGGCGTTTGCCACAACATCCAGTGCTCCAATGTTTCATATTGCAGGCATTACTTTCGAGGCGCGCAGTCCAGCCGACATAGATACACACTTAGAGGGAACTCCCAAGGTCACACTGGCACACAATGACCTTATGAGGCAGTGGTACAATTTCAATGGTATCCCATTGAGCAGCGAGACTAGCAACAGATACTCCCAAGTGGACCTCATATCCCTTGGGAATCCACATTTCTCCTACAACGAAATTGTGAAGCTTGTCCACCTCTGCGCGAATAGTCGGAAAAGCACAGGGACTGCACTGGTTGTGACATGTAATCGAGACACATATGCTCGAGCGGCCCGAGCTGGGTATATATCTCCTCTGGAGGAATTTGGCGCTCAGATTCTGACAGACACGTGTTGGTGCATGATCCAGGAACCAATAATTCCTCCCAATTCTCGCATAATAATGACAAACTCCGCCAAGTATGCGCACTACTGCAAGGGAATGACGGGTCGCGATATTCGATTTGGAGGTCTGGCACAGTGCGTGGATGCTGCTATATCTGGGCAAATGGTGATGCGCCCACCTCCCTGGCTTCAACCCACACACAGATAGTCTCGAAAAAAATAGATTTGAGAGTGAATCTCATTGCATCATTTTCATTTTCATTTTCATTTTCATTTTTTTTTTTTTTAAAAAAAAAATTTAAAAAAAAATTTGTTTCATGCCTATCATCATTAAAGAGGGGCCTATCCCGGAGAGGACTATGTGGCGGACACATTGTCCCCACATCTTGGCTACCACGAGGTAAGGACCTACCTAAAGGACTGAACCTTTTGTTGATCAATAGATTTAACCTGAAAGGACTCCATAACTCAGAATTACACATTATCAACAACGCCGGTGCCAACCCGATCGCACCAGCACCATGGAGTCACAAGAGGAATGGGAGACCACCGATGTGTTGATCTGCGGGTGCGGCCCTACTGGGGCTATGCTATCGGCTTACCTCGGCAGACTGGGAGTTCAGAACATCATTTTAGAGAAAGAAGCAGATATCACCACTGATCCACGCGGGATTGCTCTCGACGATGATGGAATCCGACTTATGCAGGGGCTGGGGCTATACAACCACATTTACACTGAGATCGGCGCTTGTGAGCAGCATCTTCCTACACTTTTCGATTTGATTTACTGATATAGTTTCTAAGATATGTCCAAAGTTCACTTTGTGGGTGGAATCCACCGCGACCTGCAGGCGAAGCCTTTCCTAAGCTTCGACACAGCTTCCGTTTGTGAAACTATCTGTCGAAGTGCTTTCAAACACTAAAACATATATAGACCGAAGGGAATACCGGGCATGTCGGCTTCGTTGCCCATAAACAGCCAGTCCTCGAAAAGTATCTCCGCCTTGCTGTCAATCGATCTGGGTTTTCCGAACTAAGAAGCCGCTGCACCCTGACTTCTATATCTGAAGACAACGATTGGGTAATTGCAATATACAATGATGCGTCTGGCACAGAGCATAGAATAAAAGCCAGGTTTCTTGCCGCTGCAGATGGCAAGACGGGGTTTACACGAAAGATGTACCTGGAGCCTAGAGGGATCCGTTTAGAAACGGCCGAACAGTAAGAATGGCTCCTTTCTATGGAAAATTCCGAGCTGACTAGTGATCACCAGGACAAAATATGAACAGACATGGGTAGCCCTCAACTGGAAGATGCATCTTCCAACAAGAGAGACGCATCCCGAATTCCCGTTGTGGGAGCTTGGCTACACACCGGAGGAAGTTTACGACCTTTTTTTCCCGGCCGATTTCCGCTTTCTGTGTAATCCCCGCAGACCAGCTGTATGTGGCCGATTCGGTCCTCCTGAAGACAAATTGTGGCGGTTTGAGTTTGTTGTAGCCTCCGATGAGGATGGAATGGAGATGGCGCAGCGACACAAAGTTCGAGAAATTGTGTCTCCTTATTTGACACATCCAGGGAGTCGCTATGGGTAAGCCTCCCGCACATGTACAGTAGAGTGTGGTGATTTCTGACAGTCATGAGCATAGCATTTCAAAAGATGTCGAGTATCCAGAAGATTGCATTGAAGTGCTTCGGTCAAGACCGTTTCGATTCTCAGCACGAAGTTGCAATAAATGGGCACTTGGACGAGTGATTCTCTGCGGTGATGCAGCCCATGTCTTCCCGCCATGTGAGACCTTCCAACATCCAACAATAACAAAGAGCTAACAATTGTTGCAGTTGGTGGGCAAGGAATCGCATCCGGCTTTCGAGATGCGGTGGCACTCGCCTGGAGACTCGCCATCGCCTGTTCATCAAGCCAAAAGTTGGATCACGAACGCCTGTTGGCTGGATGGTACCTGGAGCGCAAGCAACAACTGGACAAATCTCTCGCCTCGACAGTCCGCAATGGCGACATGGTCACTGGGGAAGGTCTCCTGCATATTCTGACCCGCGATTGGGGCTTGTGGCTGCTCCAAATGGTTCCAAGCTTGAAGCACTGGCTCGAGCGAGGACCCCGAGGCGAAGGCCCGACACGGTATACCCACTCGCCAGATATGCCGTTCATGTCTGAACTGAACGGCGGACTCTGCTTTCCACAGACATATTGCGTCTCACTACAGCCGCATGCCGAGGTGCAGTTTACCGATGACGTGATTTTTGAAGATGGTAAACAGATGTTCCAGCTCATCATCTTACTCGACGATATTGGAGAGGCAGAATCTGCTCTTGATGACCTGAGGAAAACCAGGAATGCTAGTGAGCGGCTGTTGCTGGATGAGGCCACATTTTTCGTGCCGCGAACTGCATGTTCCACATCAACTTTGCCAGATGCACTTGAACATCGGGTATTCCGAAGTGCCACTGGAGAAGAATTCGCTCAATCACCTTTGTGCATATCTCGACCATTGCCCCGCGGGTACGACGAGAGACTGATGTGGCGGAGTGTGAGTGGGAACCGATATGTCCTGTTGAGATTCGACCGGTTTGTCTTTGCAGCGTGCAAGACGAGGGTTGAATTGCAGAGAGCCACTGAAAGGCTTGCCGATGCTTTTAGAGCGTAATCATTAACCATTGCCAATTTTCCTACAAAATTTCATCTCGAGCAGAAAGCAATAGTGCCAGTTAGTGGTACCCCCGAAATGTAGGAGCAATGATCTGCAGGTGATGTCCGCCCTAACTTAGTTTCTTGGCTGCCCTAGACCTCGTTTCCAGCTTCCTATCTGGAGCTCTGATGACGTTTTTTGCAAGCTACAGCACCTCATCGATATAACCCCTCTCTTTTTGGTTGTTGAATATATACCCGGTGAAAGCCATTTCGGATGGGGCTGCCCAACATAGGTGCAGATCTTTTTTTCTAGCGGCCTTTCTCCTGCAGTTCCCACATTCAGCTCGGAACTCGCCGGTTTTACAGTCAACAATAATGGAGCAAAGAATTCAAAGCTGTCTTAAAACCAGCGAAATTTCCAGAAAATGCTCATTCATGATTACCACTCTTGACAATTTGCAATGGCACGTTTTCTAGCGACGTTCTTTTTCACGAGCTTTGTCGGCGCAAATTTGGCTTACAAGTCAAGGCCAGACCTCGCGGTTCCAATCCTGAATATTACAATCCCTGCGACAAACGAAGCCTGGGACGGCCTCATCTTCTATACGCCAGAGAGTATCTACCCTGATGATACCAACCATGGCCCAGCTCAGAGTGGCCCCTATATTTACACTGATAAGGGTGAATTGGTGTGGACGGGATTTGGATTCGTTGGCCCAAGAAGCGAAAACTTTCAGGTCCATACCTACCGAGGGCAGCAAGTGCTGAGTATCTTCGAGGGTTCTCACAATTCGCCAATGGGCCACGGGCACGGTCATACCGCCATCTTTGACAACAGATACCGACTGCTGAAGGAAATTAAGGGAGGAGGGCACAAATTGGCCGATCAGCATGAATTCCTATTTTTCGATGATAACTCCGCCATTTTCACCGTATTCGACCCCGAAATTCGCGACCTAACTCCATACGGTGCTACCGAGAATCAGTCATGGATCCTTGACAATAAGATACAGAAAGTGGACACTGATACCAACCAGCTCTTATGGGAGTGGAGCTCTCTTGACCACATTGATCCAGCTGGAACCAATCTGACTTTGCAAAGCGGAAACGCTGGGCTAGGCGTGAACTCGAGTCAGGTTTGGCATTATTTCTACATGAATGCCTTCGATGTCGACCCGAAGACGAATACCTACCTACTGTCTGCTCGAAGCATGTGTACGATCTTCAAGATGGATGGGAACACCGGCGATATAATCTGGCAGCTTGGAGGAAAACATTCTGATTTTTCCGAAGACTTCGATTTCTGTTGGCAGCATGACACTAGGATGCATCAGAAATACCTCCACTACGAAACCAAAGGATCTAAAGAAATCATATCGTTCTTCGACAACTCCGCTCACGAGAATCTCGCGGAAAGCGGAGGCCCTATTCTCCAAACTCGTCCTTATAGCGAAGGGAAGGTTGTTGAGCTAGATACTGCAAAGCGTACCGCTAGACTTATTGCTAGCTTCCGGGCGCCGGGCGATCTTTCGGTTAAGTCCCAAGGCAATCTCCAACTGCTGCCAAATGGGAATGCATTTATCAACTGGGGCTACGATGGTGCCATGTCTGAGCATAAGCCCGACGGGACGACGATATTCTTCACGGAATTGGATTCTGGAAAATTTGGCCCTGGATCGGAGAACTATCGCGCATTCAAATTCGACTGGCATGCACTTCCCTTCGAAGAGCCGGCTTTGGTTGGCTTCGTAGACGAAAAGCCAGCCGGAACTTCTCTCTATGTTAGTTGGAACGGAGACACAGAGACCAAAATTTGGAGATTTTACGAGAAAGCTGCCGATGGCCGGAAAACGCTTTTGGGCCAGGCCAAGAGAACCGGATTCGAAACCACTTTCCAGACTAATAAACGGCCTAGTCAGGTGGTGGCTGAAGCATATGATGCTCACGGCAAAAAGCTCGTATCCTCGCCCGTTGTAAAGACCCGAGAATACAGAGCGCGCCTCCATTACCAGAATTAAGAGCTTTACTCTGTTGTCCGATGTGTGGGTATCTGAAAGCATTGCTTTGATAGAGTATAATAATAAAGCGATTAGGGATAGGTTGAACAGGATGAAGCATGTAAGCATGGGGTAATAATACGCTCGCTCGCTCAAGAACCTTTCTGCAATCTCTCAAGCTCAAGCTTATTCATCTCCTCTTGCTTTTTCACCCTCTCGGGCACAACAAACTCCCTTTTACCTTTGATTTTCCAGCCAGACAGTCGGTCTTTTCCAAGATCTCGGAGTGTCTTTCGCTCCACGATACTGTAATTATTTGGGTTTCTGCGGTCGAAATCGAAAGGCTTCTTCAACGACACCGGTGGGTTGGTGATCATCCGGGGAACCCTCAGGCTGTTTATCGAAGCTGAATGAACCATCAGCGGATGTAGAAGAATTACATCGCCGGTTCTGCCGGTCATCTCGTGAAACTCATGACACTCGTGGACAATGTCAGAGTAGAACCCTCGCTTTGTGGGCGGGGGCTTTCCGCCACGAGGAACCATGTATGGTGATACTCCCTCGGGGTGCTCGTACTGGCAGCAAACGGTAAGAAATGGACCTGGTGAACAGGGGTGATAGTATACTTACTAGGTATTGTGCCATCCTTTTGATCGCGTCGGGGCAGACCATAGTACCGCCCGCATGATCCTGGATATCGTTGAAGATGGGAATGACCAACAACGCTTGCTCGGGCGAGTCCAGGAAGTGAATGAAGAAATCCCCATCAACATGCCATCCCGGCAGATCAGCAGGCTCGGGCCAACGGCCTTCCCACTCGTCTGTCCCCAGATTGACGATCAGTGCATCATTCCAGGTGGCCGAGTCTTTTGCCACGCTGTCTTCGCCGCCGAGGAGCTCGCAGATGGCCGCCCAAGCCTTTGGAGCGAACGTCTTCACCGGCTCTTCTTTGTGTTGAGGCATGTTGATGCGTTCGCACGCCCACGTTGACTTGTCTGTGGGCGAGTAGCCGAGTCTGGTCCACACATCTCCCGTCCATTGTGCAGCTTTTTCCCGGGAGAAGCAGTCGGTCAGGCGCAGATATCCAAACCGCATGAAATGATCGACTTGCTCTGTCGAGAGCTTATACCCCGCCTTGTGTGCCATTGCTGCTCCCGAGTGGATAGATGATACAGAGTCGGGCGCGGCTGCCGAAGTTTGTTTATACAGTTCAACTGCCTTTAATCAGACGGGTCACGTGTCAGTGTTGACAGTATGGGTCAGCAAATGTATTGTCCTGGCTAAATTGGGGTTTTTAACAGGTTGGTTGGAATTGTTTAAAGGGGGAACTCGCTCGTGCTTGGGCTCTGCGTAGGATCTTCGGCTAATCGATCGAGCTGCTGACTTCGGCCTGGAACGGAGCGTAACCTTAAAGAACGCTTAAAAGCGTTGACCTCCAACATATTGGAATTGAGGGAAATGATCCTACAATCTTATAAATATTGAAAATTATAGTTGATAGAGTCCATGGATGGCTTGAGCCAGTATAGTAACGTAAAAGAACTAGCATTTTTAAGTCCATATTTCGAACGCGAAAAAGCTTCGCCACCCTCAACAAATATTGCCAAGTTCTGTTTTCAGATATGTAGTAGTGATCGGATGCTCTCTCTTTCTGCCTATCTGAACAACAGAATTCATGATCAAGCGATGACCAAGGTTGGTCTATAGGGCTAATCCGTCTCCTTGCCTTCTCGATAGATCCCGCGCGGGGCTTATTCCCCACAGCGCCAAGCGGATGGAGATCGGGCCGCCGTAGGCCTCGGCTGTGAGGATAAATACTACTAATAAGAACAGCTTCAGCTTTTAGAGTAGCTAGAGCTCCTGCAATTGTCTGAACATCCCTCTATCTCTTATTCCAACAATTATGGCGTCCCTCACCCCCCGGAAACTATGGCAACACCCCTCCCCCGAGTCGACGCGAATGGCCCATTTCCAGCGCGAGCTGGCCAAGACCGCTGGGCAGAGACTGGACTCATTTCAGGAGATGTATCTCTACTCCATCCAGAACCGGACTGCATTCTGGGACTTTTGTTTCAATTACTTCCAACTCATCCATGAGGGATCTTACAGCCAGGTTGTGGACGAGTCCGCACGCATGGATAGCGTGCCTGAATGGTTCGCTGGGATTCGGCTGAACTTCGCGGAGAACCTGCTGTTTTCGCACTATGCTGGCGATAAGACTGGGAAAGAAGACGAGAAGATTGCGGTCACGGAAGTTCGTGAGGGCGCGGCGAAGGACGCGGTGCATCTTTCGTGGGCAGAGTTGAGGAGGAAGACGGGCGTATTGATGCAGGCTATGAAGGCGAATGGGGTGAAGAAGGGTGATCGCATTGCGTTGTGTGCAGCGAACAGTATTGATACCCTGCTGGTCTTCCTGGCGTCGACTGCCCTGGGTGCCATCTTCTCATCCAGTTCTACCGACATGGGGGTCAAGGGCATATTGGATCGGCTGCTGCAAATTCGGCCGCGGTGGCTGTTCATGGATGACCAGGCTGTCTATAACGGGAAGAAAATTGACTTACGAGACAAGATGAGAGATATCGTGGGCGGCATGGAGTCGGTCGCCGAGTTTGAGGGCATTGTCTCGCAGCCACGATTTTCTTCCAGTCCCGCTGACATCAACCATATCCCCAAGACATGTACGCTCTCCGCCTATCTTGCAAGAGCAGGACCGGGGAATGATCGTCTTGAATTCGAGCGGGTCGCCTTCCGAGATCCTTTTCTGGTGGTTTACTCGTCCGGCACGACAGGCCAGCCCAAGTGTATCGTCCATTCTGTGGGAGGCGTACTCCTGAATGCCCACAAGGAAGGAGGATTGCACAGTGAACTGAGCCCAGAAAGCGTTGCATTGCAATATACTACGACTGGCTGGATCATGTATCTGTCCGCCATGCAGACTCTGCTATTCGGGTCGAGGGTGGTGCTCTACGACGGTAGTCCATTTATCCCGGATGTCATGGCATTGGTGAACATTTCCGCTCAAGAGAAGTAAGTGCATGATTTTGGCATGGTAAAGCTTTTTCTAAACGTCGAGCAGGGTAACACATCTGGGAATATCTCCGCGATGGCTCCACGAACTACAGCGAGCCAACCTGAAGCCGCGCGAGTTGGTCGATCTGCGCGCCTTGAAGGTGGTCACTAGCACCGGCATGGTCTTGCGGGATGCACTGTTCGAGTGGTTCTACGACGACGGCTTCCCGTCCCATGTGCGCTTGAACAATATCTCCGGCGGCACTGATCTTGCTGGGTGCTTTGGGACTGGCAACCCGCTTGTCCCGGTGTATGTGGGGGGATGCGCGGGATGCAGTCTCGGTGTGCCGGTGGAGGTTTACGATTCGACGATCGAAGGAGGCCAGGGCGTGAAGGGGGTCCCGGTGGAAGAGGGCGTTCCTGGCGAGCTCGTGGCTACCTCTGCATTTCCCAACATGCCCACTCAGTTCTGGGGCGACGACAGCGGGAAGAAGTACCACGACGCATATTTTGCTCGGTTTGACAGTAGGTGCCTCTTGTCCTTTTGGGGATCAATGGCTCACCACCCAGTAGATGTGTGGACTCACGGAGACTTTGTCTCAATCCATCCCACCACGAAACAGCTCATGTTTCATGGCCGCGCGGACGGGGTGCTCAACCCCTCCGGCGTGCGATTTGGATCTGCAGAGATCTATCGAGTAATTGAAGGCCAATTTTCCAACGAGATCGCCGACTCGATCTGCGTCGGCCAGCGGCGCCCCACCGATACCGATGAGCGGGTGCTGCTCTTCCTGCTCATGAAGCCCGGGGCGGCGTTCACGGCCAGCCTGGTGGAGCGAGTGAATCGGGCCATTCGTAGCGAGCTGAGCCCCCGCCATGTGCCCATGTTCACCTTTGAGACGCCCGAGATCCCGGTACGTTCACTCACTCGCCGCCCTCTTCCGGAGGCTGAAACACGCACTGACTATGTACTTCCGCCCCCAGACCACGGTCAACCTGAAAAAAGTGGAGTTGCCGGTGAAACAGATTGTGTCGGGCAAGATCATTCAGCCGTCGGGGACGCTGCTGAACCCGGGCAGTTTGGAGTATTACTACCAGTTTGCGGAGGTTGAGAAGTTGAGTCGCGGCAGCAAGCTGTAGACATCAACAAATACAGAGTAACAGCTCGGTCGAAAATAGAACCGTGGCGGATCTAGAACAGCCTCTTTGTCCACGATTCATTGCCGTAGCACACCGCGGTACCAAGGCTCCATCCAAGGATGGCGCCGATCGTCGTCAGCCAAGCTTTGACCAAGCTTCGGGGGTGCAGCACGGCAATGGAAAGATCAAGAATATCATCGTAAGGAAAGAACAGTAGGAGTCGTAACGAAGGAATTAATTCCTGTTCGCCCGTTCCTCGTCCAGAGCTGATACTTGAAGCACCACCACGACTATCTCCGAGTGCACTCAACCGCGTCATCTATTGGTCCCCCGCTCGAATCCTGGTTGCTGCTGTTCACTGCCCCTCCTTTCGTTCTTTCCTTTCTCTCGCTCTTCTTCCCCTTTTACTCTTTCCTTTCTTCTCTCCCTCTCTCTCTCTCTCTCTCTCAATTATTCTTCCCCGATCGAATTACTCCCGATTATCACCACCATGGTTCATCTCGCCACTGTCAAGAAGGACGACGAGGTCTTCCACCCCGCCAGCCGCCAGGTCGACTCCATTGGCGGTCCCCCCGACCAGGATGACTTCTACACCAATGTTTATGGCAGCCACTTTGCCGCCGACCACATGCCCCAGCATGAGATGCCCGAGAACTCCATGCCGCGCCAGATTGCCTCGCGCATGATCAAGGACGAGCTGAGTCTGGACGGCAACCCCAAGCTGAAGTCAGTACCGCTGCCCACCGACCCGAATAACACCCACTAATCCCTCGACAGCCTGGCCAGTTTCGTCACCACCTATATGGTACGATGTCATTGTCTCGGACAATTTGCGGTCGGCCACTGATAGGATGCAGGAAGAGGAGATCGAGGACATCATGACCGACTCCTTCAGCAAGAACTTCATCGACTACGAGGAATACCCCCACTCCGCCGAGATCCAGAACCGCTGCGTCAACATGATCGCCCGTCTGTTCAACTGCCCGACCGAAGCTTCGGGCGAGAATGCCATGGGTACGTCGACCATTGGATCCTCCGAAGCCATTATGCTGGGCACCCTGGCCATGAAGAAGCGCTGGCAGAACAAGCGCAAGGCCGAGGGTAAAGACTACTCGCGGCCCAACATCGTCATGAACAGCGCTGTCCAGGTCTGCTGGGAGAAGGCGGCCCGCTACTTCGATGTCGAGGAGAAGTATGTCTACTGTACCGACACCCGCTTTGTGATCGACCCCAAGGAGGCCGTCGATCTGGTGGACGAGAACACCATTGGTATCTGTGCCATCATTGGTACCACCTACACCGGTGAGTACGAGGACGTCAAGGCCATTAACGATCTGCTGGTCGAGCGCGGCATTGACTGCCCCATCCACGTCGACGCCGCCAGCGGTGGCTTCGTCGTCCCCTTCGTCAAACCGGAGTTGCCCTGGGACTTCCGTCTGGAGAAGGTGGTGTCCATCAACGTGTCCGGTCACAAGTACGGCCTGGTCTATCCCGGTGTCGGCTGGGTTATCTGGCGCTCGCCGGAGTTCTTGCCCCAGGAATTGGTGTTCAACATCAACTACCTTGGAGCGGACCAGTCTAGCTTCACCCTCAACTTCTCCAAGGGTGCTGCGCACGTCATTGGCCAATACTACCAGCTGATCCGCCTGGGAAAGCACGGATACCGGTCCATCATGGTCAACTTGACCCGCGTTGCGGACTACATGGCCTCGCAGCTGACCCAGATGGGCATGATCATCATGAGCCAGGGCCAGGGCGAGGGTCTGCCGCTGGTGGCTTTCCGCCTGCCGCCCAACCCAGACCGTGTGTACGACGAGTTTGCCGTTGCTCACCAGCTGCGTGAGCGCGGATGGATCGTGCCTGCGTACACGATGGCCCCCCACAGCGAAAAGCTGCAGCTGATGCGCGTGGTCGTGCGCGAAGACTTTAGCATGAACCGCTGTGACAGCCTGCTTCAGGACTTCAAGCTGGCCCTGCAGACGCTGGATTCTATGGACCAGGCCATGATGTCCAAGTACAAGGCGTGAGTATTTGGTTTCCTTTCCGTCCAAATTGCACAAGCTAACCTCTGTCCAGCCACATGCGGAGCCACCGTGCTCATCCCCGCCACCAGCAGCGCGCCCACCCGCACTACCAGAATGAGACGCACTCGCTGCAGGGCAAGACCGGCAAGACACACGGTGTCTGCTAATTAACTAACCTTTTTCTTTCGTTGAAAATGATGTTATTTTTTGGGCTGCACAGCCGGAACAGCGGGTCAAGGCATGGTTGGCCGCCTCCTGTCTGAGTACCACTTGGTTTACGCCTGTAGCCAGCCCTGTTTTGTACGTACGACGTGAACATACAAAATACCCGATATAAATGAGAAATACTATTTTTGGTTCACCGTGACGTCATGTATACGAGTCGACTTGTGTAAAAAGGACAGAGAAATTCTGTTCCATCCCTCTCATTCTTCTTCATTATCATCGTTATCATCATCACCAACATGCAGTGCATTACCATCACCCAGACTCCGGACCCTCCTACCCGGGACTTCCCTTCGTCGGCGGACGTTCCGGCTGAGCTGCCGCCGGCCAAGGAGATCAAACTCCATCCCTCGGCCTCTGGGGAGGAGAATGCGTCACTATTCTTTGTGGGGACGGCGACGACGATCATGTTCGTGCGAAATCCTCCGTAGCCCTAAGTGATGGTCCTAATTGCAGCAGCGAATGGGCAGGGATCCGTCTCATGACCGATGTATAAACTTGGAGTCCAATGGCACATATCAATGGCTAATGGGACCTTGTAGCCCAACTTCCTCCACGCCGGCGACCACGTCCATCTAGGGCCCGGTGTGTCCAGCGCCCGCCGGACTCAACCCGCGGTGGATTTGCATGAACTGCCGAGGATCGACTTGGTGCTTCTCTCCCACTATCACGGGTACGTACTTACATGGGTTCGCGCTACCGACGCAACCATCAGCAGCAACTGACCAGGACAGCGACCATTTTGACCAAAAGGTCGAGGCCTCCCTGCGCCGGGACCTGCCCATCATCACCACCCCGCATGCGCAGGCCCATCTGACAGCCAAGGGCGCGGACTCGTTCACCTGCGTATCTGCATTGAATCCGTTCGAGCAAGTCTTCGTTGAGATTAACGGCGCGCTAGCCAAGAGACGAGGCAAACACGCTCGACTGCGCGTCACCGGCATGCCGGGGAAGCACGTCCCTCCAAACCCGATCGCGGAGAAGCTGAATGCGCTGGCCAATGCGGTAGGCTCTTCCGTCTTATCCGTTTCTCTGCTAACTTCTGCCAGGTCCCGCCTACGAACGGCTGGATGCTCGAACTAGGGCACGGCGCGCCTGGCACAGCCAACTTTGAATGCGGCTACCGCATCTACATCTCAGGCGACACGCTGATGGTCGACGAGCTGAAAGAGATCCCGCGGCGGTATGCCGGGCAGCAGATTGATCTGATGCTGGCGCATCTGGGCGGGACCATGATCCCGTCGCCCGCGATGGCGCCGTTGGCGTTGATGGTGACCATGGATGCCGAGCAGGGATTGCAGCTGATGCAGTTAATTCAGCCGGATATCACCATCCCCATCCACTACGATGATTATGAAGTGTTTGCCAGTCCGTTGGCTGACTTTGTAAGGGTGGTGGAAGAGGCAGGGCTGCAGGGGAAAGTGGTGTATTTGGATCGACGGGATCAGTATCGGTTTCGGGTGAGAGAAGCAGCAGAGGAAGAATGATTCCTTTGTTGACATCGGGTCGAAGGTAAACTATATATAGATCTAGCAAATGCCCCGCCATCTGACGGGACTGTTCCCCCCCCTTGAACGCTTTTCTACCTCTTTTCCTTTCTCTTCTCACCCCTCGGCCACAGTGATGCCCTTGTTTAGCAGGAAGCCCAAGTCCCCTGCCCAGCATCCTTCGCCTGTCTTCCTGTCTTCCGATTCTCTGTCTTCCGACGCCCAACAACCCCCGCCCGACGAACCGTACGCGCGCCACCCCACCGACCTTGACGCCGCATACGAGGACAGGCTGGCCCCTTCTTCCCCGACTGCTACCGTCGACCCGGCCTTGCCGTCACCTTCTTTGCAGCGTTCTCTCAGCCAGACCCAGCCCCACTTGAAGGATCGCGACCGCCCGACCAGCACTGTTGTCACCCCTGACCACGCCCAGTCTCGTCGTCTCAAAAAGCATCGTTCGCCATCCGCTCTTTTAGGGCGCAGTGTGACCGTCAGCGTTCGAGGCAAACGGATTTCACATCCTATTTCGCTCCCAACCTCCCCGCGTTTCCCTCCTTCGCCCTCTCCTCCCTTTGACGAGGACCAATACCAGTATTCTATGCCACAACACGGCCGCTCCCTTGAGGCCACGCAACTTTATGAGCCCCGGTCTGCCTCACTAGCCTACCAGCAGAAGCACCAGCAAACCTACCGGGGTCTGCGTTCACCACAGCCGACCCACGCGGACCAACCACAATATCAACAACAACAAGAACAACAAACTGAATCTCCCCCGCCGCTTCACCGTTCCAGCACCGACCCAACGCTGCTCGAGCAATTGCGCCGCCCATCCCCAATCAAGTCGGACCTCGAACTACACCCAGCTCACCGGCAGGACCGTTCAACCCTGAGTGCACGGTCCCCTTCCCGGCAGACTCCCGAGCCAGCTTCCCCGTTACGTACCCAGACTGTTCCTGACGCGATGCAGCAGGCGCAACCACAGCAGCAGCAGACGCCTCCAGGGCCAGTGTCGGACGAGCGGCGCGCGGGCACGCCTTCGCAGGACTCGGGTCGTCGCGCCAGCGTCAATCCCACGATGCCAACCGAGGCGGACCGCAGAACGCCCACAAACGTGAATGCCAATTCGTCCAATGCGAGCCGGAGTCGTGAGGACATTTCGGAGCTGGATGTTCGTGCTCTGATACAGAAACATGACGAGCTGCGTAAGTTGGCGTATGACCTTGTGTTTCCACCGTAACTAATCGCGGAGAAGAGGCCAAATACTCCAAGGTCAAACGGTACTACTTCGACAAGGAAGCGCAGGTGCAGCACCTTCAGAACACCGTGGCGCACCAGCGCATGGCGGTGTCGCGTACCGTGCTGGATGACAACGAGTACACCAACCGATTCCAGCGACTGGACGGCGCAATCAAGGACCTCGCCTTCTCAGTGCGCAAGGAATGGTGCGGTATTCCGCACTGGCTGCACGGCTATGTCACTGAAGATGCGGTCGACAAAGGAACGAAAGAAATGACGGCGTTGGGACGCGCCGTGATCAGCCGATGGCTGGTGGAGGAGGTGTTCCAGCGACATTTCCACCCAGCCCTGGAGCCGAATCTGAGCCTGCAACTAAAGAGCCTCGAGATGAACCTGCGGCGACAGGGGACGCATCCGCAGTCGGAAGAGGACCGCGAGAACATGGCGGCGCGACTGTCCAACTGGCGCCGCACGACTTTTGACGGTCTGGGTGATTCTCTCGTTGGCCCTGCAGCCGAAGCCCACCGCGCCGACCTTGTTGAACATCTGGTCGCGCAGCTTACTTCTTTCCTCAGTGGACAACTGCACGAATCCGGCCTACCGGGTTTGGAGGCGGGTGTGCGCATGATCATCGAGAACACGATCAACATCGCCGAGAAGATCCCGCTCGAAGCCCGCGACGTGTGCGTCGAGTATTTCCCTCCCGGGGTCCCCATTCAAGACGCGTACATGAAGGTCGAACCCGGTTTGCCGCCGCTGGCGCATATCCCACAGGCGCCGCGCCTGTCCGTGGAGCAGGAACACGAGGAACACAATGCTGCAGGGGCACCGGTGGAAGCCGACTCGTCATCCGGATCAAATTCGAACCCTGGAGCAGTCGCAGGAGATGCTGCCTCACCTGTGCATCCTCACCGCAAGAGGCCATCCATGCTCGGGGCGTTGATGGGCCACCGCAAGCCGGCTAGTGGGCCGAGTGGTCGATCTGCGACTGAGTCGGACGACAAGGCCGAGAGTGTACCGCGCATTCGGTTTGCGGGCTTTGTCGCCGTCGAAGTGCGCAATAAGGGGCCTTTGATGAATGTGTTGAATAAGGCTCCGGTGTGGTTACTCGAGTAGAGCGGAGGATGGAAAAACTTAAGAGGTGGTGTGGTGTATATATGGAGAAGGAACAGGGTTCACCCCCCGATACCTAGGGCATCATCGCGCATAGCGATGACGACCACGACTGATACATTGATATCCCATGCTTTTATTCACTCGCTGGCGGATGTTTACATGGTAGGAACAGTGGAGTTGGATTTAATTGATCTGAATCGAACACACCAAAAAACAAAAACAGATAGAGAATCCACTCGTTACACCGGCGGCGGTGCAAGATCCAATCCCTCCACACTCAGCTTAAACGCATCACTGCGCGAATAACTCCCCGCAACATCGAGGTCCAATCGGCCACGCTCGCAATCATCCAGATCAATCTTCGCAATGGCCAGTCCGTCGCCAGCCGCAACGGCGTTCTTACCTGCCTCTGTGGTGGGCGCACCGGGCGACGTGATGACCGCTGCGTCGGGGCTGTCGGGCGCGTCGTCTGTGCAGACTTCCCAGATGGGGCCGGCGAGGACGTCGCCCAGGGGCGAGATGATGCAGCTGCCGCCGCGACAGATGTAGTCTGATGATGATTCTAGCGTGAGAGTTAGCAATGTATATAGTCTTAGTCTTTGAAGGTGTATAGTTAGGGGGGGGGAAGAAATAGACATACGCCTCTTCAAGGGCTGATCCTCTTGTTCAACCTGAGCCTGCGGCCAAACAATCTCATGCGGTCCCTCCGCCGTAACAGACATTTTCCTCCCCCCTGCCTGAATCTGAGGCTGAGTCTTATTCTCCGCTTGAACCTGCGCCCTGTTCTCTGGGTCTGCCACACCACAAACCCACTCGGGCAGCTCGTCTTTCCTCACGCACTGGTTCGCCGAGAGCACAAAACACCTGCCCTCCCCGCCGACAGTCCGCATAAGCGGCAGCCAGGTATCACGCGCATCCGCCGTGGGAGCCAGGTAGATGTTCACGTTCTGTGAGTACAGGCTCTGGCGCAGGAGCGGCATGTAGTTCTCCCAGCAGATGGCCGAGGCAAGGGTCAGCGGGATGCCGTTGAGGGTTGTTGTTACGGCGCGGAGGGTGGAGGGGGAGCCTTGGGCCCAGATGAGTCGCTCCGAGCCGGTCTAGACACATCGTCAGTGAGTTTCTGATAGGGAGGTCGACTGGACTACTGACCGGCATAACCTTCCTCCTCTTCCCCAAAACCCCACGCGCAGGATCAACATAAACCACAGCACAATACAAACTCCCACCCGCCCTCTCCACCAACCCCGTAACAATAAAAAACCCCCGTTTCGCTCGCAACCCTCTCCAAAAACTCTCGCGTCCCGTCGCCACGATGCGACTTGCCGGGCGCCACCTCCAGATTCCGCTGAACCCAATCATCGCCGGCGCCGGCGGGCGTATCGCCCAGATCCACGGCGGCCTTGAAATACGCCAGGAACTGTTCTCGGCCGAGCGGGTCGCGCGATCCCACTGCTGCGCCGAAGGAGCATGTTCGTGGGTACCCGCCTAGATAGGCTTCTGGGAAGAGGAGGAGGTGGACGCCGCGTCGGCTGGCGAGGACGGTAGTTCGTTCCAGGGCTGAGAGGGTTTCGGGGAGGGTGGAGAGGGTGCGCGACTGGGAGACTGCTACTGTTAGGGAGGGCATTTTTGCTTTTTTTGTCTTTCTTTTCGTTTGCTTCTGGTCTTGGGTGTGGGAGTGCAGTGTAGTAAGTAGGGAGGGTAGTTATGAAGTGAGGTGAGGAGAGAAGAGAGAGTGGAGACACAAGGAGTTGGGGTTGTTGCTTTTAGCGGGGTTGTGTGGGGTCAATGGGGTTGGAGTTGGAGTATGTAGTTATTGTGCTTTTGTACTGGACTGCAGAAAGTACTTTTGATTGAGGAGAAGTATACTTGTGGTCGATGTATCGTATGCATGTCGTGCGGTTTGGGTTGCACTAGAAGCTCAGCATGACATCATCATATAGATCCATCCCCGGAATTTGCATTTAGTACTATAGTCTAGGGTTTACAGTAGTAGGAAGATCACGGTATAGCTAGACGGAGACAATTATATTGCTGTAACTAGAATAATGTACTTTGTCAATCTGTTCAACTGTTCAGAAGTCATATGTTCATCCACACTGTATAACCAAGACCAGAACGAACCCCAGATCAGACCCAATACACCCTTAAGACACAGGCACACAAAAACCCGGGAAAACGGCGAAGTTGAAAAATATACAATTCAAAAACCCATGTAGAAGCAGCGCCCGCCACACAGATGATGCAAATTTGGGACAAATAAAAAAGAGATGCTCCCGGGTATAAGCGCCTTGCTGATGTAAAATCATAAAAAACAAAAAGCCCGAAATGATGAATGAGCCCAAAAAAAAATAAATAAAAAAGAGGTGCTCAAACGCAAGAAAAAGACCAAAACGATGTCAAGGCGTAGATGAACATGCTCCGATGGAAGGATTTTTTTTTTAGGTGGAGATGCCATTGGCAGTGGCCGCCTGCTGCAGCACGCGAGGCCAGCGTGAGATCAACTCGACGTCGTCCAGCACGCCCTTGCCCTGGTTGCGCACGTACTGGGTGCTGGGGTCGACGCGCGGCTCCCAGTCCCAGAAGTGCGGGGTGCCCTTGATCAAGGCCGAGTAGACCAGGCGGCGGCGACGCTGCGAGGTCAGCACGTCCTGGCGGATCTTCTCCAGATCCCACTTGGAGTGGACTTCTTCCATGAAGAAGGCCAGCAGCTTGGCTGGGTTCTGGGTGGCGGGCATGGTGCCCCGCTTGGACGGGCTGGGGGTGCGCGGGGGAGTCACTCCTCCCGGGAAGGGGTACGAGGCGTGGTTGCCGCGCAGAGGAGCCGGCGATGCGCGAGGGCTCTCGATGGGGGTGGGCAGGGGCCGGGGGGCCAGAGCGGTAGCAACGGGCTTGACGACCGCGGGTTCGAAAGACGCCGAGGGAACCGGCAGGCCGGCCACCAGGTTCACCTTCTCCTCGGGATCGCTGACCAGGTCGAACAGCATCGGTGCGTCCAGGGTCGAGTAGATGAACTTCCAGCGGCCGCGGCGGATCATAATCAGCGGGGCCTGCGTGCCCTCGCCCATGTACTCGCCGTACACGGTGTCGGTCTTGGGGCCCTCCGAGCCATCCAGGTAGGGAGCCAGCGAGACACCGTCCATGGGCAGCTCGGGGATGATGGGCGAGCCAACCAACTGCGCAAAGGTGGGCAGCAGGTCCATGGTGGACACGTTCTCGGACACGCGCTTGGGGGCGAATTTCTTGGGGTAGTGGAAGATCATGGGCACGCGGGCCGAGTTCTCGAACCAGGTCATCTTGTACCACAGGCCACGCTCGCCGAGCATGTCACCGTGGTCACCGGTGAAAACGATGATGGTGTCATCCGCAAGGCCGGTGTCGTTCAGCACCTTGAGCAGCTTGCCGATGTTGGTGTCGACGTAGGTGCAGGCGGCGTAGTAGGCGCGGCGAGCGGCTTTGATGTTCTCCTCGGGCAATTCCTTGCCCCAGAGATCAATGCACTTCAGGACCCTCTGCGAGTGCGCGTCCTGCTGGTCGTGCGGGATGGCGCCGTTCTTGGGCAGCGGGATGTCGACGTCCTCGTACATGTCCCAGAACTCCTTAGTCATGGCGTAGGGGTCGTGCGGGTGCGTCATCGACACCGTCAAACAGAACGGCTGGTCGGTGCGGGTGCGTACATGGTCATACAGGTACTGCTTCGACTTGTAGATGACCTCCTCGTCGAAATCAAGCTGGTTAGTGCGCACCACGGGCCCGGCCTCCATGACCGAGGACATGTTGTGATAGTAGTCCAGACGGATTTCCTGTGGAGAATCGTTCAGATTACCAATCTTTCTTAATTTTCAGTTTGGGCTTACTCACCGGCTCGTCCCAGTTGACGGACCATCCGTAGTCACCGGGGTAGATGTCGCTGGTCAAACGCTGCTCATAGCCGTGCAGCTGGTCCGGGCCACAGAAGTGCATCTTGCCAGCAAGAGCAGTGTGGTAACCCTCACGGCGGAGATAGTGAGCATAAGTTGGGGTGTCGGCGGGCAAGTCCGCTGCATTATCATAGGCGCCAATCTTGGAGGGCAGCTGGCCGCTGACCATTACAAAGCGTGACGGAGCGCACAGCGGCGAGTTGCAGTACGCCGAATCAAATGTGACACCTTCTGCCGAGAGACGGTCCAGGTTGGGCGTCTTGATGGGCGAGTTCTTGTCGTGCAGCGACAACAAGGGTGCGGCCATCTGGTCCGCCATAATGTACAGGATGTTGGGCTTCTTAGTCTCCATGGTAGCGGTCTCTTGGGGGTGGGGGAGAAGGGTGACCAGAGGAGAGTGAGAAGGCGGGATAAAGAGATGGAAGAGAGAAAAAAGGAAGAGCCGGAGGAGGGCGAGGGTTGATATATGAACGAGGCCGTGGATGTGGGGAACAACTGAAAGAATGGGTAAAAAAAAAAAAAAAAAAAAAAAAATTAAATGGGGCAAGAGAACGATAGACGGGAAGTATAGACGGTATTATTGATCGGCTGTTAGTCAAAGTTACAAGTATCTTGTATGTATCACCGAATAATAATAATGGCACCACCCGAACACCTAACAGAATATTTTTATAAAAAAAAGTACAGTAGCTCCCGCCCCCTGCAAGGGAGATCAGGGGACAATCTAGATGATCTGGGGCTGACGTCGTCGTAGCCAGTTGAAGGCGCAACATAGCACCATCGTGCTGTGCGATGGTGTGATCGATCGTCAGGAGATGCGTCACGGTCGGTACCGGCAGTACCGTTAGTGCGGATAAGGGAGTATACCGTTCGTTCACCATTTCGCTGATTGCAAAGCCCCTCGACGAATAGAAAGAGAAAGAAAAAGAAGAAAACGATCAGCAGCCTGGTCACGCGCTACAATGGAGGGGTCAGTCGAAAGCACTTGCACCGCGCGACTCAATCCCGAAGAGTCCCAGAGGGGGCGAGGGTTGCCACTTGGCTTGGACCGCATGCGTAGTGGATGAGTTACAGCCGCAATACAGGGGTGCAGACGTAATGACGGGCCCATTTGGTTCACATTAAGGGCTATAAAATAGTCACTGCAACAAATCTGGAGAAGACGTGGGGACTCTAGTTGATCAAGCGCCAGTGCCGGAGTTGAAGACACTCGCCTCGTGGTGGTGTGGTTGTCAAGATGTGCCTGTTCAGACCCTGGTATGGCCCAATACCACAGGATCCACCGGCTCGTGTCATAACTTGCCTGATTGGGCTAGGCCCGTGGGAAGCTCCACTTGCTTATCTGGCCGCCCAATCAGGGGCCAGATAAGGGCACTATAGGCGAAGCGAAGGAGCAAATTCTGTTAGCAGCCAGGTGGAGGATCCGATTCAATATTATTGAAAAAGTGCCCGCGTGCGATGGAGTCGGTGGATAACGACACGGCAGAGCAAGAGACAGGAGACGTTCTGCAAAATGCATCCTGTACCGCCCCTGCTATCACCTCATCGCTCCGCCCGCTTTCTCATCTCCCTGTGCGAGCACGCCATGGGGGCGGTCTGCCCGTCCACCCCGGATTTTGCGGCCGGGTAACAGCGTCACCGCTATTTTGGCTCGCGGTACCATTACGTCTAGAAGATCCGGTGCCGCTCCACTCCGGGGCCACACCTTGCTAGGCTGGATGGTTTCACCCGATCCAGTATGGCGCAATCAAGGCTGAGTTCCTTGGTGCAACACTCGGGAGACATCTCGCCACTGATATCAGAGGGGGCTATCACATCACGGGGAGGGGGGAGGCCTAAGGGGCTATGTGGTCTGAGAGCAGGAAACATTGGAGATTTGTAGAGGATTGTAGGGAAAGTAATACGAAGGGATAATCTCAGGAGTCAAATAAAAACAAGTCCCAGGATAGCCCACTACCGCACGCTAAGCAAGCCCTAAGCAACGCCCGTCCCGAATTCCTGGCTTCGAACTAACTCGTAGCTGGAGCAGCTTCGGTGGCCCGTGTAGCCAAATGCTCCATATACCAATGGGTGAGCTCCCGGCACGCCATCGCATCCTCGATGCTGTCATGGCCCCGGCTTCCCTCCTGGATCCGCCGGTTCAATCGAACCGCAGCTAAGTTCTTCAGCGAGCGGCCCGTCTCCGGATTCTCATGGGTGCCATCGACATGAAATGTGTCGACCATGCGACGATGGATCCACCGCAAGGCTAGCAGGTCGGCCGCGCCCCCGTGCGTCATAACGATGGTCTCAGGTCCCACAAACTGCCACAGCTGCTGCCGCGCCTGTTCACGGCTCACAAGACATCTGCGCGTCGCCAGTGCGTGGTTGAGCATCTGCCAGCTGACCCCAGAGTACCTGGTGTTGAGGTGCAGCATGGGCACGGCGGGATACACCAGCGTATCCAGCAGGACGTAGCCGGTGAAGTAGTCCACCGCACTGATCCGGATCAGTTCCGACTCGCCTTTCATGGTGACACCCATCTCGCAGTCTAGGGCAATGGCCAGCCGTGCGCCGCGCACAAACCGCGGAGTCTCGTAAAGTTTCCATTCGTCCTCGAGACGACCCACACTGTCCTCGTCATAGGCATCGTGTTTATCTCGCTCGACACATCCCGGGATGGGCCCAGGTTTCTGGCAACAGGTCCATTTCTGCGTTGCTCGTTACTATGTCTGTAACTATCGGTGGCGGAAAATAACTCACCTTGTAGTGCACCCTGCCGGGATGGCTCTGACACGTGGGCTTCTTCTTGACCTTTTCGTTCTGAGCCTTCTCGCGTTCCGCGTGCTCTTCCTCCGAGATGGCTTCCGTGTGGACGGTCACCTCTTCCGTCTCGGGATCGATGGTGATGACATACTTGATGGGAGAATTGTCAGAACTACTAGAAGAAGACGAGGAATCCTTCTGGGGAGATACCTGAGAAGAATCCACCTCGCTCTTCGGCGGAGTCGCCGGGTCTGCTGCGGTCTGCTGATCGCCCAGTGACTTTTCCTTATCCTGACCATTTTTCTTCCCATCTTCTTTCTTGCTGTCATCTTTTTTCTCCTTCTTGTTCTTCTGCTTGGTCACGCGCTCTGCAAAGTAAACATTAACTGACTGAAGTCGTTTCAAAAGAGAGAGAAAACAAACTGCGACAGAACTTGCAGCGTCTCATTCGCAGGAGGTCGCCAGAAGCGATTTCCGTAACCTTGTATCCCTCCGTTTTCATCTCCTCGGCGGACAGAACCAGCTTGCTGAGCTTGTCGTAATAGAGTGGAGTTGGAACAATGGAGCCCAGCTGGTTTCCTGTCGCCAGGTGTCGATGGGGAGGAGGTGACATGGCGTCTTTGTTGTGAGGATGGCAGAGATGTGAAGCAGGCGGGCTTGAGCCTGGCGCTGGTTGGTTTCGGTCTGGTCTTGTCTGGGGGAAAGAGAGGAAATATCAGACAGACGTGGTCGCAACTCAAGACTGTCTGGGGTGAAGGAAGGGATGAGTGGGGGTAAAAGGGTGAAGCGAAAGACTTTGGTGAGTGAGGGCGGAAGAGAGGAAGGAAAGACCGAGGAAAGGCAGCGAAGGACTGGGGTTGTGGAAGGAGCACAAAGAGGGATGAGTGTGCAGTCAACAAACTACCACGGTCGCCATGGAAATGTTTCAGGTGAACCATAAAAAAGTTGGATTTGCACTCGCTAAAGGGACACTCGCAGAAAAATACATAACAGAACAGGCCGGGCCGGAGGAGTAAATAAAACGATATACGCCGTGGTGGGAAACACATCACCGATGCTTATCAGACAGATCCAATCATTCAAAGGGAAAAGGGAAACAAAAACAGTTCATGTACGAGTCGATTCGTGTCAACCGGTGGATGTTAATCAACTTTGATCGCACTGGTATCCTATCAGTCTCCTGTTTGATCACCAGCTGATGAAAACATACCTATAAACACGCCGGACGAAGGCGTATGCAGCCAGGAATCCGACGGTGCCCGTCAACAGACCGTAAACCGTGCAGGCGAGGAAACTGTAGCTGAAGAACAGTAGACTCGACACGAATCCGGTGACGTGGAGCCTGAACATATAGAACCAGATACAGTATGCAAAGATCCAGAATGCGCTACTGCCTCCAACCAGGAAGCTCCGCCACCACCAGTGGTAGTTCTACATCGAAAGTCAGCTTGAAGATCTTGGACGTTGGGAGGGGGAGGCACTCACCTCGGAACACAACTGGCTGTATGTGGCAATAACAGTCACCTCAATGACCGTGACGACGAGGATTGCCGAGACCACGCTCAAGAAGCCAAAGACATAGTAGTAACCACTCTTGTCCTGCCAGAGGTTCTTGAACACAAACAGTAGTTCAATAAACAGCACGGCGAATGGTATCAAACCAGTGAGGACAGGCCCATAAAGATTCTGGAGATACCACGGCTGCGGCGGGATTTGTCGCGGAATGGCATTGGTCTTCAACGGGTGTTCCCACGGTGCCACTCGCACGTACCCATACCAGCTACCAATGTACACCAGCGGAACTTGAATGAGAAGCCAGAGCGCAAGCAGGCCGATGAGGGTACTAAACGGGATCGCCGTGCTAGATGATTGGGCCCACACGAACAAGTTGAGGATGAGGACAAGGCAGAACGACAATCCCGGGAAAAGCAGCGCGGTGATGAGAGTATTCTTCCGCCAGGCTGCTCCACCAAAGGTCTTGTATAGTCGCCCCGAGAAGTAGCCGGAGAAAAGGCCGGCAAAGACGAACAGACCCATTCCGACACTGACGAAGCCACCACGGAAGCTGGGGTTGAGCACTCCCAAGCAGCTAAGGGAAAGCAGGCCTGTCACCATGAACAATAACTGCATGCCCGAGCCGACCAGCGGAGCAAGGAGGCCGCTGTAGGCAGGCGTCCGAAAGACATCGCCATGAAGAAGCTTCCAGCCACTGGTATCCTCGAAGGCCTCGTCGTCCGAGGACATGTCTGCCTCGTGTTCCACGTCTGGGTCTTGATCCAAGAGACTCTCCCCTTTCTTGTCTGCATGCCGACCAGTCTTCCGCCTGGACTGCACCTTAAGCTTCCGCTCTTCCATGGCCCCATCGCCACGTCCTTTGATATCGCCCTGGACCGTTCGACTCCATATGACAAAGACGGTCACACCCAGCACGGTGGAGATGGTCAGAGAGTTGACGATCGCGAGCCAGTGGGTCATCGATCCCTCTTCCTGGTTGGTGAAGTATAGGTCCCAACGGTTCGACCAGTCGATATCCTTCTCCTCGCGGAAGTAGACCGAATACGTGTAAGGGATCTTCAACGTGGCGCCGTCATCTTCGTCATCATCCTCGGGGATGTACGACGACCCGGGGTATTTCTCGCGTAGTCGGGATGTGTCGGGTGCAATGTATAGCTGCAGTCCGTCTTGCTCCTGGTGGACGACCTTCGGGCAGCCGTCTTCATTACGGTTCTCTGCACTGATACTCTTGGGGTATATCTCGAATCCAACAATGACCTTCCCTCCCTCTGGCTGACTCCGCCATCGGATCAGGATGGTAAAGTGATTGTTGATGAAGTATCGCGGGCGACCGGTGGTCGGCGAGATGTCTCGGTTGCCCAGCTTGAACCCAGCGGCATAATACTTGCGGCTGCGGTCAACCGTCACGAATCTCGTAGCTCCTGGCAGGTTATCCGCAATCCACTCGACCACATATCCATCCCTGACGAGTTGGCGAGCCCATTTGACATCCGACCGGCTGATTTCACGGGTACAGAGTGACCGACACTCGACATCCTTGCCCATCTGCAGCTCGAAATCTGACGTCATGATGCGGTCTCCGCGAAGCACCTCGCCAAGATTGAGAGAGATGCTCTGCCCAGATCCGAAGGGCGAACCACCATGTTTTCTGCCACTCGGGGGACAGACAAGGGGGAGGTCGTAGTAGGCATATTGCAGTTGCGTGTGGTCGGAGAAGATTTTATTGACAAGGAGAGGAATCGGATCGCCATCATTGTAGCGAGTGATGGAGTAACCTGGAGGGAAATTACCCTAGTCAGTGCTGCAGGTACAAGCCAGCAATCCAGCTCTCAACACCTACCAGGGATATAGAATGCCCAGGCGTAAGACACAAACAACAACAGCCATAGCGCCATGTTGGGAGGGCGTGGTACTCGAGAACTCATTGCGAATATTGGAATCAAAGGAATAACCTTCCTCACACTGCTCAGAGAAAAAAAAAAAGGAGCATGCAGATCAAACGGGGCGAGAAAGGCGGCGGGTGGGACGAAGGCGTGTAGATCACTGACTTGTCGCAGTCAGCCTCGTGCGAGCTGTGAGTGGCGATTCGATTTCCTGGCGATAGCGGTAGAAGGTCTCAGATATGAGTGGGGTGCGGATCCAGGATGATGGACCTCGTAGCACCGAGTATTCGCACCGCAACCAAGGCCAAGGCCAGGGATCGAGCGGTTCAGCTCACGGGCCAACGAAGACCCCAACGGATCGGGTGGAGAGAACGAGTGTAACTGGCACCGAATGCCACAGGGACCGAGATCGAGGAGATGGTCACTAGAAACAAACAAGATGAAGAGAAGCGGGATTGGAGGAAAAGAAGAAAACAGGAGAGTGATCGAGACCTGGTCCACCGTGTCAACATGGGTTATGTAATCAGCAGGAAAATGGAGCAGAAATAAGCATTGGTGCACAGCCAATCAGGCGGGAGTGGGGAGTATAGGGGAGTATAGTTGTTAATGTGTACTTGGAAGGAATCAGTGAATGAATGAAGGGATTATTATTCCTGGAGGGGAATGGGAGAGAAAATGGATAGCCATGTAGCGAGGATATATATATTCGATGCTCCCGAACGACACTACAACTATACTGCTAAATTCAAAGACATCCGACAAGAGGAGTCAATCGATATCTTTCTGGTTTTATCTCGAGAACTTCTCAGTCAAGAAATTAACGTACCATCTAACGTATCTATTTTGAACATGGGTTCTCAGTCGGTTGAATATTTTCCCCGGGATGCTTATTTGTCGGGGAGCCGAACGGCTATAGCTCATCACACCTAGTATGATGACCAGCATTCGGAATTTATGGATATTAAACTCTCATCTGTATTGCTCTAACTAGCTCAAGCTCTCTCCTCTCCCCTTGTCTTCTTTCAACGTTTCTCGACTTAATATGCCTCTTCCCATGCGAGCCCTGGGCCGAGATGGGCCCCAAGTCACTGCCGTCGGTCTCGGTTTCGGAAGCCTCGGCGGATTCTACGGACCAGCTGGGACACTCGACGAGAAAATAGCCTTTTTGTAGATGCACATGCGACCGGACTGCATTTTTGGGACATGGCCGACATTTACGCTGACAGCGAGGATGTCGTCGGTGAATGGATTAAGCGATCTGGCAAGCGCGAGGACATTTTCCTAGCTACCAAGTTTGGGCTCCAGCGCCAGCCTGAAGGAAGTTACAAATCTCGGACTGATCAGGAGTACGTGAAGGCTGCATGTGGAAAGAGCCTCCAAAGAATCGCAGTGGACACCATTGACTTTTACTACAGTCATCGGATGGAATGGGTCACGCCCATTAAAAAGATTGTCGGAGCCATGGTAGAGCCGAAGAAGTAGGACTGAACAATCTGCAAATAGCACCCAAGCAGGCGATTTCTAACCTCCCATTTTCACAGACAAGGAAAGATTGGATATCTCCGTCTGTCAGAGGTCTCAGCAATCACGCTGCGTCGGGCGCATTCCGTCCATTCCATTGCCGCTCTGCAGATGGAATATAACTTATTCACACTAGACATCGAATCATCGACCTCGGAGATCTAGGAGTGCGAAAAATGGATATGGATGTAAATTGTACGTACAAGCTACGATATCCAAGCCAAAAATCTCATTGTCATTGATGATGAAAGCTCTCTTGCAATCTGGCACCCGGCTAGTGTGGATCACAAACAGATTATCGAGCGGCGGTATATTTTTGACCATAACCCGGGCTTTGCGGCTGCGACGGACCAAGTGCACAAGGCTGGCGACTTCGTCTCGGTAAACCATCAATTTGCTGGTTGTTCAGCTTGCAACTGGAGCCTGGACTGGGATTACAACGATGTGGTCGTAATTCAGAACAGGGTGTGAGGGGCAGCTATCCTACAACGAGGTTGGATCTAAGGGTTAGGGATATTTGACGAATCTATGAGACATTAGTACATGTGCACGATCACATAGACAGGAAACCGACTACTTGTCGGCCGTTTCTATGAATGCGAATTTAATCTAATTATGCTATAATTTTTATAATTAGTTTCTAAGCTCCATCTCACCCGTTCACCGTCTATTTCAGTCTCATTGCATCATCCAGCTCTACACTTGTATTGTAAAGCGTAGATTTCTGCATGATATCGATTCTACTAGAGAAAACAGCATCAAAAATCCATGGAAATCACAAGAATTGGCAGAGAATGAAAAGAAACACAGTGGGACCCTTAGTTGACCATCAAAGGGTGAAAGCCGTCTATAGAATTAGAATCTGAGGAGGTGGACGCCGGGTGAGCACTACATCCGAAGTAGGAATTGTAGGGATGTTGTGATATTTTTGACAACAGGAAAAGCTGAGTAACAACGCCCGCTTAGTTTAGTGGTAGAACGCGTCACTCGTATGAAGCCCGACATGATGAATCGGCGGTTCGATTCCGCCAGTGGGCATCCTTTTTTTTTTTTTTTTTTTTGGAGATAATTATTTTCTTTCTCTTTCTAAAATACGCTAGCTACAACTACGCGATACATACAACCTTTCTGCAAAAATAATGTCGACTAGGACTAGCATGACCGTTTGTACTATGCCTCCCGTCCATAAGAAAAGTGTTGTGAATCAAATTAGAATAATAGTTTGCTGGTTCATTTCCGTCCGATCTTTCTTTGTTCGACTGAGATAGAGCATAGAGAAGGTATAGTTATCTTTAAGGATGGACAATGCAAAGTCATATGTTGAGTGCGATCTATATCAATTCCAGATAGTCGCAAAAAAAAAAAAAAAAAAAAAGGGGGGTGGGGTTGGGGACTGTTATAGTACTGACCCAGATAACCAAGCTACCACCAGCAGATCTAAAGAAGAAGAAAGATGTGATTTGCATTGATGAGGCATGTCGAAAGGGGAATGAGAAAGTCATAACCACTAAGCAGACCGTCGCTATCGCCGAGATCGGAAAATCAAAAAAAGGGGAGGCCATGAAAATACACTGTGGGAAACAGGACCTGAATATGGTCACAAGAAAAGAAAGACAACCCCCAAGGCAGCAGCATGTGAATACTTCATGACGGGTGGGTCAGAAGATACTCCACGGCTCCTTGCACGCTACCACCAGCTCGGCGCAGCGCCTCAATGTTCCGTTCAAACTCATAGAATCCCATGTCGTTCAGCTGGCGGAGCTGCTCTGCATATCTCTCCTCCGGGGGCCGATTATCCGGCGGTTGAGGGGCACCAAAACCACCACCACCGAACCCGCCGCCACCGCCGAACAAAGATGCTAGGGGATTGGCACCACCTTCTGCACCCTGACCTCCGCCCATCGCCTGCATCATCTGTTGAAGCATGGCAGGATCACGAAGGAATGGGTTCTGCTGAGGGTTGAAAGGGTTCATTCCCGCTTGACCACCTTGACCAGCATTGCCTTGACCAGCACCACCGAAAAGAGCGGGGTTGAGCAGAGAAGCAAACGGGTTCTGAGGCGGTTGTGCATTTTGACCCTCGGTGCTAGTGGTGCCCTCGGCAGAGGTGGTAGGGGTGGGATTTTGTGTACCCTCGCGTTGAGTGTTGCCACCAGCGTTTGTATCGGAAGTCGGGGGCGGCATTCCAAAAGGATTGCCACCAAAGAGTTGCGCGAAGGGATTTCCGAAGGGGTTCTGCGCCATTTGACCGAATGGATTGGCCTGCGCATTCTGCTGCTGTGCGTTCTGGCCATCCTCGGTTGTATTTGTCACGCCAGGCGCAGGGAATGCGCTCTCGCCGCCAAGTCCACCACCGCCCATTGCACGCTGCATCTGCATCATTTGCCGGAGCGAGTTGGGGTCGGTCAACATACGGCGAAACTCCGGACTCTGCATCATCTGTCGCACACCCGGACCCATATCACGGAGCATGGGATTTTGGTTAATCATCATGTCGATCATGGCGGGGTTTTGCAGGGCCTCGTTGAGGCTCGATTGAACTTGAGGGTTATCCAGCATGTTCAGCATCGATTCGGTATCCGGAGGAGGGCCCATCTAAGCATTCCAATTGTCAGTCTACAAGTTCCAGAAGGCTTGAGATCAACTTACCCCGCCATCTGGGCCGAAAAGACCCGCGCCGGGCAGTTGAGCAAACCCAGCATATCTGGCACCCGTCAGACCCGCGAGAGGGTTGTTGCCCGTACCAGCAGCAAGATTGGTAGGGACACCAGTCGCAGGCTGGCCGGTAGTGCCAGCAGCAGCCGCAGGGGCATTGCTAGTCGACTGGGCAGCCGGGTTTTGGCGCTGGTTGCTGGCCGCACTCTTCACCAAATGAATGGTGTGCCCATCCTTAATTTTGTAGGTCTCCAATGTCTCGCTGTCCTTGAGCACTCTTCCAGAGTAGATCAAACGCTGCCGTTCTGCCGGAGTATCCGCATACTCGGAGCTTGAGAGCTTCTCCTTGAGCTCCGACACCGGAGTAGAGAGCGGGAGGGTCAGAGTGAATTTGGCATCGGTAGAGGACTTGACAGTGAAAGTGATGGATGTATCATCGGCTGTGCCAGCATCGTCGGCCATGGTGGCAATAGAGAGGTAAAGCACTTGAGGTGACCGGAAGTGTGGGGTTGAGGCTCAGCGCTGAAGGAAGAGGGAGGGAGGATACAGTCAGAGGGAAGGCAATGGCCTGCCGAGGATAGCGCCCGGTAAGAAACAAAGAAGATGAGAAGGGGAGAGAGATAGCCAAGTGAAAGGAGGAGGAAGAGGTGAGAGAGTGGACAGACTTATCTTTACCGATGATGCTCCATGTGCTATCATCCATCTTATGTAATAATGCCAGAAGGCGGTCGAATCCGATCGTTACGGGTCAGGTGACTCCCTGCGCACTGGAATTTTTGCACGAAAGCTCCACAGCTACACATCCTCAGCCTGCTTCGACGCGACACCCTTCTTTGCCTCCCGAGTTCTTACACTAGGAGCTCGCCCTCATCTGGCCCCGTCCAGCAGCAATGGGACATTGGTGCTAGTCGTATCACCTGGACTGCAATCGCGTCGTGAACTCTGGGACTGCTAACGCCGGGGAAGAAAACACTGCCCGCTGCCCGCCATGGCTACCACCTCGCATATGTTTATGTACTCCCTGACGATCCAGCCTCCCACAGCCGTCACACAAGCCATACTGGGACAGTTCGCAGGAACCAAGGAACAACAGATCGTCACGGCGACCGGCTCCAAACTGACCATCCATCGCCCTGATCCGGCGCAGGGGAAGGTCACGCCGATCTTCTCGCAAGATGTCTTCGGCATCATTCGCTCGCTGGCCGCTTTCAGGCTGGCTGGCAGCAATAAAGGTACGTTTGCATTGTGTCCCGGTTTGCAATTTACGAGTCCAACTTAGTGATTCTTCAAGCTCCCTGGTCCTGGTTTTCCGAGCCGGCTTCTTGAAGAAGAGGGCGGGAATCTGCCCCACCCGGCCAGCGACGTTGATGCTGTCTGTTGGTTCCTCGAAATATGCTGAACAATTCTTGTATAGATTACATTATAATCGGGTCTGATTCTGGTCGGATCACCATCATCGAATACGTCCCTTCCCAGAATCGCTTCAACCGCATCCACCTGGAGACTTTCGGCAAGTCTGGGATCCGGCGAGTGGTGCCCGGTCAATATCTCGCAGTGGATCCCAAGGGACGCGCATGCCTGATTGCCTCTGTCGAGAAAAACAAACTGGTCTATGTCCTGAACCGCAACTCGCAGGCCGAGTTGACAATCTCGTCCCCGTTGGAGGCACACAAGCCACAGACACTGGTGTTCGCTATGATAGCCTTGGATGTCGGTTATGAAAATCCTGTTTTCGCCGCTCTTGAGGTAGACTATTCGGAAGCCGACCAAGATCCCACTGGCCAGGCGTACGAGGAAATAGAGAAAGTGGTGGTGTACTATGAACTCGATCTCGGTCTCAACCATGTCGTTCGAAAGTGGTCTGATCCGGTTGACCGCACAGCAAACATGCTGTTCCAAGTGCCTGGAGGGGCCGATGGCCCCAGCGGCGTCTTGGTGTGCGCGGAGGATAACGTCACTTACCGGCACTCCAATCAAGATGCCTTCCGTGTGCCTATTCCACGTCGCAGTGGTCCCACTGAGAATCCGGAGCGCAAACGGACCATCGTTGCTGGCGTGATGCACAAGATGAAGGGAGCCTTCTTTTTTCTCCTCCAAACTGATGACGGTGACCTGTTCAAAGTCACTATTGAAATGGCAGAAGACGATAACGGGCAGTTGACTGGCGAAGTCAATAACTTGAAGATCAAATATTTTGATACCGTGCCCGTCGCCTCGAACCTTCTAATTCTCAAAAGCGGGTTCCTTTACGTCGCGAGTGAAGCAGGAAATCACCAATTCTATCAATTCGAAAAGCTCGGCGATGACGATCAGGAAATCGAGTTCAGCAGCGAGTCATTCTCCGCTGATCCGTCCATTCCTTGCGACCCCGTTTACTTTCGGCCCCGGGGTGCAGAGAATCTCAATCTTGTGGAAAGCTTAAACTCCTTGACCCCACTGATTGACAGCAAGATTGCCAATTTGACTGAGGAAGATGCACCCCAAATCTATTCCGTTTGTGGTACTGGGGCACGCAGCTCTTTCCGATCTTTGAAGCACGGACTGGAGGTTACCGAGATCGTGGAGTCTGAGCTTCCCAGTGTGCCTTCCGCAGTGTGGACTACCAAGTTGACACGGAGTGACGAGTTCGACGCATATATCATCCTCTCTTTCGCCAATGGCACTCTCGTTCTGAGTATCGGAGAGACTGTGGAAGAGGTCACCGATACTGGGTTCCTTTCAACTGCACCTACCCTGGCCGTACAACAGTTGGGTGAGGATTCCTTGATTCAAGTTCATCCTCGGGGTATTCGTCACATTCTCGCGGACCGCCGAGTGAACGAATGGCCTGCCCCGCAACATCGCACCATTGTTGCCGCAGCTACAAATGAACGCCAAGTCGCCGTTGCTCTTAGTTCCGGCGAAATTGTCTACTTTGAAATGGACGCCGACGGGACTTTGGCCGAGTACGACGAACGCCGGCAAATGTCTGGAACCGTCACCGCGCTCAGTCTGGGCCGGGTTCCCGAAGGCCGAATGCGCAGTTCCTTCCTGGCGGTTGGGTGTGACGACTCGACCGTGCGTATCCTTAGTCTGGATCCGGACTCTACCCTTGAAAACAAATCTGTTCAAGCCCTGACTTCCGCCCCATCCTCTCTGAGTATCATGGCCATGTCCGATTCAAGCTCTGGAGGCACCACTCTTTATCTTCATATCGGCCTCTACTCTGGTGTTTATCTTCGCACCGTTCTGGACGAAGTGACTGGTGAGCTCTCAGATACTCGGACACGTTTCTTGGGAGCCAAGCCTGTGAAGCTTTTCCAAGCATCTGTCAAGGGTCAGACAGCGGCCCTGGCTTTAAGCTCTCGACCATGGCTTGGATACTCTGATATTCAGACCAAGAGCTTTATGCTTACGCCCTTGGATTATATCGGACTCGAATGGGGCTGCAACTTCTCCAGCGAGCAGTGCGTTGAAGGCATGGTTGGAATTCAAGGCCAAAATCTTCGGTATGTGCTACGTCCCTTTTCTTTCTTCAAACCTTTTACTTTCCACCCGATCGAATGATGAAACATCAAACCTGAACATTCCATGTGGATCAAACTTTTTTTCCAATTGTTCCTACTGAGATCAACCTTTTTTCCTCCCATGCTACCTGCAAGCTTTTGACCATTTGACAATCTTGCTGACTTGAAATTAGGATCTTTTCCATCGAAAAGTTGGATAACAACATGCTGCAAGAGTCTATTCCTCTTTCTTATACTCCCCGCCGCTTTGTGAAGCACCCTGAACTGCCCTATTTCTATGTGATTGAATCCGACGCCAACGTTTTATCTCCCGTTACGCGAGAGCGGCTCATACAGGATTCCAAGATGAGCAACGGTGATGCCGCAATCCTCCCGCCTGAAGAATTTGGGTATCCCCGGGGAACCGGACACTGGGCCTCGTGCATTCAGATTGTGGACCCGATCACCACCAAATCGGTGGTCTTTACCCTTGAGCTCGAAGACAACGAAGCGGCGGTCAGCGTTGCTGCTGTATCGTTTGCAAGCCAAGATGACGAGACCTTCCTGGTTGTTGGCACTGCAAAAGACATGGTTGTCAGCCCTCCCTCATCCTCTGGCGGCTTTATCCACATCTACCGATTCCAGGAAGAGGGCCGCGAATTGGAGTTTATTCACAAAACCCAGACCGATGAGCCCCCCCTCGCTCTTCTCGGATTTCAAGGTCGCCTTCTTGCGGGTATTGGCTCGTTACTCCGAATCTACGATCTGGGTGTGAAACAGCTTCTCCGCAAGTGCCAGGCGAACGTTGTACCCAGAACCATTGTGGGCCTCCAGACCCAAGGCAGCCGGATCGTCGTGAGCGATGTTCGTGAAAGTGTCGTTTTCGTTGTTTACAAGCATCAGGAGAACGCCCTGATCCCCTTTGTGGATGACTCCATTGCGCGCTGGACCACGTCCACGACAATGGTCGACTACGAGACCGTTGCCGGTGGCGACAAGTTCGGTAACCTGTGGCTGCTGCGTTGTCCCAGCAAGTTTTCCGAGGAGGCCGATGAAGAGGGATCCGGCGCACATCTGATCCATGAGCGAGGTTACCTACATGGAGCCCCCAACCGTCTGGAGTTGATGGTTCATTACTACACCCAGGATATTCCCACCAGCATGCACAAGGCTCAGCTGGTCGCCGGCGGCCGTGATATCGTGGTCTGGACCGGGATGCAAGGTACGATCGGCATGTTTGTTCCGTTCGTCAGCCGCGAGGATGTCGACTTCTTCCAGAGCCTGGAGATGCAACTGGCCTCTCAACACCCTCCTCTTGCTGGACGGGATCACTTGATCTATCGCAGTTATTATGCCCCTGCCAAGGGCGTCATCGACGGCGATCTGTGCGAGATGTACCTTCTCTTGCCCAACGACACGAAGATGATGATTGCTGCAGAGCTTGATCGATCCGTGCGGGAGATCGAGCGTAAGATCTCGGTAAGCTTTTCCGCTTTTGGATTGTGACATGAGTGCTAACTTGATTTGTCTAGGATATGCGGACACGGGTAGCCTATTAATTTTGCAGCATGATTAACTCCGGCGTCTGTTGCTGGCGTTCTTTGCTATGTCTACATGTTCAAGATACCTCCAGTAGAGGACAATCTACTCCTTATAATGAAGCGGCTGATGAATCGCCGCCTGATCCTTTCTCCGGGCTGGCCCCTGGCAGTTCGCTCTTCCCCCACCCTTCCCCATTCCTAGACGACGTCTCTTGCCTCGCTCGGTCTGCCGCTTTTCACTCGGCTAATCTTGAGCTGGATGCAGCCAGCCATTTGGCTGGCTGTATGAGACCAGAAGGAGCGTGTATGCGCTCCGACGTTCTTTGAGTACGATTTTATCCGCACTGCACCACGGATATGATCGTAATTTATCAGTCGGGACAGACCTCGTATAGATGACTCACGTCTTAGTTCTCAAAGCCTAATGTGAGGCATCACCGTAAGACCTTCAGTTTCAAAGAATCAAAGCAAGACGATTGGCACCACATATGTCGTGTAGCATCGAATATATTATCTCTTGACCTGCCTGTCCTTGTCAAGTTTCCCTTCCATATTAGTCCCCTCGCTCCAACCATGGCCCACACTCTCTACGACAGCACCGTCGCGGTGGCCCAATCTATCCTCGGCTCCCTATCCCACATCCTCCTCAAAGCCGAACAACACCCCAATGCCAGCACTTTGCTTGAGGCCCGTTTATACTCGGACATGTTCCCATTATCCGACCAAGTCCGGATCGCGACGCAGTACTCCGAAAATCTAGTGGCAAGAATGACCAGTCGGGAGCCGGTAACGTTTGACAGAGACCTCACGACATTTGCGAAATGCTACGAGCGCATTGAGACGGTGCTGAAGGCGCTCCACGCGGCGGACAAGGACCTGGTCAACCAACACGCCGAAATACTTGGGACTACTAAGATCGGCCCCGAGCAGACGATTGAGACGACCGGCGCTGTGTATGCCAATACTATCGCCTTGCCGAATATCTACTTCCATCTTGTTACTGCGTATGGGATTCTGCGGAAGGAGGGGGTGTCGGTGGGTAAGCGGGACTATTATGCTGGCTTCTATCCTGATGAAGTCGCTGGAAATCAGTAGGCAAAGGGAAGAGTCTTCGCGTTAGCTGCGAATAGTTCGTGGCAGCAGATATTTATGGTCACAAGACGGCTAGTACCCGACCGGAGTGCTCTTAAATCGCATGATCAGACCGAGAGATCTACTGTCTTCAATGGTTCTACAATGAGTTTGTCCTTCTAGTGTCATTAGAGTTCCACCACCACAGCCATTAATCAGAATTTGTATCCTGTGCTCTCCTTACTCATCCAAAAGACTAAAAATCTCTACTCTTGTAGTCTATTCCGAGCTCAATGCCGAACAAGCAGCCTAGTACTCGGCACGACGACGGATCGGTTATGGCCGGAAATATCTGGGTCTCCCGACCGACGACCCTCCGGCCGGCTACCATCGTCCAGTTTTCCACGGAGAAGAGAATTGGACATGACCATAATTAATAATTCCATCATCTGTAATCATCATATTGAAGCCATGACATCCCCCGATGTCAACAGGGCCTGCCAGATGCTTTGAAATCCGACGAAACCCTAAACACGAAAAGACCGAGCCCATGATTGGTCACTTCTTGTCACTAACTAATCATGGTGAAGCTCGGACGCGGAATGGATCAGCCGGTCAGCGGTTCCAAGTCAAGGCTAAAAGCAAAGGGCGTGGTGCAAGGGCGCGCATGTCGCCCGTAAGGCGCGCTCCACCTCTTGTTGCAGACCCACCCCGAGTTCTCGGAGAATCCGGCGTCAATGGACTCATTCGACAGCGTGTTTGTTGCTTTCTTTTTTGTTGTTATCGTGTCTGGGATCACTCAAGAATCGACACCATTTCAACTGCAGGAGCGAGATGATCAGTCACTGACCGCATCATAAAGCGGGGGTGGCTCTCGAAACATTCACCCTTGACGACAACAAAAATGTCAATCCAAGGGCGTAGGCATGGGCCCGCCAATCGGTACGCCAACTCCGCCCGCATTGGACCAGACCGACTTACCCGATACTAGATTGAGCAAGCACTCTGGCCCCCCCCCCGGCTTGGAGCATCCTTTTACACGTGTGGGCGATATCGTCATCGCACTATTCCACCAAGGTGCTTATTCCGCTGTCTGGCGAATGACTCACGACCAAATAGCTAGTGTGATTTATAATAATGATCTCCATGATACGGAGATCCTCCAGAACGGGGGACATTTTTTTTTTATAAGAGGAAGGGGGCCCGGCGCTGGACTCTCTCCCCATTTCTCGGGTTGTATACCATCACTCACCTCCACCGCGCGGTTGTTGACGGCAGGCTCCACTTTATTTTTGTCCTTGCCTCTGTTTTTTTGTTTAAAGAAAAAAGACCCTCAATTTTAGATCCCTGTATCCTTTTGACTTTGCTCGCGCGACCTCTTTCCGCTCTTCAGTCGTTGCGTCTACAAACCAAAACCCTAATCCACCGACGCAATGGCCGCGGTTTCGGTGCTCAGCCGGGGATCTAACTCCCTCGATATTTTGACCAAGCGCTTGCGACCATCAATCGACATCCATCTAGAAGGCCAGACCCCCGGCCTGGTCAATTCTTATACCACCGGCGACCATATTGAAGGAACCGTCACCATCAGCGCCGACGTCGACACTCGATTCGACGAGGTGGAGATTGTCCTGCAAGGTAGCCTTTCTCGATAGACTCGTGCGCGAATCAGCAGCTAATACGCATTTTCCAGGCACATCGCAGACATCGGTTGAGCGTACCTCATGCCCTGGCCGTGCGGGGGCCCAACAGGTGTTTCTCAGACTGCGCCAGCCTATCGATGAGACAGAGTATCCGACTCCGCGGGTGCTAGAGAAAGGACGTACTTATCAGTTTTCATTCACGTTCGTCGTCCCCGACCGGCTGCTGCCCCAGGTCTGCAAACACTCCAAAAACAATGCGCGCCTTCAACGCGCTCACACCATGCTCCCTCCGACGCTGGGGGACCCCATGCTTGCCAGCAACGGCAAGACATTACTGGATGATATGGCACCAGACATGAGCCGGATCGCCTATATGGTCCGAGTCGCCGTGTTGAGAAAGTCCACGGGAGAGGACCGAATCACCAAATCGCTCGCGGGATTCGCCAAGAAGGTTCGCATCATCCCGACGGTGGACGAAGAACCGCCGATCAGTGTGACCGAGACCTCGGGGTATTGCACACGGAAGGAGAAGAAAGTGAAGCGAGGACTCTTGCAAGGCCGACAGGGCCGTTTAACCGCATCGTCCGCCCAACCCAAGCCCATCCAACTTCTCTCACCCAGCTGTGAAGCAAACGACGGCGGGACCACGATGGCCACGGTGCAGCTCCGGTTCGACCCCGTGGGCAACGAGCAACCACCGCGCCTGGGCTCGTTGACGAGCAAACTCCGCGTGTACACTTTTTACAGCGCCGAGCCCTGGGAAGACTTGGTCGCTCCCTCTGGACTATTTCCATTCTCCCACATGAGCCGTGGCCTATATATGGAGAACGTACCGCTGTCGTCGATGTGTGTGGCATCTGCGCACTGGACGAAGCACGCAGATTGCAGCCGTCGTGACTCGATGCAGTCGACCGTGTCCGAAGACTCCACTGCCGAAGGAGAGACTTACTACACGGCGTCGGTCGTCGTGCCCGTCTCCCTTCCCAAGAAGAGAGCCTTCGTTCCGACCTTCCAATCCTGCCTCCTAGCCCGCATCTATTCGCTCGACCTCTCTCTGTCCTACCACCCGGCGGGAAAGACTGTTCTCACGCCGACGGTTTCCCTCCGCCTTCCCATCCAGATCACCGGCCAGCCCAAGCACTCCGAATCGCTTAAGTCGGAGCTGAGCGTGACCGTCACCCAGGCCGAACTGGATGAGTTCTTCAACCCTCGCATCGTCACTCTCCCGAATGCGGATGCGGTCGGCGAGGAAGATCCGACACGATCGGAAACCCAGTCCCTCGCACCGCCCGAGTACTCCGAGACGTACTCGGCTCCTACCGTGGTGGGAGTGGCGAGTTGAGTTGATCTTCGTTGATCTTTATGCGGGTCCAGCAGAGGTAATTCGACCTTAGAGCGATGGATGGGCCACCAAAAGTTGTTTTTCTCCTTTCTCTTTCGTTTGCACGGTGTTATTTTCAGGGGACATTTCGTCTATTTCTTTTGTCTTCGATATACCCCCATTTTCATTCTTTCTTATTTCACGAGCGTGGGTTTTTTTCTTCTTCTCTGCCTCCTGTACATCTTTTTGAATCATAGTATAATACTAAGCATAATCATATCTCCCGATCAGTAGCTCGCCAAGTAAAATCGGCGGGTTCTCCCTTAACCGCCCACGCTACATGTGTTTGAGATCTGCGATGATCATGCGACATCTTGGCGCGTGGTAACTATGCCCGCCACATGGGCCGGTCGCATGGCCTGGGTGTAACATCATGGAGGGCCAACCTATGTATGTGTTCCTGTAGTTCATCCTATCGTGAACGAGTGCCGCCATCGTTACATCCCTCCAACACTGCCAAGTAAGTTCTCCCCGGAATCACCAACGCTCGACTATCGGACTTCATAACTACTATCGAAGGATTGCAGATGACAATGTCACCCAGTGGGCAACCACCCACATGATGCCGACGACCCTGGATCACAGTCGACACCGTTGCACGCGATACACGGGGAATCTCCAGTCTGAGGTTCCCTCGGGACCTAAAGCCATTTGCGCCAGACCGGAATGTGGCGCTCGCTCCCCTGAACTCCCCTGAAACCCCCTCCCCTGTGACGAATCAACGAATGGCCCTTTGAATCGGATTGTCCAGGCGGATGCGACACTTGGAGCTGCAGAATCGAGCCGGGGAGGGTGGACGGGCGTCGAATCGTACGGCCCTATCTCCGAACAATACGTCCAACGGAGCAGGTCACCCTCTAGAGTAGCGCTGAGGCTTTTAGGGCTGCAAAGCACCCTGGATATGTTACAGGCGCCACGACTGGATGCCTTGGCGGATGAATGATCTGGGAAGTATGTGAGTAGAGGCCGTCGTCCTGCTGAACTACAAATAATCCATGTTTTCCTTTCTTCTTCTTCTGCTGCTTCTTTCTTACCTGGACTAACCGACTCCTTACCTTCTTCCCCTTGACCTCGCTGGCACGAGTACATCCACTCCTTCCGCTAACCCCCTTGACGCTCCTTCGCAATTATGCGTTTCGCCATTCCTTTCCTCCTGGGCCTGGCCTGGCTCACCGATGCCTCTGTCATTCCTTCGCGTCGAAGTGATGTCGTCGAGCTGGCACCTCGCGCGGCAGCTTCGGGCCTGCGTTCCGTGGCATACTTTGTGAACTGGGTGAGCTACCTCTTGTTCTGACATTTGAGTCTAGTTATTGACCTGTCTTATACCAGGCCATCTATGGTCGAAACTACCAACCCCAAGAACTCCCCGCGGAACGGCTGACGCATGTGCTGTATGCGTTTGCCAATGTCCACGGCGACACGGGAGAGGTATTTCTCTCCGACACGTATGCTGACCTCGAGAAGCACTATCCCAGTGACTCGTGGAATGACGTTGGCAACAATGTCTACGGCTGCGTCAAACAGCTCTTCCTGCTGAAGCAGAAGAATCGACAGCTGAAGGTGCTGTTGTCGATTGGTGGCTGGACTTACTCCCCTAACTTTGCGGCGCCGATGGCCACGGATGCCGGGAGGAAGTTGTTTGCCTCGTCTGCGGTTGAGCTGGTCAAGGATCTGGGTTTTGATGGACTCGATATTGACTGGGAGTATCCTGCCAATGTTACCCAGGCCGAGAACATGGTCTCTCTCTTGCAGGAAGTTCGCTCGGTAGGTTTGAAAAGTTCTCTCCTAAGCCAGACTTGCTAATTTTATCCTCAGGCTTTGGATGCCTACAGTGCAGCCAACGCAAGTGGCTACCACTTCCTCCTGACTGTCGCATCGCCTGCGGGTGAGTCTCCCTGTTCGTTATAATTACCATCTGACTAACGAGCCACAGGTCCCGCAAACTACGAGAAACTCAAGATGGCCGAGATGGACAAGTACCTTGACTTCTGGAACCTGAT